TATCGCACGGCATCACTCTGAACCGACCCTTCGATATCACTCACACGGGGCCTGCAGCTACATCAGTAGGACCAGTCCCTCGAGAAGATGGCGACACAGCTCAACCGCTTTCGCGGCTGCTAGACATTCTACCTCTTGCGCACCGTCTGAAATGTCAGGCTTATTCATGGCCCACTATAGTGAGTGTCCCTGTACAAGCTTCACGCGAGGCACACACTGACTTGGTACACCCACCTCCAGCTTCAGATCCAACTAGAGAAGCTCGCCTGCAACGCGCTCAGCAACCCTATCTGTGCACTCGAAGACGCAGTGACTGCCTACATCCTCAGCATTCCAGAAACCAACATGAGACTCATGCAGGAAATCTCATCCGTCATCCTCGCTCTGCCTGAGCTACAGGGTGTGGAGGGTGTGAAGGAGAGATTTTCGGCGAAATCTTTGCACCACACGGTAATGGATATCATTAAGAAGAATAGAGCAACTACGGTGAGTATGGTGTGGGACATGAGAAATAGACGAGAGACGGAAATCAGATACATCAACGGGTACTGGGCCAGACGTGGAAGGGAAGTGGGTGTAAGAACACCATTGAATGACGAGCTGGTGGAGAGAGTTCAGGAAATGACTGCAGATAAGCTGCGGGGAGCTGGGTCGTGATCTTCACGTTCTGATGTATGATTAGCAAAATTCAGACTTACATGAATGTTGGGATTCTGCTGTGGATAGACGGGTGATGATGCAGATTGACCAAATACATGTGGATGGAGTGGTACGGCCCACGAGGCGCCCCGCTTTCAAATGTCTCGATTCCACTCTGACCAACAATCTCGTGCTTGATACAAGTTATTTCCACGCCGCGATAACAGTGTTAGTACGAAGAAAATCGTGAGCGTAAACGAAGCCTCGAGCTGCAAGCGCACGCATTCGGTAGCAAGACCACGCCGCAGATCTGATACCTCACGCCACCTGGGCTGACAAACAGCGTGTATGCAGCGCGTCGCGTTACTATGGTGCAGTGTCCCACGTCCACCCGATGCACTCGCACGAGACGCGCCCAACAATGGCGCTGGCCGGTAAAGACCGGACATGACCTCATTGCCATAAACTTCGCGGACCCTTCTTAAAGGTAGCTGCGCCCAACAGCCACCATCATACCAAATAAACTACTTTCTTAGTATCAAAGCTTCAATTATCTGACAGCTCGGCAATATGGCACAGGATCTACGCTCCCAGGATATCAAAAACCCAATTGACGTTGCAGAGGTGAGTCGTGTGGACTGAACACGCATGTGAGAACGTGCTAATTGACCGACGCAGTACCTCTTCCGTCGACTTCAACAAGTTGGAGTCGAGTCAGTGCACGGTGTGCCAGGAGACTACAACCTCGTCGCACTCGACTACATTCCCAAAGTCGGCCTGAAATGGGTCGGCAACTGCAATGAGCTCAATGCTGGTATGTAAAGCTCGTCCTTGCGCTACCAGCGGCTCGCTTGCGGGAGTGACCGAAGTCGATCCGCCCGCCTCATACTATATATATACTGACGATTACTATAGGCTACGCGGCAGATGGCTACGCAAGAGTCAAGGGCATCTCTGCACTGGTCACGACTTTTGGTGTTGGAGAACTCTCGGCAGTCAATGCTATCGCTGGCGCTTACTCCGAATACGTACCCATAGTCCACATCGTCGGCTATCCATCGACTGCATCACAGAAGAACGGAGCACTGCTACACCACACTCTTGGAAATGGCGACTTTACTGTTTTCTCGAGGATGTCCAAGGAAATCTCATGTGCCGTTTCCATGCTGAACAGCCAACACGAAGCAGCCATGCTCATCGACAACGCCATCCGGGAATGTTACCTAAAGTCGAGGCCCGTCTACATATCTTTGCCTAGCGATATGGTGACGAAGAAAGTCGATGGCGATCGCCTCAACACACCACTGGATCTGGAATATCCACAGAACGACCAAGAAGCCGAAGACTATGTTGTAGATGTGGTCTTGAAATATCTACATGCAGCAAAGAACCCTGTCATCCTTGTGGATGCATGTGCTATCCGCCACCGAGCGTTGAAGGAAACTCACGACCTCATCAAAAAATCAGGCATCCCTACATTTGTTGCACCAATGGGAAAGGGCGCAGTGGATGAGACGCTACCCAACTATGGTGGTGTATACGCCGGAGACGGTTCCAACGCTGGTGTGCGGGAACGCGTTGAGTCGTCGGATCTTGTTCTCAGCATTGGTGCTATCAAATCCGACTTCAATACTGCAGGCTTCACCATTCGCATGTCTCAGCTGACCACTATCGATCTACACAGCTACGGATGCAAGGTACGCTACTCGGAATACCCGGGTGTAAGAATGAACGGCGTTCTCTCCAAGGTTACAGCAAAGCTAGGAAAGCTCAACATTGAGTCCGGACCTAACCCAAACAACAACATTCCAGAGAAGGAGACCGCATCTACTGAGTCGTCGATCAAGCATGCCTGGTTTTGGCCAAAACTCGGTCAATGGCTGAAGAAGGACGACATCCTCATTACCGAGACTGGCACCTCTAACTTCGGTGTCTGGGAAACTCGCTTCCCAACAGGCGTCAACGCCATCTCACAAGTCCTCTGGGGCTCTATCGGATACGCAACTGGCTCCTGTCAAGGTGCTGCTCTTGCCGCCAAAGAATCAAACATCAAGCGCACTATACTCTTTACAGGTGACGGCTCTTTCCAACTTACAGCACAAGAGGTCTCGACTATGATCCGCAACAAGCTGGCTCCTATCATTTTTGTGATCTGCAACAAGGGTTATACAATTGAACGGCTCATCCATGGATGGGAGGACTCCTACAACGACGTTCAGGAATGGAAATACAAGGACATTCCCCGTGTCTTTGGTGCCGAAGAAGGCAGTGTCCTTACATACCGGGTCGAGACAAGGGAGGAAGTTGAGAAGCTGTTCCAGGACGAAGAATTTTCTAGTGGTGAGACGCAGAAGATGCGGTTCGTCGAGTTGGTCATGCCGTGGGATGATGCACCGGCTGCGCTCAAGGCGGTTGCTGAGGCTGCGGCTAAGACGAATGCTAGTGCTGAGTAGACGGTATAAGGAGGGGTTTGCAACTAATAGATGGTGTTAGGAAAAGACTTGAATATAGGATATGGCATTAGGCACGGTTCTCTTCTCTTCGTATGAATAATGACAATATAGCCCTACTCAAATATAATCTTACATGCGTCACTGGCTTTATGACTTGAAAGTTGAATCGAACATGTAGCAGAGAGCCATTGCAAGTAGAGCAAGTTGATTTACACAGGTGCAGAAAATGAAAAGTGATAACGGAAGCGTACGTCGTTGATTTGCATGTATTTCAACTATCGTTCCTTCGTAAGATCTTCGTATTGTCTTAATGTATCGACCATATCTTATCGCCTCTTGCTCTCAATATTATATCATTACGTTTACTTCCTGACCTCCAACTATTCTTTACAAAGCGATAGCGAAGACAACCGCCACTACTGTCGTGCTCATTGCCGCCCAAAATGTCCTACCGGCGATCATCATGCCACTCGCATCACCCGAAGCAGCACCGCCAGAGTCTGCACCATCTCCTGTTGGGCTCGGCCTCGGAGGCGGGAAGCTTGTGTTTGTGGGCGTCTCAGTAAGGTTCTGCACTGTAATCCAGGTCGCGGCAATTCCGTTTGTCAGATTCGCATCAGCCGCGAACTGGCTAACGTTGAAGCCCACCCTGTTGTCTGCCAGATCGTCGTACATGGAGGGTATGCTAAAGTTGCGTGGCTGTGCCATCAGGATGAACGTGTAGCTGTGCGGGATATCGCCGACAGGAGGCGAGGGCTGAAGGTACGGGACGGGATTATCCGAGGGGATCACAAGCGGCGATCCTGTTGTGTTGGCAGAAATGGGCACGGAGCGTGTCACATTTGTGGCAATCCAGTGGACGAGTTGGACGCGCGAGTTGTTACGGGGTACGTCGAGGTCGACCATGAGGAGGACGCATCGGCCGGGGCCTTGCTCGTCGGCGAACCATACTGGGGACGAGATTGTCGGGGGTTGTGCGGTTTCTGGTGATGGTTATCAGCTTGGAGTTGCAGGGAATCAGGTCGACTGCGCCGCGACGACAGAGAATGAGACATACCAGGACGGGGAATCAGCTCTCCACCAGGCGACACGGTATTGTTCCCGTACATGACCGTCAAGTTCTGGGAAACCTGGATGGGAAACCCAGGTGCCGTCGCCGCCGTCGCAACACCCGCCAGCAGCGCAGTGGCGCTCAGAATGGTCTTGGTGAACATATTGGTCGTCGTCTTGGTCGGTGTTGTTGTTGTCGGTCGTGGTGGTGTGTTGTGTTGCGCCGTGAGGGCAGTCGTCGCTTGATGATGCGAAAAACGAAGGAGCGTGCGCTGCTTCTTTAATTCGTGTCTTGGACCTGCGCAAACTGCAAGAACCTGGTGGATGTTTCGTAGCTAAGGGCCTAATTCCGAGTACCCGAAGTGACAGCTCCAGATGTCGTTCATGACGTTAACCAAGACTTGGTCAAGGGCCGGCCTTGTTCGGGGTTTAGGCCAGGGCGGCATCCCGGCACAACTCACCTGAGCGCGAGCGCTGATTTGATTGCCTGAGGGCCCGTCTTCATGCCGTAGTCGGGGTTATAAACACGACCGCGCTGGTCGCCTTGTGCTCATGAGCCGTTGGACCTTTGGTCGGAGCAATTAACTCCTGCACCGGTGTGTGTTTTCATCATGTTCGCGCCAGTCTAAGCATGCGCCGTTATCTTTGCCCGCAACACGTGCTCGCGTAGTTGAGGACCACAGCAACGGATACCGGCAGAACGCCCATGGCTATTCATTCAGGCCGCCCTCAAGGCGTGCACGATTCCTTCAAAATAAACCACGCATGGATAAAGTGTGCCTGCAATTCGTCTATGCTCTATGTTTTAGAAGGCCTGTCTTAGCTCATGCTACTCGAAACACTGCTCATTGCCTGTCCCTATGATCGACTGATCATATGGTCTCGTGCAGGGCCAACGCCAATCCACTTGACCTTCACTCCGACAAACTTCTCAATGTACTCGATGTAGTTCCTCGCCTGGACGGGCAGGTCGTAGTAGCTCGTTACACCAGTTGTAGGCTTTTTCCAGCCAGGCAGCGTGTCGTACTGTACTTCAACTTGGCCAAGTATCTCGATGTTCGCAGGGAAGCCTTCGAGCACTTCACCGTTGTACGAGTAGGATGTCGCAACTTTGAGTTCGTCAAAATCGTCGAGGACGTCGAGCTTGGTGAGGTTGATGGCGGTGTAGTCGTTGCAGGCGTGCGAGTGCTTGACGACAACAAGGTCGAGCCAGCCGCAGCGGCGCTTGCGACCGGTTGTGACGCCAACTTCGTGGCCTACCGATTGGAGCTTCTCGCCCAGCTCGTTCAGCTGCTCAGTAGGGAAGGGTCCGCTGTCGTACGTTAGACTACGTTGCTCGTTTTTGGACAGTAATATGAACTCACGATCCGACACGTGTGGTGTAGGCCTTCACTACACCGATGACCTCCTTCAGTGACCGCCAGCCCAAGTTGAGACCTGTGATGACACCTCCAATACCTGTGTTCGATGATGTGACGAAGGGGTATGTTCCGTAGTCAATGTCTAGCATCAGCGCGTTCGCACCTTCTACTAGAATCTTAGCGTTCTTCTCCTTGGCCGATGCGAGGAGTGGGATCTGGTCGACGACATAGGGAGCAAGCTTCTCGCGCAGAGTCTACTCATACTGTTAGCCTTCGCATCGCAACATGCAATGCCGCCATGACTAACCTTGTACTGCGCAATCTCCGCATCCACGTCGTACTTGAGCAGATCACCGTATCGCTTCTGGAATCCCGAGGCTAACCTCCTGAGCTTCGTCTCGAAGATCTGCTCGTCGAACAGATCGCACATGCGGAGACCGCTCCTGGTCATCTTGGTGCTGTAGGTTGGGCCAATACCCTTCTTGGTTGTGCCTATGTCCCACAATCAGCACTGGTGTCCCTCGCTATGCGCGTATATTCCTCACCAATCATGCCACCACCCAGTTCCACTTCTTCCAGACCATCCACCTTCTGGTGGACGTCGAAGACGACATGTGCTCTGTCCGAGATGAATATCCTTCCTTCAGTGTTCAAGCCATGTTTCTCCAGCGCCTCCAATTCCTTGAAGAAGCTCGGCACGTGGACGACGCAGCCACTTCCGATGACGTTGATGCAGCCGGGGTTTACAAGACCACTGGGGAGGATATGGAAATCGTACGTCACGCCGTTCGCGACGATGGTGTGTCCGGCGTTGTTACCGCCTTGGGCGCGGCAGCAGATTTGCGATTCGTGAGCGAGTATGTCGGCGAGCTTGCCCTTGCCTTCGTCGCCCCATTGGGCCCCGAGCACAACGGTAGTTGTCATCGTGAGAACGAGGAACGAAGAAAAGGGAATGGACGGGGCGGCGGGTGGGTTTTCAATTGCCCATGGAGAAGCGGACTTGGCCGAGTTAGTCACAAAGTCCAATAAAAAGATTTGCGCCGTTGGACGTCGCAATCAGCGCGTTGAAGCACCGTTAGACTCAGCGCGAACGGATAACTTAGGCCGAATACGCTTACGCCGATGAGGGGTGGCTCAGATTTCACGCGCTGTGCAATCTCACGACTCAATTGCTCGCTGCCAGTGTTCGGCGTTATGTTTCTTTTACCATCTTCGTACCCCACCATACCCCACCATACGACACAATGCCGCAATTTTCAGCACGAGCCAATGACGCATGTACCTCAGCCTTAACCCTATCCTTCTCAGTTTGTGCTAGACTACCATAATCACGATGGATAATCTGGTGAGACAAGACTACATTGGCAGCGAGAAAGATGCATTGGAAACTACCTAATCAAGTGCTCTTTCGCTTTCTTTGCAAAACACGTATCCAGCTACCAGAGGTCAAAGTTCCATCTCCACTTGTGGCTTAACCACGCCAAACAGCTGGACCTGGTGGCTGATATGTCTCAGGGGCTGCTGTGTACTTGTTCAGATCTACGAGAATCCCTGGGTCGTTGCTTCTGCAATCGCGTGTTAGTGTATGCATACATTACACGCTACTTCAACTTACTTGTATGCGCCAGGCAATGCAACAAGAGGTCCAGGGACCCCGCTTCCTCCCTCGGTAATTTTGATCTGCGAGCAGGCGAGGTAGAACTGCGCTTTGTTGGCTTGCATAGCCATGTGTAGTGCTATGTGTTCAACGCGAAGCAGGTACTCGCCCGCGGGTGTCGTAGCAGGAATTGTTGTGTTGGGAGTAGTATACTCATCTACAAAACACTATTAGGAAATGGTCAGATTCTAAAGGGATGACATACTCTGTCCTGGCCAGCTCATCTGCTTCTGCGCATTTACGCTCGGCATCGTAGTGCTGATCTTGAACCACACTGCGCCACTCCCATCCCAACTCTTTACATCCTTGCCGTCTGGAACCTTTGCAAGATAGTATTGTGTCGGTCCTGGGTGGTTGACTTGTTGCGTCGAGATATAGTGGACGGTTGACCCGGCTGGCACAATTGCAATATTTGGCGCGGTTTTGGAAGTGTAGCAGCGAATGTCAGCAACGGTGGGGTTCTACACGAGAAGTGAGTGTAATAAGTATGCGATAGTAAAGAAAGTTGTGATCATCGTAGATTACCTCAATGCCTTGCTTGGTATTTGCGTTCTTGGTCTCGCGGGTCGAAGACCAGTCTTTATCCTCTGGCTTTCCTTCTATAACGAGACGTGGGAAAGTATCTGTTCATGTGAACTTGCATGAAGAACATTTGATAAAATTGGCTTACAGTGTGCCTGTACTACAGTGGCGACAGCCAGAATTGTAGCGAGTACATGCATAACGGGCGATCGGATCATACACAATGTGAACGGTTTTTGCTTTTACCTCGATATCTTATATGTGGTCCATCGTCAGAGCTATACGGACGACATACCAGCTGACTCGAGAACTTTAGATATATGAGCTTGGCTATATCGAAGATACTAATGTAACCTATTGGACACAGCAAGTATATTACAATATGCCAATGTCGATGAAGCGACCAATAGACATCGGCCTCCGTGTATGTCATATGCTAGAATCCGACATCTGCCGGCACAGAGTGAGGGCATAGCTGAATCATATATCGTCGCAAGCCCGACACCAGATTTCACAATCACAATGCGATTATGTAGACATTTTGATCACCCATAGGTTGTTGTACAAGTCTTTAGAGAAAAGTTGAATTCCCATATGGCACGAGTCATGCCGCTACGCTAACATCGAGCAAAGTAAAACGAACGAAATGTTGAGGTCGTGTCGAATCGTGAGCATGCACATCTAGTGCATGTAGCGGAACTCAGGGTGTCTGTATCCGAGGTCCTTGATCTGAGCAGCGGTTTTGCCAACCAGACGGTGGTCTCGCTTGCCCAGGTCGCGTTGCTTGTTCTCCCACTTGCAATAAAAGATTCCGAAAGTGGCGAGAAGGCACACGCAGATCTGACCAGCCAAGTTGATAGTATGACCTGTCGGATACCTTGGTGCATCCTGACTGGTATACGTCCTGCGATATGTTAGCTACATGTTTCAATCGTAACTGCTCTGTAATTTGACGTACCAGGTCGCAAGAATACCTCCAGCGGTACCAAGCGTGACCACGTAAGCAGTCGAGACTGAGCGGACAGCAGGACCTGCTGCATTGTTTGCCGCCCACGCGAGGAAACCAGGACCACCTGGAAACGCGCCAATAGTGATAAGGAAAATACCACCGTATCTGACGTTCGGGTCGGTAGCCCATCGCATAATAGAGAAGCCCGCAATAGCTGGGAGCGTAAAAATGGCGAGGTAGATACCACGGCGGTTGGTCTTGTCCGAGACGAAGGCCACTGCAATGGCAATCAGGCACGCGCATACATAGGGAGGTACTGAATAAAGTTGAGACTTCGTGGCCGTCCAACCAAGATCCCTGAGAATAGTGGGCTAGAAGTGTATGTTAGTATATAGAACTGTCCTGAACGAATATTGGCTTACCATGAATAGAGAGATACCCTGCACGGTGATGTTGATAAAGAAGAAGCCAAAGGCGCAGAAGTAGTTTGTGATGTTCATCACAGCCCTCTTCACATGGTGGACTTCCGTCTTCTCATTTTCATCGGCTCCACTCTTTAGCACAAGTCGCTGGGTAGCGATCATCCGCTCGCGCTCGTTTAAGAACCAGCATTCTTGTGGGCTGCGAGGCATGAGGAAGGGCGCTCCAAGGCCGACGAGTACGGTAAAAAGTCCTTCGAAGAAAAAGATATTACGCCAGGTATGGATGATCATGCCCGAAGCTCCCCATGGCGGAATGCGAGCAAGACTGTCACTGAGTCAGAACCTCGAAATGTTAGAAAATCTGTGGCAAACTTACACAGTGGCGAGTAGTCCACCAAAAGCTCCAGCCATGGAGGCTGCAGAAACGTAAATACCGATGCGGAACAGGAGCTCGTTGCGCTTGTAAAAGCATGTGATGAAGAATGCAAGTCCACTATGCAGCGATCGTTAGAAAATGCTAGGTGCAGTACGAGAAAATACTTACGGCATTACACCGCCTTCAAAGACCCCTAGAAAAGCTCTTGCAACTAGCAATCCTCCAAAGTTATGCACAAAAGCGCTGCAGAGTGATACCAAGCCAAATCCGCACACAAGAAGCGGCAAATAGTACTTTGGGCCGAGTTTCTTCAGAAGAATGTTGCTGGGTACTTCGACAAACATGTAAACAATGTAGAATATCGAAGTCACCCAGTTGAAGCGGACACCCACGAGGTTCAAGTCCTCGGCCATACCCTGAATGCGTGCATTTCCAACGTTTACACTATAAAGGTAGTCAGCAAACAGCTTTTGTGTGTAGTGAAACGGTCCGTACCGATCAAGAAAGCATAGCAGATATAGAAAGGTAGTGAGCGGCACGATCACTCGATCCAGTTTGCGTCGGACCTTCTTCTCTTCCTCGGGCGTCCAGGTAAACTCGCCATCAGTAGACCGGTCGCTTCCGTTGGCCTCTTCAACTACCAAACTTGTTAACGTTTGACTAAAGCAAGACTGCCCAAAAACATACAAAGAACATTATCTCCCTTCTCCATCTCAGCAGGGGTGCGATTCAGACGTGTCCCCATCGATGCCAGTCCCATTTGTGCCATTTTGATGAAGCTGGATTCCGAGGTCGAGATTCAGAGTCAGCGAGGCGAAATCTCTTCGTCGTTGTGCTGTAGCCCCACACGTTCCGTAAGTCTGGGGAAAGGAATCTGGGGAAGAGCACAGCCCATATAAGAACGTAGGATGCGTCCCGATACCCGATTAGCTCACTTGTCGCACAACCGTGTATTGGGGCGCAAGTCGAGAGCCAGGAAAGAGGAATCGGCAGTTACTTCGCAGCCTCCAGAGGAAAGGAATACAGCGCCATATCTAGCTCGATGTCCGCTCCACTACGCTCTTATCCTGTTCAAGCTGGCGGCTTGATTGAACAGGGTGCGAAGTCGGTGCGGAAATTTTACCGAGTCGACACAGGAGCCCTACACAACGCCGCATAATTGTTAACGGCCTCCTCTTTGGCTGGTGTGTTGCGGGGCTCTTTCTTGGCCGACATGGGATTGACTCGTGGAGCATGCGAGTGTGGCGGGAAGATGCATTCATTGTGGTCATTTTGAAACGCCATGCTTGGCGAAGCGGGACGAGAACTTTGGCGTTGCTAGCAGCTCACAACGGGTTTCGGCAGTTCTTCTCTCTCTTTTCAAAGCTTCTCAAACATGCTAAGATGTCGCAGTTACAGGAGTCGTCCTTGGGTCAGACTAATTTCGACTGGGCGGACTGCGGTCAGATTACGGGCGTACCTACTGTGCAGGAGGACTTTACCCACAGGCTCTTCTGGACAAGCCGTACATGAACAATTCTTCTCCCGCCAGCCCGAACAGGTGGATTAGTATTTGCTGCATATCTGCACATATGCACAGCAGCACTGCGTGCGGTGTATATTACTCAGGTGTTCGGTATGTTTTCGTGTAGTAATCGGGGACATCCAGCAGCGGTGCCTCTGGCTTTCTTATACCACACGTCATAATATGCCGATGCGCATGGATAGTAAGGCCCCTGCGACCTCGGAATTCACCCGATTCCTTCGACAGCGTCTGTGTTGTATACTGGTTTCCTTGTCTGTCCATGGGCGACGCAATATCGCATTCTACTAATGCGTCCGGAGCAAGTCGATATTTCTGAACTTCTCAGTGTGAGCGTGCGCGATAGGGTCACTCAAGTGGGCCACCTGCATGCTCGCATCTAGACTGTTCCGGCTCGGTTCAGAGTAGTGGCTGCGACATGTGACCAGTCTGCTATATCGATAGAGAACGAGGTTACAGAAACGTGCGCGATAGTCCTCGGTAACAGAAGCTCTCTATAGAAAAGGTGAAGTGAGACGAGTGTTGGCGGCATGGAACAAGAAGCTAGGGTCCAGCAGTCACCGCCACGTGGATGGAATCTTGGAAGGTAGGGTACGAGCTATCGACCTAGAAAAACGGCCACTTCGAAGATGAATATGATGTTGCATCAACACCATACAGGATACCGAACTTTTTGCAGAATCTCGTCTCAACGGCACGTTGTGTCCACGACCTACGACTCCACAGTTTCAACGCAATGACAACCGCTTCCCCTCATAACCCCATAAATCTCCACAGCCGCGCACCGGGAGGAATGTCCCTTCTCAGCAGCACTATCTCTGGCGTCCCCATCTCGTATCCACCAACTCCTTGATCACCTCTCTAAGCCCATCCGGTCTTCCCGACGTGTCACTTAGATCTACCCTTGGAGTCGACGATAGCTGTGTGGGCGTTTGTGGCTTCTCCGGCTTTACATTCGGTACCTGCTGCGTCACGGCAGTCGCCTCGAACGTATGAATATCCTCGGTTGCGGCTACTTAGTCCCGTGACCGCTCCTGAGCATCGCCTCGAGAATCTGAGCATCGGCAACGTCAGCTCTCCCTGCCTCGCCGGATTGCTCTCCTCTATCCACAATGCTACTTTGCGGTACGATCAAGCGACGATTCTGAGACCCGGCTTATATAATGCTGTTTTCTTGCAGATCGATTTCTTCCTCGGAATCCTATTCATTGTGCTTTAGGAAAGCTGTGCGTAACTTCCTCCCAGAGCTAGAAGATTACAATATCTGCAGCTGTGGTCTATTCGTCGATTTCTCACATCAACTCACTCTGTCTGTGGGTTCATTTCTCACTTGTCTTCAGTCGTCGTGCTCTATTCATGCATGCCTGGTCTCGTCCATTCACCCTCTCGATTTATGCGCTATTTGAGCTTCGGCAGCATGATCTTTAGTCAATCGTGTGTAGGGTTCGATATCTTTGTTTCGACCTTGCGAGTGCAAATGAACGTCATGGTAAAGTATATGTGGGTACAAACATTCATGCATACTGGTCTTGAGCCTTTCCCCAGTTAGGGTCACTCTTCCTACATTGAGCCTTCTGTCCTTTTCTGTCACGTTCCTGGCCAATACGACGTACTAGGAGGTATTTACATGAGTAGTGCTTTGTTTTGTTACCCTCTTCAGTCTCTTTGCATCTCTCATCATTGGAGATGAAATTGCTCCTGGCCTTATGATTACAATCGTACTAAGCTGCGAGACTAATGCACATAACTGGCGATACGATCTGATGCTTGGAATCATTGGCGAATCTACGCTGCAACCAAGATATATACGACACCCATGGCCTCATACACAGACCTTGAATCAATACTCGACAATGATTAAGGACACGTCAAAGGTGTGTCGCTAATAGAGCATTGAAAGCACCAGTACTACTATGTGAAGCATTATCATCATAGCCGACAGTGTGTCGTTCAGAAAAAATTTACTACAGGTTTTAGTATAAAATCTTGGTGTTTGCTTCGCCGTCCTTGTCCATGCTCCGTACATCATCTGTGCATAGCCACCACTGAGCGTTTTTCTGACATACTCAGCTGCCAACTCCCTGAATGAGCCCAAGATGTGCACAACATACCGTGTGTACTTCTATTGTGGACACCTCAAATCCACGACTACTCACGAACACTCCGGGGTCGAATGCACACTCAACGAAGCAAGAAGCATTACAATCAACAAGAAGTGCAAGCGCTGCATAACACGAACGTCACAGCGAAATGTACGACTGAACGGTATCTTGGATGGCGCAGAAGTACCATCGATAGTCAAAGCCGGAGACGAAGGTGCTAATACTGGCAATGATTAGTATTATGGATGTGTGGATGCCTGAGTCGACGTGCCTCACAGTCCGGTGTTTTACAAAAGGCTACGGGTGGTACAGGTGGTGCGTTGGATCCTATAATCGGATTTTTTTTTGAATTCGAGTCAAGATCTTACATCTTGTATTTACCAAGATATTGCCATACCTGCACTACAACATGCCTGACTCCTCTAAATTGCCCAATCCACATAAGTGTGTCGTCTTGGGTGGAGTACCTGTATAGTCAAGAGAGAAGTCTGGCGGCAATGCTGTAGTGATGTAAACTCAGCTTGCAAACATTCATATCTCTTTCAGTCTCAACAACAATTACAGCACATAAGTGACAAGCACGCGTTGTCTATTACACCAAGCGCACAACGCCTTCATCTCCTCTTTGTGTTGTATTGAGGGCATCAAGACCGGCCAGTGGATAGCGCTTGTGTCGCCGTTATCCAAACAATTGTAGCCGGCGTTACCTCTACACCACTCTGTCTATCTGCACCAGCGTCCTCGTCGCAGCTGTTCACAGCACGAACATGGGCTAGAGTTGTACACAGCTATCTGCGTTCATTTTTGTCTGCGAGGACGGCGTCCTTCCACCGTGACGCCTTTGATGACCTGAAGTATCATGTCTGATGGTGAATAGCCGTGAGTTCCCGGGGCCTTGGAAGGGGCAGGCGCAAATGTTGCTATCAACTCGCGACAGGATCCCGACGCATACAGAATGACCTAATGATATGTCTCTACGCGTGCTGGGAACGGCTCTTAAACTCGAAGATTATGCGGAAGAGGGCGAAGGGTTGAGGACGTATGTTGCGAAGGGCGCTGGGCATGAAGAGCGGCGGGAGCGAATAATCATGTCTTGGAGGGGGGACGCGAGGAGGAGATATAGCCGCCATAAGACATGCCCTCGTACAAGTGGCAGGTGGAATGCGCGTATGTGACAGCGACGTGTAGAACGCAAGACTGCCTCGCAGGATCCGATGCGCGGCCGCTTAGGGCCGGCTACTATCGATAAGTTCCGACGGATGTTCCGATGAACTCACCACTCTAATCCAAAGCCGCCCTCTGACTTGGATACTGCGCTGTTCAGGCCACATTACAACCATATCACGACACATCTCATCTCCCATCAATATGGCCAAAGTTGAGGGCGCGCCAGCACACGGTGCTGTAGCCCACCTCCTACCACAAACGTACAAGCGATTGGTCTCGGAATGGCTCGAGGAGGACACACCGAGCTTCGATTATGGTGGCTTCGTTGTGGGCGAGGAAATATCTGAGGCGAAATTGCTAGGGAAAAGTGAAGTGAGTGTCAGCACCCTTCGTGGTGGTCTTAGCTAACATTGGCAGGGCATAGTTGCAGGCGTCCCCTTCTTCGATGAAGTCTTCCGGCAACTGGGCTGCACGTGCGTCTATCATAGTGACTCACATTGTCAGATCTGGTATTGACGTTTGATAGTGTGGAATGGCACGTCAAAGAAGGTGCCTCTTTCCAACCTGTAACTCACTGCGCCACGGTACGCGGCCCTGTCCGCCACCTCCTTCTCGGTGAGCGAGTGGCTCTCAATACGCTCGCCCGTTGCTCCGGTATCGCCACCAAGTCTAATCGTCTACTTACCCTTCTACGTGGAGCTGGCTACCCAAATATTCTCGCCGGTACCAGGAAAACTACACCAGGTTTCCGACTCGTGGAAAAGTATGGCATGCTAGTGGGTGGTGTGGATGCGCATCGAGTTGACCTGAGCGCGATGACGATGCTGAAAGACAACCACATCGTCGCTGCAGGAAGCATCACCAACGCCGTAAGAGCTGCTAAAGCGGCGGGTGGTTTCGCAATCAAAGTTGAAGTCGAATGCCAATCATTCGACGAAGCAGATGAGGCTATCGCCGCTGGTGCTGACATCGTCATGTTGGACAACTTCACTCCTGAGGGTGTTCAGGTCGCTGCCAAAGACCTGAAAGACAAATGGGGGCGAGGTACTGGAGATAGGAAACAATTCCTTGTCGAAGTAAGCGGTGGGCTTACGGAATACAACGTCGAAAAGTATGTCTGTGGGGATATTGACATTGTAAGTACAAGCAGCATACACCAAGGAGTACCACATGTGGACTTCAGCTTGAAAATTGTACCGAAGAGTAAGAAAGACGGTGGGGAAAGCTTAGCAGTATGATCAGAAGGTAGGTAGATATCAAATGTGAGTACGTATTTGGCATCTTGACTCTTGAGAACCGGCTGATTGACATGGACCGTGATGACAGCTATGAGAAGCCTTGAGAAATCCGCCGACTTATCTGCAATTTCTGCTCTAATACATTTCAATCACATTAGCGCTTCCAGGCGCAGCTGCTATGCACACATCGTGTCTACCATCGATCTCATTTCACATTCACATTCACCTTCACTTCTACCACTGACCTCAAAACTCATGAACGATCTTAAATATAGCGAATGGAGACCGGAATGACCCTGTTATTGTTCGCCTATATGACAAAGAAGAATGAGGAAGCTAGGGGGCAATAGACTGTTGTGCGACTGTGAGTCCAACAGCTACAGCGTTTCATTTTACCATCACAATGTCTCTTGCAGACCAACTGTAGACCACGTGCTATACTTCACGTCCATCTTCCTATCACGCAATATTAATCCCTTCAGTGGGATATAATCTTTCTTGCACCGCAAACCACGTTAGCTTTCTGAAACGCACACCTCAATCATTGCCATCCGCTTCTGCAGGACAGACGCAAAGACATGCGCTCAAGAATACTCATTACTACGGTGCTGGCCGCCCTGAGCAACGCCCACGAAGATCACCAGAGTGAAGGCGGGCAGTACACACTGACCGACGACCTCACTTACAAAAAGTTCTTCTCCGCCTTTGACTTTTTCGACGGCCCAGATCCAACCAAGGGTTTCGTCAAGTACCAGAACCAGGAGAATGCGATCAAGCAAGGTCTAGTTGGCTACCTCGAGGATACACAGTCCGTGTTCATGGGCGTTGATTACACGACCAAGGACACTGCTGGCCGCGCTTCCGTTCGCCTTGAGAGCAAAAAAAGCTGGAACCATGGCCTGCTCGTAGCGGACATCCGCCATAGTGAGTATTCCCTTACAAACTGCATGTGAGACATACACTGACTTCGTATGATCGTCTCTAGTGCCCGCCTCTCAATGTGGGTCTTGGCCGGCCTTTTGGCTTTTGTCGTCCTCGGCAGACTGGCCCCAGGGTGGGGAAGTGGACATCCTCGAGGGCGTGAACGACTACGAAAGTAACTCTGTTACCTTGCATACAACCACGGGTTGCATGGTTGATAACTCGACATAAGCAGGAGGAGGATCTGGTGTAGCCGGCGATATCGAAGCGGCACCATTCACTGGTCTTATGTCTACAGACGATTGCGATGTTGCTGCACCAGGTCAGCTCAAGAACGTCGGATGCTCTATTCATGCTCCCGAAATCATGTCTGGTATCCAAACTGGTGGTAGCGGTAACACTGACACCGGCGGTGCTGTGCCTCTTCCCTCGTACGGAACGGAATTTAACAAAGCTCAAGGCGGTGTCTACGCTATGGAATGGAGCACCATTGGAATCTCGGTTTGGTTCTTTCCTCGTGAATCTCACGGCTTCACTGAAAATTTCTCTTCAAACACAACCCTTCCCGACCCATCTCGCTGGGGCACACCTATAGCCCACTTCAGCGGTTCCGGTTGCGACTTCTCTGAGCGCTTCCGAGATCTTAAAATCATCTTTAATATCGCTTTTTGCGGTGAATGGGCAGGCGCTGAGCGGGACAAGTCTTGTGCCAAAAAGACTGGGGTTGCAACCTGTAATCAGTATGTTCGCGATAATCCTGAGGTATTTAAGGAGGCATACTGGGAGGTTGCTGGGTTGAAATGGTTCCAGAAGGGTGCTACGCAGAAGCGTGCTTATACTCCGGTGACAAATTTCAAGGCGCAAAGTGAGTAGTTTGCTTGTTAGCTTGGTAGGTGACTCTCTATCACACTTCGCCTAGAAATCTCACATACACTTTTCACGACTGGTTCTACGTCACATAATTCGATAGTTTATACCTGATATCGTGTGCAATACCACAGTCGATTGGTGGGCTTCCGCGATCCCTCAGATGGTATACCTGAACCTGGGACTATCGTCACCCATCTCAGCAATATCCTCCTCAGCCATTCCCTCGACCAAATGCTCTTTCTCGCCCTTCTCACGTCTCGAGTTGATACGTCCAAGTTGAAACCACATAACAGCGTAGCATATACAAGCAAAACCCACCATGGCCATAGTAATTCCATGGCCCTTGATAAAGCGAGGTCGATCCGCTGTAGGATATATCTGGTTTTCGTTAGTGTACGGTTCATAGACAGTCTAGGAGCTGAAGAGAAACTTACAAAAGCACTCATGATGCCCGCACAATTACCAATACTCAACTGCAATCCCGTTGCGGTTGTCCTCTTTCCGTATCGCGGCAGATTCGTAGGAAGCCAAGCCAATGGCAAACCAACACAAACATACAGTCCCATCGCGACGAGGAAACAACCCGCGTAGTGAACGCCAGAGCTCGCATCGCTGATCAATATGGCGTATCCAACAATACTAACCACGCCAAGCAAGATACTGTAGAATCCGCGCTTTTGCTGTTTGTCCGAGAAACGCGCAACAACCAGGTACGTAATCGCACCCAGTGCGTAACACGGAATAGTAAGGACTTGTATCATCGCGCTACTAGCGGTGGTGTTGATCGACCTGATAATAGTCGGCAAGAAAGTAGAGTAACCGTAAAGCATGGTATCACTCCCGAACTGTGCGAAGCAGAATACCCAGACCTTCCAGTCCTTGACGCACTTCCTCACATCGTCCCAATGGAACTCTGCTGCTTTCTTGGTGTACCCAGTTTGGCGCTTGAGACGAGCTGCAGCAAAAGCCTTCTCCTCGGCAGTGAAGAAATAGGCCGTTTCTGGGGTATTGGGAAGAATGAACCAGGTTGCGATACCTAGGGCAAAAGTAGGAATTCCTTCTAATATCATGATCCAGCGCCATCCACGCAGACCGGCTGTGCCGTCCATGTGCCCAATTGCATAGGCAAGGAGACCACCGCATGCTCCAGCAAGCGCAGCGGAGACGAAGAGGTATCCGATGCGCAGGGCGAGTTCGCGTTTGGTGTAGAAAAACGTCAGGTAAACGGCCATTCCAGGGAACAGACCTCCTTCAACAGCACCAAGGAGCAGACGACATGCGATCAAGCCACCGTAGCTCTGTACGATACCAGTCAAGGTCGCGATGATACCCCACGCGACGGTGATGAATGCTATCCATCGCGAAGGCGTGAGTTTCTTCAAGACCAAATTCGACGGCACCTCAGAGAGAATGTATGTTACGAAGAGAATCGAAACTGCGGTCTGAAACTGAGAATCGTCCATATTAAGGTCTTCCTGTAGACCATAGAGTCGCGCATTGCCGATGTTGACTCTGTAGTCGCGTTAGTGGGCTTCTCGAGCGAGTCATCAACTTCCAAATTCCAAATCCATCAGAAATTGTGTTTCTTCGTCCCTATGCTCCAGTCGAAAAAGCAGTGTAACAAGCAAGAAAATCCTAAAACTGACCGATCGAGGAAACTGAGCAAATACAGCAGCATTACCACCGGGATAACGAAAAGATCAAGCTTGCGAACAATTTTTGCTTCGAAAACTGGATCAACACTTTCCAGCTGTGTGCCCAATTCATCGCTCTCTTTCTCAGCATCTGGCACCGCTGGGTCGTACTGTTTCTCGATATCGCTCATGGTGTCGTTACGCGTTCGCGTCTAGTTCCTCGGAGAATTAAAACGACGATGATCGATGATTCGACGCGAGGGGAGGCCTGTCGCGTTGACTTTGCAGTTGCAAAGCGTTGTTTGAGGAAAGTATGATGAACGAGTGGCAGCGTCCCGTGTATTATCGCGTCTAGCCAAAGGGCTGATATGTCATCCTGTCGCACTCCAACGTTTTGCCACGAAAGGGAAATGCTCATGCTTTAAATTTGTCGGCTTCGACATCGGACGAGTCTGCAAGGGCCCACTACTGGACGACAATGCCGGCGGGCAGATCTATGGCGGGGGCTGGAGCCAATGGAGCACAGAGCTAGCTGTTTGTGGTATGACGTTGACGGCTACCCTACCTGTAACACAGATATGGCCGCTGGGCAACTGATAACGAACCACACGTTTCCCTGGTTCGATTTTTGCCAATTTTCCAAGGTTGGGGGAGATGTCAGACGAAAGATGGGGGTGCTCGCGTGCCTCTTGCGTGAGGTGGTGTAGACAGTTGTCTTCCTGCTTTGACGTCTCCATCGCATTAGCCCGCTGTCAAGTATCGCTTAGGCAATGCGATTAGTCCTTAGTCGTACGTTCAACCAAACAAACAATGTAGCAGGAGCTGGAGACGTGATTGCATCATATCGCGCATTGTTGTGCAGATCAACGCTGATCTGGAAACAGCTTCTTTAATACCAGCTCATCATCTATTGAAGCTATTCAAGCGGAGATTTGTGTTCGTAACCAAATAGGCCTCTTTACACCAGCTCAGACGACGTCAACGATGAATAGCTAAAAGACGTTGCATCCCAATCGATAGGAAGCACGATACCAGAGTAGATATCGATCTGCGCCGAAGGATTAACTGGCCACACCAATTCATCACGCGCCAAGTCGATCTCACCTCCCGCATATTCCGCATCCATGGCCACGGTATTCTGGGTGCAGGTACCGGCAATACACGACCGTGCAATAGCCCGAACCTCCTTTGCCATCTTCTTTCCGAGAGGCCAGAGAGTCGCCATTGTGTTGACGAAGCCGATACTCAGACGGACGCGATCCCGTCCGATCGACAGCGCATGTCCATCCAATATGTAAGTGCACGCTGACACTTGTACGGCAGCGAGTTGTGAGGTGATGCACATGGTGAAGATGTTATGCTTTTCGAGGGCGCATGGGATTGCAAGGAGATTGGTGTGGATCTCTGTCGCTTTGAGTACACGTGCGGTATGTGCATTTCGTCCAGCTTTTGGTGTAAGTGTGAAGGGAGAAGGTGCTTGGAAAGCTTGCGTAGTCATCTCCTCAGGACAGTATCCCAGTGACGAGAAAGGCCGATGCAGCGCAGAGATAGTTCTGCCTTGGTCAGTATATCGATAGTAACACATGAAGGGGTCACCTACATTGCAGCACACATGTGTGCCATAAACCTAGAACAAGTACTATCAGCTACCATCCTTGAGTTACATTTGCTGGCTGTATAGCATACATCACCTCATCTACTTGGCCGTTTAGTCGAAGTGGATCCTTCTTGCAAGCTGGAAGCAACGATGACCAGATCGCGAGTTTCGTGTCGCAGTTCTCGACCAGGACCTCGTTTACTACAGCAGTGTCGAGAAAAGTATTCATGACTGATATGGTCAGCTCCTAAGCCACGGCCATTCTCTGTCATTAGATGAGGTAGGTGACTGTTGCCTATCAAGCGTGCTTACCAAAAGCGATGACCATGGCAATGTCATAAAGATACACTATTGACGAGTAGATCACTTCAATCTCTGCAAACTCACGAACTTGGTACTCAGACCATGTCGCTATAGGCGGTATGTTCTGCTCATATTAGCCTATCGACCATGATGTCATGCCATTCCAACGTACTCCTGATTCAAAACACTCATCATCACACGGTAAATCAACCGTGTTTGGTATCAGAAGCAACGAATAGAAGGGCGTATTTGTGACGACGGCGAGATGCTGATCCACGATGTAAAGGATATAATACGTCCGTCTCCAACACTCTTCCAGCACTGAATCGTTCTCACCGTACGCTCGAGCAAAGTCTCTTTCGTTCATATGAAGTTCCAGTGCCATGGCGGTACATGTGCTGAGTTTCTTACGAGCTTCGACTCTATTATCGCAATGGAACTCGGCAAGAGCGAAAAGCATTAGCGCCTGCACATTGAACGGCGTACGCGTAAGGTTCGGTGATGTAATGGCCTCCAGAGCTGTCATATAGTAGGGCTCTGATGGTGTCCAGGGCGCGTAGATTGAGCCGATCCATTCTAAGACAGATAGAAGGGTGGTTATCCCATGGTTGTCTTGTAGACGCCTCGACTGTAGGTAATGCAAAGGCAGGACGATTGGGAAGGGAGGCCAGAAGTATTCGAAATATAACTCTAACAGTCGATTTTTGTCGACTTTAAACGCCACATGATTGTGTTGGTTCTGAGAGGGCACGACTGGTATGGAATCATCTGCTGAGCTGCTAGTGGGCGTCCCTAGACTCGATTGATTAGATGACGATATTGCCGATGTTTTGTGCTCTTCACTGAAACAATCATCGCGTTGGGTCGCTGAACGCTGTGGATTCCTAGCCTCCTGTTGCAGTCGCAAGCGTCGTTCCGCAAGTGCAGCCTTATTCAAGCCTCCTCTTCTGGATTTCTGATAGACACATTTTTTCCCGTCGCGCCTGCACCTACTGCAAACTGGTTGTGTAGAGTCGCATTTTACGTGTCTACTGCGACACTGTACGCATGCCAGCACTACCCGGTCGATGCGTTTCGAATCGGACGATGATTCCATCCTCGGGCGAAGATGACGCGAAGGCTGCTACAGGGTCTTGATTGTAGTTTGGAGCAATGTCATAAACAACCACCCTGCACGGCAGTGCGATGAGAAAATCAAAAGTCTTTCCAGTACCAAACTTGATACGAAGGGACAAAGAGGTAAGCACCATTCTCAAGGCTTGCCGAACTGGCTGTACACTGTGACACCTTTCCAAGCTGGAGGCCGCGCCTGCCGAGGCGGCAAGGGTCAGGCGTGCATTTGGGGGCCGGTCCTTGGGGCCTTAGCATAACCAAAAGTCGTGAGTACGTGCTGGTAGTGGTTAACAAGTATGATCACATATGGCACGGCACGTAGGTTCAGCTATGCAACACGTAAAGTGCCGTCATTATCTCCGTACATTCGCAAGCCTTTCTACCCTACCATAAACTAGAAATAATTGCACTAATAAGTCCACATGCAGCCTTCATGATACGACAGGCCAACGTAGCAACATCCAAATCGGGTCTCAATGCCAAACATGTAATCATATGCGTTCCAGACCTGACGGGCATAATCCGTACCAGCTGGGGATTGTCGCTTTTCCATCGTGTATCTATAATTGAAGGTGAGAAAGCAGTGGGGACAAGCTGCGAGCCTATCGCAGCTTGCCATGTTCCTGGGCCTCTTTGACTTGTTCAAAGACCTGCAATATCATGTTAGCTGTCTGGACTCTGCAATCTCAGATCATGTGGTATCGCATACCTTTAGCATCTTTCTACGCGCACCGAGAGCGTTGACGCCACGCTTCTCCAAGCCTTCGTCATCGAGCTCGATAAGCTCCTGCCACTTGAGATCCTTCAGGTTATCTGTATACTTGTGCAAGCGGAGACTCCGAAGCCAGTTGGGAATGTCCGAAAGCAGTCCAGGGTCGGTAGGGTCCTCCGGAGGCTTCGAGCTGCCGCGACGGCCTCGGGGAGATCGACCGCGATCAATGTTGTCACCAAGGAAGCCATGGCCATCATTGCTGCCGCCAGCAAGGCCGAACTGAGCGAGGTTCAACGCGCCCATGCCGTTGTTCATCATACCACCACCGTAGTCGGCAGCCAAGAATCCGTTGGCCTGAGGCGAGGTAAAGTTACCCATGGCACCCATACCCTGGCCCTGCATCGCGAAGCCAGGGGAGCTAGGGCGAGATCGGCGACCTTGCATAGCGGCCAATTGTTGGGCCTGAAGAGCAGCCGCCTGTTGTGGGGTCAGTACCTGACCCAGCTCATTGGTCATGAGGATATTTCCATTGCCCATCTGAGGCATGCCAGGGGACATGGGCCCGTTGTCCGAAGACCGGGCACGGCGGAACTTGCGCACATCATCCAGCTGGATGCGATTGTTAACAGTGGACAGGGCAGCCAATTTCATAGCAGTGGCGTTGGCTACCATATCAGCCTGGTTGTTAGACTGTTGGAAGTTGGCGACCATGGGAGTGCTCAATTGAGAGGCCCAGCTTCCACCTGGGGCGTAAGAGGGCGAAAGAAGTGGCATGTTGGAAGAGTTGGCCTCGAGCGCGTTCAGTGTAGTGGTCTGCACATTGTTGCTATCGTTCTGGAGAGGGAGGCGAGGCGAGCGGAGACCGGCAGATGGAGGTGGTTGAGAGAACTGGCCCATTGGCGGCTGCTGGTGTTGCTGCTGGCCAGAAGACTTGGGGCGATTCGCGCTCTCGTTCCAGGGTGATGCTGGCGGAGCATTGTTCTCCCTCTTGTTATCTTCGGGAGCAGAGATGGTGGGAGCTGCCAGGGAGCTGCGGTCTCCGACGGTGCTATTGCGGTTGGACGCCGGCGCAACGCCGACCACATCGGTGAATTCAGCCTTCTGCTTGGCGATAGCAGCCGCGGCGTCCGGGAACATGCGGTTGATCTGGGATGTCTCCAAGCCCGAGTTGCGTTTTCCAGCACCCGGGGATGGCGGAGGACGACCGAGACCCATGGAATGACGGTTTTCACCCGTGCTGAGCTTGCTCATGGCATCGCTCAGCTTCTGTGTCATGGGATCTGGCGCATGTCAGCATGGGGAGGACGTTGGAGAAGTTATCTGACTTACCCTTCTCTCCAAAATTGGCAGGGGACAGAACTCCGGACATGGGCACATTCTTGGACATCTGCTGCAAGACTTGGATAAAGAAGCGAATCTGCACCTGCGTCGTCTGCTGCAGCAGAGCATAGAGCGCTGCAGTTCTCTCGGCCTCGCTGAGGACGCGGAACCACTGCTCTATAGCGCTCAGCTCGTCCTTGAAGTCCTGGTCGAGGGTCGCGGTCGCCATCTCTTCGAGTGTGGTTTCATACTGGTCGATGTCGGCGAGCCACTGCTGAGCAGCGCGTTCCATTTCGTCCGGGTTACCCGACTGTGTGTTGTTGCGACCAAAGTAGATTTCGGAAGCGGGACGAATACCACGGTTGGCGAGAGGGGAGGGGAAGCCGCCTAGATCAGCGGAGGCACGGAGATGGTGGTTGGCACCGAGGGAGCTTCGGGCCTGGGGTGGGCGGAGCGAGCTGGAACCCTCGGGGGTGCTGTTCCTGTTCGCAGCTATATGGCTGGCAGACATGGCGGCGGTGGGCGTGGGAAACCGTGGGTTCAGTGGGGAGGTTGAAATTCTGGCCTCTGGTCAGTATGGTTCGGGCGGATACAAGTGATGGCATGCCGGATGCTGGCAGACGTACAGTGTGGGTAGCCGAGTACACGGGTGGTGGTAGTAATGTGTGCACACGAGTCCTGCAGTCCCAGCTGTGCCTCAAAGGACGTCGAGTTGCGAAATATCAGGGGAGTTCCAGTTTCGCGGGAGGGCTGATGGGTGCAGGGGATGCGCTTGGCCGGGATGCACAGGCAAGCAGCGCAACAAGAAGAAACGGCGTAATATATCAAGGTACAGAGAAGGGAAACGTCAGCGAGAGAGAGGTGGAAGAGCGGAAGAGCTCACTGCAAGACGTGAAGGGGGAGGACGGTGTCAAGGTCTCATCGCTCGAAAAGGCGTTGGTTTGTTGCTAGCGCGCAGCCAATCACGGAACCCTGCGTCAAGGCTGAGGCAATGGCTCGATTGTTCTAGCGCTGGTGCTCACCTGTTACAGACAGATGGGGCAGACATGCCTACAAGCTGTCTGCTTGCATGCCTTTGGTCGTCATCTCCGACTGTCTTAGCGATGCAGCTTGTCATGGCTGCCTGTGAATCCCACGAGCGTCTGTGGAACATATCTCCGCACACCAGCACCACTCCACTCCACACACCCACCGAACGACATGGCACCTTTGCTGTTTCGAGCCAGTGCAAACGCTCAGACACACACTCGTTAGCAGCCACTCCATGCTAGGCCGTCAGCAACAGAAGCATACGTAGCGCACCCTTTCTGTAACAGCTTCTCTGCCGTGTCCTACTGCTTATTGGCGAGCCGCGCCGTCAAACGCCCCGAGAAACAAAAGAAATTCTTCCCGAGACGCGTTCATGCACCGACTGTAGCTAAAGTTAGTCGTTCGGAACCACGGCCACAGAGGTCGTGCGTCTTCAAGTCGTGTTCCATCATTACAGGAGTGTCGTCGATGCCTGACTGGGGTCCACTTATTGCCTGATCAGCCATCCGATGCTCGGCAGGTACATGCACTAACGGTAGAAGCTACATGCCCTAGAGAGCACTACTCCAAGCATGTCTGATAGAGACATTTACTACATACTACTTGTCATAATAGAAAATCGCACCAAGACGAGCAATGTTGCCCAATTGAGATTTAGCCTTCGATGACATTTGAACTATTTTCCTCACAACACCCACCAAATGCTCCTCGTGGTAACCGTCAATCGTGGTCAACCAGTATTCAGAAGCGACTCGTCCGAAGCGCTTGATTGGTGGAGGAGCCCTCATCCGTAGTTGAATGTGTTGAGTCAAAGTGCAAAGTACCGCTAAAGCTCCTATTGTACTTGCACAGCGCACGGTCGTCCATGTTTGGTCAGTCGGGCTTATCATGTCCCATGATGTCGAGAATCTCTTCAGCATCCATTGCCTGCTGCCAGATGTGGTCAACCTCTGGGTTCACGGATGATCACGTTGTGGAGTTACGGGTCTAAGGCGGTATCTTGAACGGAGGCTGATAAACAGGTGTTCTCGTAATGACAGGGAAAAGGTAGACATTCCTGGAGATACTGATGCTAAGGCAGGTAAGATTGTCTCAGCCATCGTGATAACGCTCTCAGCCGGAACATCCACGGCAAGAGGCTGCTTGTTGTTCAATAGCATGTCGCCAGGCGAAGATGGCGTATTCCATTCCTGCTCTTCTGATTCCTGCTCTTCTAGGTTAATCTCATCGTCATAGCTGCTGTTATAGTCGTGATCGCTGTCGCTGTCGTTGGGAGACATAACTGTAAGAGCGCCAGGCTAGAAGTCGCGAGGCACAAGTCTGCCTTCTCCAGAGATCCACTAATCTGAATCGTTATGAATTATACCCCGGAAGTAATCCCAAGTCCCATTCGCCGACCATTAGTTCTTACTGTTATGCGTAACCGGACAGGACAATCCTTGTGAAGGATCCAGGACGATTCCTGCTGTAGATAATATTGTCAATTTTCGTGGTGGATGCAAAACTTTTCTTGGTTGCAATGGGTATCTTCTTATTTTACATCTGCCGTACTCCGGTCTCATGACGACGCCGCCGCTTGTTGCGATTGCTGTGCCGCCGACTGTATCTGGATAATCTGACTCATTTGTTAACATTACAAGCAGCAAGACGCATTCAGAAAGCATACCTCGCCCTTGATCTTCTCGCTCTTGTCCTGTATTCCCTGGATCTGCTTCTCGATATCCTTGCTGCTTCCAGTCAGAAAAGAACCTCTTCCGTCTCAATCAGTCCACCTACATCTGCTTGTCGATGAATTCGAGGCGGCCATTAACCGACATGACGGCCTCTGTCTTGTCCTGCTTCAACAGTACTGGTCCGATCTGCTTGTAGATGTTCGCATCGTCGTCGAGTATGTCAAATTCCTGTCGTGGCAGCGATAAGTACGGGTTCCGACCTCGTGTGCGTAGAGTCCCACCTTCTTGACCGTACTGTTCTCCTGCTGTTGTGATTCGAGCTTCTGGCGTGCTTCTACTGCAGTTCCGAGCTCTGTTCCGAGATTAACCAACGAATTCGTAAGCAGAGCGAATGCCTTACCGGCCTGGAGGCCCTGGTAGCTGTCAGATAGTGCCTGGAGCTTCTTTTGCACGTCTGCCATGGCTTTGGTGATGCTGAGTAACGCGTTACAGAAAGTTGGCCCCAGTCTTGTTCGGAAGTCGCGAGTGGGATGCTGAACTTTCTCAATGCAGTTAGAAGTAACGCGGGGCTAGGTAGGTGCCTTGGCCGTACCTAGAACGACGGTCACCTCCAGCGCTCTTGTGTACGACTGCAAGCCCGGTTTCGACAAGCCGATTCCGAGTCACTTTCCGCTCAAGAACCGTCGCCCTCAGCTGCCTTCTCCTTCCTTGCCTCACACAGTCGCCCCGACCTCGCGAAACCATAGGCAAACAACACGCGATTGCCCCACTCAGATCGCCCTTCGCCGCTCGTACAATCATCCTTCACAACTCAAGCGGCGCGCGCCCCAGGATTCACGCTCGCTGAAGCCTCCACGAATCTTCCATCTTAGCTATGAGTAACGCCGACTTTCTCGGCCGGGCCATCGAGACGGTCAAAAAGGCAATTGAGACGGACACGGCAGGAGAATATGAGAAGGCATATCAGCTGTACTACAGCGCTCGTCAGTAGCCTCATGTATAGCCCATATGAACTTGTGCGCTGACTCCTTACGCAGTTGAGCTTTTCATGCTCGCTCTCAAATGTACTGTGACCGTCCTTACGGAACCGACAGTGATGCTAATACTCAGCAGGGGAGAAGAACCAGAAGTCCAAGGACATGATCCGCGGCAAGGTGGCCGAGTACATGGAGCGCGCAGAGAAGCTCAAGCAGCATCTGAATCAAAATGACGCCTCGAATCGCAAGAAGCCAGCAGCTATGGGATCCAATGGCAAATCAGCAGGCGGAAGTGGAAAAGGCGGAGGGTATGCATTCCCTCCGCACACAAAAAGCACCAATTCCCACACTAACTTCTAATAGTGACGAGGATGAGGGCGAACAAGACGCCGACTCCAAAAAGCTCCGCGGTGCGCTCGCAGGCGCCATTCTTTCCGAGAAGCCCAATATTCGATGGGAAGACGTAGCAGGTCTGGAGATGGCGAAAGAAGCACTCAAGGAAGCTGTCATATTACCCATCAAGTTTCCGCATCTGTTTACTGGGAAGCGACAACCATGGAAGGGCATATTACTCTATGGGCCCCCTGGTACGGGTAAGAGTTACCTGGCAAAAGCGGTCGCTACCGAGGCGAATAGCACATTCTTTAGTGTCTCCAGTTCCGATCTCGTCAGCAAGTGGATGGGTGAATCAGAACGGTGGGTCAAAACAACATGTGTTGATGCGAAACGGCAACTGACACTATACCAGACTCGTAAAACAACTCTTTGGCATGGCTCGCGAGAACAAGCCTTCGATTATCTTTATCGATGAAATTGACGCCCTCTGCGGACCTCGAGGTGAAGGAGAGTCGGAAGCATCGCGACGTATCAAGACGGAACTGCTAGTGCAGATGGACGGTGTAGGCAAGGATTCCAAGGGCGTGCTCATTCTCGGCGCAACCAATATCCCCTGGCAACTCGACTCTGCCATTCGACGACGATTCCAGCGCCGAGTCCATATTTCACTGCCAGACACCCCTGCCAGGATGAGGATGTTTGAGCTCGCAGTCGGTAATACGCCTTGCGAGCTGAATCAAGCCGATTACAAGAAGCTGGCGGAGCTCAGCGAAGGGTATTCTGGATCTGATATTTCCATTGCAGTACAAGACGCGCTCATGCAGCCTGTACGACTGATCCAGACGGCGACACACTACAAGCCTGTCCAGGTAGACGGTCAAACAAAGTGGACACCGTGCTCACCTGGCGACCCACAAGCGGAGGAGAAGTCATGGACAGACCTGGATGGCGATCAATTGCTTGAGCCGCCTCTCAAGGTCAAGGATTTTGTCAAGGCAATCAAGGCTTCAAGACCGACTGTTAGTGGCGAGGATTTGAAGCGCAGCGCCGAGTGGACAAAGGAGTTTGGTAGTGAGGGCGCGTAGCTGGGCTGTTGTTGTCTAAAGACGGTGCTATATACTTTCGAGGCGCTTTTGGTGTTTATATCCCCTTCTAGCATAGCGATTCCAGGCCGTAGATGGACCGGCCGGCGTTGATGCTTCAAATACACGATCAACTTGAGCTGTTCTTCCTTGACTATTTTGCCAACTACATTTATCCTAATCCAGCCTCGTTTTGATAGTCGTTGGGAAGAATCAGCATACTGCAATGGATCACCATGGTACATGATACAGGCTGTTAAGTAATGGTAATTTACTTATTTACACTAAGCCAGACCAGCCGAGTCTAATCGATAGCATAATCGGAGTGGATGAGGGGATGAAGGGGAAACATTTGGGGGGAATCTGTGTGAAACAACCTGACCTAACCTAACCAAAACAAGCATCCCGCCGCAAAAACAATGCCATTCCACACTTCGCCAGCCTTAGGAATCATGACGAGGCTCAGAGATCCTCACGGCATTTCCTTGCATCGTGTCTTCATGCTAGTGTGCTCATGTCACAATTCCAAATCGAACGCCGCTCATGCATCGTGTCCCATGTGAATTTTTCTCCACAAGTCCGTAAAGTTGATCGTCCGAGAATGGCCTACTCAACCTCTAGCTAAAGTAGGCTTGCGCGGTACGCTGCTGCTCCGGTGTCAGAGTCGCTGCAGCTTGACCGAGATCGGTGCTAGTCGCCTGAATGAGCGCCTTGACGGATGCGACGACGCGGTTCGCGGTCTGCCCTTGCAGAGTCTCGGCCTCGAGAGCTTGCACAACGTAGTTGAACACCTTTGCGGGCTGGGAGAATACGGCTTGGTTTTGCCTGTTTAAAAGTTAGCGAAGTTCCCTTGCGTATCCTGTCTGACGCGTAGACGTACTGTTCAATCAGCTGGGACAAGAAGGCATACGCGTATGGCGTAGCCTCCTCGTCGTTAGTAATTGGAAGGGTGTCGATCCAGGCTGCAGCCACGCTATCCCAATTGGCGACCTTGCTTGCGTTGTAGTGTAGGATCTTGGCGATCGCAGCCGATGCATTCTCTGTCGCAAAGATATCGTCGTCCGCGCGGGCATTGGGCCTCTGTGTAACCTGGAAAAGTGTCTCTAGGGAAGCAGCAACAAATTCTGACCAGTTCTCTCCACCCTTGTGAGCTGCGACACCAACACCATATACTGCCGCCTGGCGATTAGCAGGAACATCGTCTTGCATACCGTCAATCAGGGGTTGGATGATTTGGTCTTTGTATTGCCACGACTCTGGGCCGCAGAACTCCAGCACATCGTCGTAGATGCAAATCGCCCATTGGCGTTGAGTAGGGTCGGGGTTGACAACAGCCATGCTGTAGAACTCGATCAAACCTGCCCAGTGAGGCAAGAACGATGTACCCATGGTCTTGAAAATGCTGTGGAATGCCTTGTTCATGTCTGATAAAAGGTTTTGGTCATCTTCGATCGCGAAGAGAATATCTTCCGAGGCTTCCTCACCATCTTCGTTTTCGGCTTGCTCCTCTAGACGTTCTTTGACGCGAATGTTGTAGTCTTGAAGCACAGTCCTAGCGGACTCGATGAAGGTGGTCATGTGTGCATCCGACAAGCAGTTGCGGCCGATGCACTCGAGGCACTCGTAGAAGCACTGGTACATCTCGGCAAGAGTGTCAATGGCAGGCTCAGTGCTGAGAACTTCAAGGACGCGCTCGACAGTACGTCCCCAGAGTGCACCCAGCTCTGCCGATTCGGGACCGTGGGCCTTCTTGTATGCATTCAACAATGCCGGGACACATTTGGCGGAAGCGACTCGTACGGGGTCGTGGAAGAAGAAAGCTAGACCTGGAAGGGCAATCTTCTCCATGATATCGTTCACGTAGGGCTCGAAAGCATCCTCTAGCACTTGCGCGTAGATTACGATGAGCTCGATAGCCATGTGCTTGTCATCGAGGATGCTGGTCTTGATTCCAATAACCTTGCCCTTGAGCGGAACCAATTCCCAGCCTTCTTCATCTTGGATCTGAGCAACCTGTTCCTCGTCATCAAGCAGCTGAATGTCAGCCTTGGCTCCAGCAAGCTCGGTCAGTGGCGGGATGACACCGGCGAGGAAAGGAACAAACTCCCGTCCTAGCACACGACACATGCGGCCCCAGCAGTGAAGCAGGTATGAGGCTTGCGGGTCATCAGCCTCGGAGACGCTGTTTTGAATCCGGCCAAGCAGTTGTACAAGGTTGAGCGCGTCCTGGCCCATACGGTCCTTTCCGACAGCCAGAGCAATGAGAGTTGCGCACTCCATAGCCTTGGCACGAAGAAGTCTGTATTCCTTCGACTGTTCCTCTTGTAGAACGTTGAATAGAAGAGGCATAAGGGTATCGTAGTACTTGGAAAAGGCAGCCTCTGCAGAATCCGCAACAGTGGCAATGGTAGACAATGCTTGTTCCTGCACAAAGCGCTTAGGGCTCTGCAAAAGCATGAGCAAATGGTTAAGCAGCTGGTCAAGATATGGCTCAAGGATGTCCTTCTCAGCCTCTTCGCAGAAGTTGACGAGAGCGGCAGCAGCGTGCGCTTGCACACGAGGCTCTGAAGATTCCAGGACTGGGATGATGTTTGGCAGGACGACCTGATGGTACTTCTCCTGCATGGTACCAGCAAAGTCGGTCGACATCTGGCCGACGGCGTTGCAGGCAGCCCATCGCACACGAGGATGGGGGTCTCGGAGCGCTGGCAGGACGAGATCCAGCACCTTGTCTAGCTCGCCAACCATCAATTCACGGCATCCCTCAGAGATGGCTGATATAGCCATGAGAGCTGCGTGTCTGTCGCGCCACGCTGAAGAGGTCATCATGCGAGGTAGCCAGTTGAAAGTCGGGGGAAGAATGGCTTGTCCGCCAAGCTTGTTTGCCAACCTATCCATGCACTGCTCTCCCGCGACATGATTTGAATCAGATTCTTCGTCCAAGTCTTCAGAAACATTCCATTCTTCAGCGTCATCGTCATCGGCACCAACGTCGGTCATCAGAGACAGACATTGGGTGACCATGTCGTTGGTGAAGTTGGCATCCTTCTTGCACATGAGAGGAGCGTTATCGGCGAACGTGGCCATGAGTTCCAAGGCGTTCTGTCGGGCCGTCTCTCCCAAATCCTTGTCCTGAATAACGGAGATGCTGAACTGGACGAGGCTGTTGAACAGAGGCTTGAACATCTTGGGCGCGACTTCAGCAAGATCGATGAGCGAGACGAGGGCCTTGGAGAGGAGCTCTGCATCGCCAGAGTCCTTAATGGGTGGCAGAATGTTGAGAATCTCTCCGATGAGAGAGTAGTACTTGGACTGGGCCTTCTTGGTGATGGAGCGAAAGAAGGACGCGAAGGCTTCAACGGATGCGATGCGGACCTGTGAGGTGTAAGCTGAGCATGACCATGTGCATGTGGGAAGCGTACCGATGTCTCGCTGTCGGCAAAGCCGCCCTTGAAGGCAGTCATGACCACATCTTCGTGCTGCTTCTCGATGATCTGCGGGGTTGTCGAGAATATCCTGAAGGCGTTCTCGCGTTGCGCGGGGTCTGCGGACTGGCTGGCCTGGAACAATGCGCCCAGTAGCTCCGGCCATGCAACGCCTATGTGGTTTTAGACATGTTTGTGTGAGATGTGCCGTTTCCTCGTACCTTCATCTGTGTGCTGGCGAGCGAGCTCGGCTACGGCATCTCCAACCTTTGTGCGTACTGAGTTGTCGGTCTCATTGGCGAGGCACTGGAGGAGCTTTGCGCGTATGGCTTCGCGCTCGGGGGCATTGAGGGTCAGGAAGAGGTCGGCCGTCTGACCAGAGGGCGCCTTTCGCGGTTTCGACGACTGTCGCCTGAAGATGACGGCGGCGAATGTCCGTGTCTAACATGGCTTGTAAGCTAAGATGCACGATTTGCACCGGATCAACGGCGTACTGAGGTGTCTTGGGCCAGCTCAATCTGCTCCGAGAGGCCCATCAAGAGCACTTCGGGCCTCTGGGCAACCCATTCGTCGTTCAACTGCTGCTCGGCGGCTGTACGCTGAACATTATCGGGCGACTGGAGACCCTGCAGCAGGGTGGCCAGCGCGGTGTGCACCTCGGCAGGGAGGACAGACATGTCGTATGCGTGTGTTTGTCGTGTGTATCGTGGGGTGCGGCCCCGGTTCGGTGTGTTGTTGTTCGCAACGGAGTGAGGTCGCTTGGTCGGTAGTGCCTGCGGAGCGCGTGTGACGTGGTGTTTCTAGAGTCGCGCCCCTACTGCCGTCGAAATGTGCAGAAGCAGCGTGTGCTATCTTACAGACGTCCGTCGGCGGCTGAATCTGGGGCTTTGTGTGGTCTGATTTGGGGGGGTTGCCGTAGAAATAATTTCATTCACCAACTGTTTTGGCGGGGCTGGCTTCGCGAATCCGCCTGTCCAAAAAAACAAGGGTGCGTGGAGAGTGCAACCCCACCATGCCATTGGCTATTGTGCCTTCTCACCGACTGTACGTGACTGAGTGCAAGCCGACCCTTGCAGCCTGCAACAACACTAACAGTACTCGTGTCTATATCAAGAGGCACTTGGAGACTCGACCTTGACACGGGCTGTCTTGCACTTCCTTATTCTGCGCTGTTGTAGGCTGTAGGGTAGTAGTCTGTCTAGTCTCTACGGCTGCGTGCATGACCTCTTTGCAGAGAGGCAGCTTCGTGCAAGACTAGATGCAAAGCGCAAGCAGTATGCACCAGACAGTGTCCGCCCGAGTAGCAGTGACGTGAGCTAGGTGTTTAGGCCTGGTAGCCTGCCATGTGCACATTTCCCATGTTGACTGTCAAGTCAAAGAGGGAGTAGCGGTCTGGCCCCGGCGCTTGCTCCCTCGCGTTGTTTTCCGTACCCTGGCAACCACGTCGACATCCGATTTCCCTTTCCCCCACCTGCCAGCAAACTGCTTTTTGACCAGGAGCTTGGTTCGTAAGCCCACGCCATGTCGCATACCGGTACCATGCGGGGGACGCCCAAGCCCTCAAACCGCAACCAGCCCCAGCAATTCCCCCACAGCCCATCGGGGATTCCACGACCAGCTCTCGAGACTCATGCCTCTCACGTTGCCCAGAGCGAAGCGGGCGGCTCTGGGCTCAGCGCCAGCCGCGCGAAGATGTCGAAGCGCGACGACGTAAGCTGCCCTGCTTGCCATGGACAACCACATACTCATCTCGTGTTTAGGCCATTCGCCGAAAGATCGAAACCGACCTGAACAAGAAGAAGAACCCCAGCGGCCGAGTGCGACCCTCCAAGAAAGCCCCGCCTGGCACTGTCCTCGCCCTGAAGCCCTCCCCCGCGCTCCAGATCAAGCCCTCTACCTCAGTCGCCGAGGCGGCTCAATTGATGGCAGCTAAACGAGAAGATTGCGTGCTGGTGACCGATGACGATGAACGCATAGCAGGTATCTTCACTGCTAAGGACCTGGCCTTCCGTGTCGTTGGCGCTGGAATCAAGGCTCGCGATGTCACCATCGAAGAGATCATGACCAAGAACCCCCTCTGCGCAAAGACCGATACGAGTGCGACCGATGCTCTGGATCTGATGGTCAGGAAGGGCTTTCGTCATCTTCCAGTCATGGACGAGAACCACGACATTTCGGGTATCTTGGATATTACCAAATGTTTCTACGACGCCATGGAGAAGTTGGAGCGCGCCTACAGCTCTTCGCGCAAGTTGTACGATGCTCTAGAGGGTGTCCAGGCGGAGATGGGCTCCAGCCAGCCGCAACAGATCATCCAGTACGTCGAGGCTATTCGTCAGAAGATGTCTGGGCCTACACTCGAGTCTGTTTTGACGGGACTCCCACCCACCACTGTTTCTGTGCGCACCTCCGTCAAGGAAGCTGCGTCACTGATGAAGGAGAACCATACCACGGCCGTCCTGGTACAGGACAACGGATCCATCACCGGTATCTTCACCAGCAAGGATGTCGTCCTCCGCGTTATTGCCGCAGGGCTCGACCCCATGACTTGCAGTGTTGTACGAGTAATGACACCTCATCCTGACTTTGCGCCCATGGACATGAGCATCCAGTCTGCTCTCCGCAAGATGCATGGTAAGTATTCCAAATGCTGAGTGAGCTGAGTAACCGCTAATGTTCTGCAGATGGGCATTATCTCAACCTACCCGTGATGAGCGACGCTGGAGAAATCGTTGGTATGGTCGATGTTCTCAAACTAACCTATGCTACTCTCGATCAGGTATGTCGGGCTGTTCAGTGAAAAAGTATTTGTGCTGACTCTTCCAAGATCAACAACATCAGCACAACGGACAGTGAAGGCCCCGCGTGGAATAAGTTCTGGTTGTCTCTGGACAACGAGACTGAGTCGATGATGTCAGGCGAGGGTGGAAGCCGTGTCCATGACCACCGCTCGTACCTCTCACACAACGACCGCCCTGGCCTCATGGATCGCGGCGATAGTGTGCTACCCAACGAGTCTGCTTCTCATCATGGCGGTGACTCACCAGACCCGTCCGCTGTCGCCAGTATTCCACCGTCCCACATGGAGGACATGCCATTCCCTTTCAAGTTCAAGGCGCCAAGTGGTCGCGTCCACCGTCTGCAGGTAGTCGTATCTGCAGGCATCGAAGAGCTTATCCACAATGTAGCCAACAAGCTCGGTAGCGAGGTCGAAGCCATAGGAGGCACACCGAGCTTCGAAGACGGCAAAGTTTCTCGCGGTGGTTTCGCCCTTAGCTATCTTGACAACGAGGGTGATACCATCTCCATCACCACCAACGACGATTTGGTCGAAGCTGTCAGCCTATCCCGTATGGCGCATCGCGAGAAGGTTGACCTTTTCGTACACCACCCCGACAAGGCCCCAATGTCTGCCGAGGTCAATCCACAACCTGCGCTACCCAAGCCCGTTACACCACCTGAGTCTACTCTTCGCGAGCGCAAGCAGTTCTTCGATGAGGACGACGAAAAGCCTAGATCGAGAGGCCGGAATCAACCAGTACCTCTCTCGCAACAGCCGGAGATCATTGCTGGTGTTCCAAATGACCTTCTCCTACCTGGAGCTATCGGTGTACTAGCCGTAGTTATCGTTGGTGTCTTTGTTCTTGGTCGCGCTAGTCGGTAAGGTGGACGTGGGGTAATATGTGTTGGAGTAAGAGCGAGAGTGAATTGTTTCTTTTGTAAGAATCTGATATCCCATAGATCCCTGGGTATTTCCTAGCTGTTTTGGTAGTCAAATTGAATACATTTTACTTCCACTAATGTACAACTTTGTTCAAGTAGAAGTGTGATAGATTGACGGATGGCCTGGCTACATAGGCAGTACAGTAGTGGATATGGAAGGCACCAATAACGATACATGAGATGCCTCCTTCTTCAAACTTGACATGTTGTAGCATATGATCAACATGTGGCTTCATCAGGTGGAAGGTTCTCATAACCTCTGCCCTGGAAACACGAGATTTCCATTGCATTTTATTTCAGATAATACAACTGAACATCACAACCTGCCGACTGTTCAAAGGTAATCAAGAGCATGCCTGCTAATTCAAACGAAGAATATGTCAGATTATTGCAGAGGCAATACACTGTGCAACCTACAATGGTACAGCACTTCCGAACACAAACATCCAGACAGTAATTTACGCTCCGATCTCATCTTTCCGTGAATACATCGTTTCTGTTGTGTGTTGTTGTTGCAGCAGAGGTTACGAGTGCTCTTACGCTGTATGTGGCTAGCGCGCGGCGCGCCAAGCTCACTCGCTTCTGAATATTCGCATTGTGCGTGCCGACTTCACGACTCCGACGTCAAGGACGAACCTCACGACAACCACCCCACTGCTGACTTTTAGATAACACATCTTCAGTACGCACTCCCGTACCTCGTCAACGCACACTCCCGCTTACAAAACTCGATAGAATCAGCCGCAAACATGGTCAAGAAGCGCGCGTCCAACGGTCGTAACAAGAAGGGCCGCGGCCACGTCAAGCCCATCCGCTGCTCCAACTGCTCGCGATGCACACCCAAGGACAAGGCAATCAAGAGATTCACCATCCGCAACATGGTCGAGTCCGCCGCCATCCGTACGTCTCACGATCGCTCTGACGTTGCGCCGAACACGACAGATAGCGAAGCGGCGACTTCAGGGCATTGAGGACTAACAACACACAGGTGATATCTCCGATGCCTCCGTCTTCCCCGAGTACACTGTCCCCAAGATGTACCTGAAGCTCCAGTACTGCGTCTCCTGCGCTATCCACGGCAAGATCGTCCGGTACGTTCAGCCCGCACAAGGATTCGGATGAACTCGTTTCTAACACACTGGCAGTGTCCGCTCCCGTGAAGGCCGCCGCAACCGTGCTCCTCCCCCACGTGTCAGGTACAACAAGGACGGAAAGAAGATCAACCCCAACCAGGCCGCTGCTAAGACTACTACTGCTTAAGTAGCGTGTGGTTCGAAAAGGGAATGATCATGGCGCTTGGTGTGGGGTCTTAGGGTTCTTTCGGAATGTCATACTGGAAAATGCATGAATCCAGAAGAAGGGACAGGCCAAATGACGAAATCATGGTTGAAGCTTGCTCGGGAAAGCCTGCATAAGCAGCACCGAGAGCTAGCTATGAACTTGTAGACGAATATCCAAGTCGACTTGCACCACCTTGCGTCCATGTTGGTGATTTTACTGGGTATTAAATGCTCGTACAGCTGGCTGACTGCGGGGCTTATATGCTGTTCACTTACGACATGAGCAGCACGTGTTGTTGCAAGCGTGGGATATAAGACGTGAAGAACTGCAATATCCAGTGCTTCGTTACTCCAGCCCAAGTGCAACTTTCATTATGCACGTCATACAGTGTCATCATTTCAGTCATTTCGCTTCTTCCCCTCACCCAAATCACCTCCATCGTCAAGACTCTTTTTCCCACTCACGGGCTCCGGTTCAGTAGTGTCCCAGTCTTCCGCATTCTCGTCCCATGTTTCAAGTTCTTCGTCAACAGTGGATCGGATGACACCGGACTCCTGCCCCTCCACATTCTCACCCAGCTCAATGTCTCGTTCCTCGTCCCCGGCAACGGCTGTATACCCGCGTGCAGCTCTCTTTCGCTCGAGCATGCGCTTGTGGTACCAATTACAAAGGCCGAGAGCGAGGAGCGAACCGAGGACGTTGGCTACGATGTCGTAATAATCGAAGTCCCGATGAATCTTTGAACAAGTTAGTTTTGTGCAATTCGACCCATGGCCATGTGCTTGAGCCGTTTCTTCTCGGACGCATCTTGACTTACAGGCAACAAGCCTTGCACAACTTCACTAGCAATCCCCAGACCAATCGTGCACACCGTGAAGGTGAGCTGTAAGACTTTCCTTCGACTCGTCTCTAGTATCCAGTAGAAGCATAGTGTGAGAAGGAAGAAGGCGAGAAAATGTAGTGCTTTGTCGGATTGCTTGTACGAGGGGATCTTGTAGTCGGGCGGGGAAAACCCGGCGCCGGCGCTGATGAAGATCAGGGCTACGAAAGCGCCTGTGGACGCGTCAGCTTGGTGTTGTATGAGAGCTGCGAGCAAGTCGAAGAGGAATGCCTGTTGATTGCTCGGGCGCAGTGCCTCAAGCTCTCTCTGACGTATGGAACGAGTTCGTGCTACCTACCAGCAAACGGCTTCCGTATGCGCATCGTGTGGTCGTTTGGCTGCGGCTATAAGCGCTCAGGGAACATAATCAAGTCGTGGGGACAGAGCGCTGCTATGGGTGGGCGGCTGGAGCTACCGAGCGTTGCTATGCTGCCACAAGCTGGCATCTGGCGGAACTGGCTTGCAGACACGGGCTAACCTATCATGGTATCATGCCTGTCGATCACGTGTGGAACCTGTGAAAATCGACAACCTAGGAAACTGCGGGTAGACCCAGGTCGCAGCTCCGAGTCCTGGTACCTGACGCTATCTCTGCTGGCTTGCATTTTGAGGTTGATCTCAGCATTGCGATTAAGGAAATGCGGGGGCTTCCTCAGGGACATGAGTATGAAGAAGCTCGTATTTCGTGAGCTGCATCAAAGTCGACTGCGACTCAAAGGGGTTATGCCGTTCTTTGCATTTGTACAGCTGCAAAATACGATGCACAGAACATTTTCAGGGTAGGTTCGGCTGGTCGAGAGTTGGAAAAGACGGGCTCCTTGGTCAAGAACGTGACCCAGATACGCCCAGGGAGCACAGTCCATGCCATCGGCGCCATGTCAGCGTGTGCAAGGCCACTGGAGGCGACGATGGAGCATGTCAGGCGCGCACAGAATGAATTATCATGCTGGAAAATGCTGCCGACACGTAGGCGCTGGGGTCAAGGGTTCTGATATTGGGATGTGGGTGATTCATGGGGTTCGTTGCGGGAGTCGAGGTGCTAACGCTAAGGCGTGCCTGGAGAAGGGATAGGTCAACCTGCAACTATCGACTTTAAACCAACGACCAAACTCACAGGCCGCATCTTTGGCCATCAAGACGCGAGCCCACAGCACCCCTTTCCATCTCGCAGTCATCAGAAATCGACTCGCACGCCGTAGACTCTTCTCACATGCTTGATTTTATCGCGTTGCGACACCTGGAAGACGGTCGCCCTGCTGGCGGGCCATCCCCGTGAGGCCGCGAACCGCCAAGACCACCCCCCACAACCCACGACGACGACTATGTCGTTCAGTGCGTCTCCATATCCGCCATCATCGCGAGAACGCCCAAGTCATAGCCGCTCTCTCCATCAACCGCCTAATGCGACCCGTTTGCGGACTCCCAATGCGCTGAACGATGAGGCCATGTCAAACCACAACGCGAACAACTTCGGGGATGGGGGAGACATCGCCGCGGAGGAAGATCCTCGGGCGGCGCGTTGGCGCGAACACTACCTACGCACCGAAGCGCGTCTGGCTTCAGTGCTCGGTGGCACATACGAAGGCGATGCTGTTGATGCCCTGGACAATGAGGCGTCATCCGGTGATGCTCCGGCGCATGACGCGCGACCAGCCATCACCCCGAAGAAGCTAACCCGCACCATCGACGAGGACGACTACGGCGATGACGAAGACGATGAAGACGACGACGATACCCGCACCTCTCCCTTACACACGAAAGGCTCAGCCAATGGCCTTGCTGCTGCCGCTCCCAGCACGCCAAGCCTTCTCCGCGTACCCTCTATATCGAACAAGTCAGGTCACGACCGGACTGGGACACCTTCGTCGGACCACACAAAGACATCAGATGATGTGCGCAAGAAGCTGCAACAAGATAAAAAGGCAGCCGAGGATGCTGCAAAGCGGAGCTTCCAGACCATGTTCTACCCATTGGAGAGCGATCGTGACGCGATGCTGGAACAGCAGAAGCTTGACGAGCTCGACCGCCAAGTGGAGATAGAAACATCTGGAACGCCTGCGAATGCACCGCCCAACAGCGCCGTCGTCGCCCCTCAGCAGGGCACTTTGAGCACCACCAACCTTGGGGCGTCTAGCCTTACTCTCAAGCACCTCATCTCCCGCATCGATGCGCAAAGAGACAGAGTCCATGCGACAGACGCGCAGCTACGAAGCCTCATCAGCGAAGTCCGTAAGAATAGGAGTAAATGGGCAAACGAAGATCGGGTCGGCCAGGAGGAGCTCTACGAGAGCACGGAGAAGGTCCTCATGGAACTCAAGGCAAACGAACATGCCCATCCCTTCCTTCAGCGCGTCAACAAACGAGAGGCCCCAGATTACTACAATGTGATCAAACACCCCATGGACATTGGCACAATGATGAAGAAGCTCAAGCAGCTACAGTACAAATCCAAGAAGGAGTTCGTGGAAGACCTCATGCTTATATGGTCGAACTGTCTGAAGTACAACGCAGACCCAAGCCATTTCCTCCGGAAAAAGGCCTTGCATATGAAGAAGGAAACAGAGAAGCTCGTACCTCTCATTCCTGATATTACCGTTCGTGATCGCGCCGAGGTCGAGGCTGAGGAGCGGAGAATGCGTAATGGCGATGCAGACGCTGATGGCGCTGATGACAGCGAAGATGAGGAACCTATCATGGCTTCACGGGGTAGAAAGGCACCAAGCAAAGGAGGCAAAGGCTCAAACGCGGCACGGAAGGCCCCTCCAGCCGGTCTGGAAGATACGCCGGGCCCAGAAACGAAGCCACCAGTTCCGTCTCTTAACAACGCAGTATCCAACCTGAAGAATGAGTTTCTACGAGCGGATTCTGAAATGGAAGGGAGCGTCAATGGTTTCTCAACACCTCCGCCACCCGGTGCGTTGACACCATTAGGGCCAAACAGCATCTCGCGGAACGGCGTGAATGGCAGTCAAGCCGACGTATCGGAAGCCGACGGCACTGGTGTTTCAGTCAGCGATGCTTTGGAAGAGGATGCCGATCTCGACGACCTGGAATACAAAACCTGGAAACAAGTGACGAAGAAAGATCGAGCAATCATCGCGTCAGAGAGGCACAGATTGTTCCGTGACGACCATCTACAACCAGATGAACCTGCCATTCTGCGCACTAAAGCTGGCATGAGAAGATGGTTACGACACCGAAAGCAGGCTATCGAAGAAGAGTCTGCTGGTGGAGCTGTTTCTGCGCCGGACGGCAAAGACGGCGTTCAGGCCACAGCTGGCGAATCACTTGCCGAAGGCATTGAAGGGGAAGAAGAGCGTCAGATTCCTGATTACTACGACCCTGTGTGCACCATTCCTGACCTTTCTGAGCGCCTGCAATGGGTCGAGGACGCTGAAGGTTATGTTATTCCACAAGCGGAAGAGTACATGCGTATCTTGCCGAAAGGACAGTTCATTTCCCCAGACAGTGCGCTCGTGCACAAGTTCGATGGTAACAACCACATACTGCAAGAAACCAGGAAAATTTGTGCAAAGATTGGCATCGTCAAACAGATGCAGATTCAGTCACAGGTAGGTCTTTCTCCAGATTCTGTAGGAGTACAACCACTGACCCTTTTAGTTGTACCAAAACCAGTTCCAGAGATATGAGCCACAGCCTTTTCACGAGGCAGACATTGAGCCAATAGTCACGTCTGAGGATGGGCCGATCATGGCTCCTTATGTCTGTCGTGCTGCTTTGCAGCGCAGCGTTGGCAAGGTCTTCTATCATGCTGGATTCGAAGAGTTTCAACCATCCGCTCTTGACGCCGTGACTGATATTGCGGCAAAATTCTTCCAAAATCTTGTTGCAAGCCTGGGAATCTACCGCGAGACGCCAAAGATGAAGTCGGACACACCGATTATCCTTCCCAACGGCCAGGCTACAAACTGGGCACCGCGTTTCACCCAGGAGGAAGCCGTGCTTCATTCTTTGCATGCTAATGGCGTCGATCTTGAGTCACTGGAAACTTATGTCAAAGACGATGTCGAAAGGCTTGGTACAAAGCTCGGTGGTATGCATGATAGGATGAAATCGTACTACACTGAACTTCTGCGACCAGCTATGGACAACGCTGGCGCTGACGGTGCCGGTGCCTTCAATGACGGTAGCGAGCAGTTCGTGGGAGGTGACTTCGCCGAAGACATCGGCGAAGACTTCTTTGGTTTCAAAGAGCTTGGTCTCGACATCGAGTTCGGACTCACATCTAGTGTGCCGTTACATTTGCTGCAAAACAGGGTGCATAATGCGTATGCCAGACAGGATAACAGGTACGTTGGGCGAAATGCTTCCACAAGGGTCCCGCTAATTTACTCAGCAACATCGCAACTACTGGCGTCATCATGCCTGAACCGTCAAAATTCGAGCCCGTTACCGTACAGACCGCTGAAAACCAGATTGGTCTTCTCCAGAACTGGCTCCTCAGCAAACTTCATGACAACAATAGTCAGCCGCTTGTTGAAGATGACGATCTCCCCCCGAAGCAGCGATTCCCCAAACCCCGTTTGCCACCTACGGGCAAGATCTCCAGTCCCCGGAAACGTCCTCTCCGAGAGCAGCAACAAATGGCTCGTAAGAAGCGCAAGCTAGATGAGGAGAAGGACGAAAACAGCAACGATCAAGCTGGGTTCATGAAGGGCATTGGCAAGCCCATTGGAAAATTGAAGCTTGAGCCAGTGCAGAGAGAAAACCACAGCGTACAAGAGCCGGAGAAGGAGGATGGTAGCGCCCATGGAATGCCGAGCCCACCCGAGTCTTTCTAGTGACATACTGCTGGCTGACCACCGCGACTGGATTTATTCTGCCAGTCGCCTTCTATAATTCCGACTTCTCACCATGTATTGTAGGTGACAGGAGGTCGTCTTTCGCAATCATTGTTTAATTCATCGAGATATCTTTATTCTTTTCGCGCTTTTCATGACGGCTTTGGGCCTACACTATCACTTTTCTGTCTGCACAGAGCATGCTAATCTTACGCGCGATTTTTTTTTCTTCATTTCCTTCGCTCACCATCTTTCTGCGGGAGCAAATTTGTCTTATTACATTGAAAAGGCGGAGGGGTTGTCCTTGTATACCCAACTTTGCATCTTGCGCAGTGGCTTTCTGCGTGGTTTTACGATCGCATGTTTGCGACATCAGGTTGGACTCATGATGGGTTAGTTTTGGACTTGGGGCTTCGTGCATTCCTCTTTGTATATACCAGATCCATGGGTTTGAGAAGATTGTCATGGTATCTATGGGTCGCCCATAGTATTTCAATGCTATTCATGGAGTATGACCATGCTATTAGTCTCTGTTTCGTGTGTGACATGAATAGCATATCGCTACCGAGATGATATAGTTGTTCATCGTGAGGTATGCGGTAGAAACTTGGTTGTCAGTGTGATATGTGATGACGGTTCTCACACGGCAGTCGAACACTACCCTACTTGTCGCAGTGTGGTCGCCAGGATATTAACATGATACTACAGTATCATTGCGCGCAGACAAACACAATCGACCTTAGCACTTGTAACATGAACAACAGACTAGCAAGTCGTCAGCTCGCAGGTCTCTGAGCATGCGTCTCTCTTCTACGCTCATCATACTTCCACTAGCTACGGAGCTGAGCTGTAGTGCGATGTTGACATCAAGCACATGGCATCTGAAAGATATACGCAAGCCTTTCTAAGATTTACAAGAGCTATCCTAGCGATTGACGGCTTCGTGCGGTACCGAACAATTTTATGTTCGCAGAAATTCGCGTTGATAGAGAAGATGTCATCACCACCGCATAGAGCACTTGCCCGAAGCACATAAGTGCAGAAAAAAAGGTAGAGCTGAACATGGTAAACTTAAGTATCCAATAACATGCCATCGAGCCTTTGGCTTTACGATGCCTGTTGAGGAGTGAAACTAAAGTTGTTGATATACCTCGATCCGATAAGTGGTCGAGCTGAAATTGGAGGTTATTAGCGCACCTTCTTTTCCCTTTTGCGCGGACCCTCCATTCCCACTTTCCACATCTCCACCTTAGAGCGACGTCTGCATCACGATTTGACTCAAGTTTCAATTGAAGCCAATTGCTTATTTTCGGTAAGAAGTTTGCCACCGCCCGCTTCATCGCAATTGGCGACGTTGCTGATTCTGAGCTAACGTGCCACGAGACGTGGATCATCTCGGATGGACTTGGATCTCTTCTGTCACTTCACGACACCGACTTTCCTCACGACACTCGTCAACCTCGCGCGCATCTCCTCGCGCCACTTCATTTCATACTTTTAATCGGCACAGATTTCTATCGCGCATTTCTGGGTCAGCATCATTAGCGCGCGTCAATTTCTTTCATCTGTTCTTGCGCTTCTTACAGCTGCTCAACCCTGGCTACCATTGAGACTTTTTGTGTCTATCATGGCCCCGAACGGCCACCAGGCACCTGCAAAGAAGGGTATTCACAAGTCTAGCGACAGCTCGTCCGTTTTTTGGGAGGACAAGCATGGCCATCGCGAGTTCATGGATTGGAAAGAAGCAAATCAGAACGGTCCTTTTCCTTCGTACGAAGAATGGGTAGAGTCTCAAAAAAAGTCAGGTGGTCTCTCATTGTACTACACAGCTTTGCGCATGTTTGAGGATTCTGATTCAACTGTGAGTTATTGTCACGATGAATCAAAATCTGTCCTTTACTGAATGCACCAGGACGAGGAGGCCCCACCCGTTAAGGCCAAACCTCAAGTAGCCAAGGCTCGTGGTCAAGTTGGCCGCCCCAAGAAGACTGCAAGTACAAATGGCAATGGATTGTCGCGCACGGCTGAGTCTGCGAAATCGACTGCCGTCGCCAACTCGGAAGACTTTAGTCCTTCTGGCAAGAAGAGGCGTAAGGCGCGTAAGAAGCCACTCGTGAGTAACACCCGCTGAGCTTTTGTCTATTAGCTGACTGTATAAGTCCGAGGAGGTCGTCGCTTCAGCGAGCGACAGTGAAGTCGTCAAAGACGTTGGAGCATCGGCGCCCGTGGCTGAGACTGCGACGCCCACAGCACCGATGATCACCTTCAATGGGCAGCGCAAGTCTTCCACACGCAAAGCAAGGAAGAAGCCTATTGTGAGTTTCACTATGTACACGCCTTCTACTCCACGCTGACGTATCTAGTCGGAGGAGACCATTTCGCCAGATGACGAGCTAGAGGACCCGATGGAAACTACGATCGATGAGGTCTCTGCATCTGCGATTGCATCTCCTCTTCCAGTTCGATCTGGTATGTGAATTTCTAAAACTATGTGGAAGATTGATTGCCCGATTCGTGTAGTCCTGTCACGTTTGCCAGAACCCTACTGGGCCGAAACCTCATGATGATTTGAAACGAAATCTTGCTTGAATATTCTGTTGTGATTGAGCTGAACCTTTCACAGCTCCGAAATCGCCAGCCCCAGTACCGACTTCAGACTCGCCGAAGAAAAGCCATATCTTGAAACTGAGCACCAGGAAAACACCGAAGAAGAAGAACTTCGTGAGTGTGTTCTCCGAGACACCGGTACATTTTGCTAATATGGTCAAGCCTGAGGGGTCTACCACTGAAGGTGGAGCTGTAGTTGAAGAAGATCCCACTCAAGCTACGCCTAGCGATACCGTGAGTGTAGCTGAGGCAGGCATCATTGTCAACACAAACGTCACACCAAAAGTCAATGGAAAGATAGCCCAAGATACAGACTCTACTGCAGCTTCTCCAGATCCGACTACCGCATCAGCAGGCTCCACCCGACGTGGTCTTCGCACAAGAAAGCCTGCACAACAGAGACCATACTATCACGATTCGCAGTTGTTTGAGGATGTAGAGCCGACAAATGGAGATGCACAGGATTCAAGTAACATGTCACCAGCTGCGCAGGGCAGGAGAGTATCAGTCGCGTCAATCAGCAAGAACATTGACGACGCGCTACTAGCCTCACTGGATGAAGAGGCGATGGCTCTCCTTCAAGAAGAAACTGAGCCCGAGTCCGCTAAACCCAAACACTTCAAGGGCAAAGGTCGTGCATGGAAAAAAGAAGGATCTGACGAGGACGAAGAATTCTCCATAGCTGCCAGTATGAAGGCTGCCAGTAAAAAGGCTGCCAAAGCAGCACGGATGAAGGCTAAAGGTCAAATCCCCAAGAAGCGTGGTAGGCCGAGGAAGAGCGGCCGGTCTGAAGAGCTCATCGATGAGGAGACAGATGAGGATAAGGACGCGGTAAAGCGGAAACGGCCGCCTCCACGCAAGAGCGCTTTGTCTGAAGAGGTCATCATCGACAGTTCTGACGAGGAAGAAGCAAAGGAGATGGAAGTGGAGGAATCCACGACACCCAAGCACACCCCAAACAAGTCCTATACACCACAAGGCTTGCCAAAGTACATTTCTGAAGTTGACAATGGTGCGAACGGCGACCCAGAGCTTGGCACTGGTAACGAGTTGGAGGTTGCCAGCCCGTCCAAGGAGACAGTTTGAAGTGAAATCGAAGATTATGGTAAGCTACTATACCTCGATTAATCGACGGTCGGAGACATGCTGATATATTGAATGCAGATATGCTTCACAGCTGGAGAGCCAGGGCGATCTTGTATTCCATTTGTCGATTTCTTGGATAGTATATTTGGATCGAATTGTATGGCGGTGTTTGTGTAGACCTATCGGCGTCCCGGAACCGCATATGCGATAGGAATGAAGAAGCATAGTGTTAGGCGTATGTATCATCCGTCTGCAGCTGGTAATAGATTATGGTATTCAGAATGTGGATACGGGCCATGAAGCTCAGTCATCTTATTGTGAAGGCTCGAAGCATACAGTACATATGATGTCAGCAGGAAACCCTTCTCGTCTTCACGATAAGCTGAGGGTATCCCATCTATGTTATGGAACTCACAACCTTAAACCCCTCAGCCTAGCAAAGTAATACACAAGTCCAAACGCCAGTCCTCCTAGGTGTCCCGCATGGCCAATGTGCGAGTTCGCGCTGTTGAGATAGAACCCATCATAGAATGCATAGCCCGTAACAAGAGCCCAAAGTGGCATTGGCACGAGACCATATATCATCACTTTAGAATGTGGTGCCAGACACGCCGCTACACTGCTGATGCCCATGACGGCTCCGGAGAAACCCAAACCGCGCGTATAGTCTCTGGCATGAGGACCTTGAGCCTGCAACTGATAATACCGGTTGAATAGGTAGCCGACAGACCCCGCAATTCCAGAGCCAAGAGCAATGGTCAGGTAGCGGAAGGGCGTTATGATGGGCGCACTAGCCAAGAAGGAACCCAGGAAGTACACGGTAAACATGTTGGAAAATATATGGCCGATATCCACGTGCGTAAAGACGGAAGTGAGGAGCGAGAAGTAGTTTCCATGCTGAAACGCAGTGAGGTTTAACGTCATCTTGTTCATGAAATTCACAAACGGCCTTTGGAAGCCCTGCCTAGCTTGCTCCTTGACGTAATATGCGTACCCGAAGATGGCGATGTTGGTTCCCATGAGTCCATACAGAACAAGTTCGTTCATCTTTACCTGCGATCGGTAGTGACCGTAGCCCCCCGAAGAGTAGAGGCGCGTTCGTGGTAGGGCGATATGTCGGGATGTTTGAGAGGGAGAGAAGAAGTGGGCAGACATTGTTTTGGTAGTTTTTGGTGTCCTGAGTGTGCGGAAAGTCTGTGAGAGGCGGAGGAGAGACGACATGGTCCTATTTGGATCTCCACGAGAGACGTGTGGCGACGGGTAGTTATAGACGCAAGTTAAATCGACTAATTGATACAAAAGATTGATGGGCAGGGTTTAGGTCAAGGAGTCTATGTAGATGGTTAGTACTCACACTCTGTCCATGACACGGGATACGGCGACATACATCAGGCGCGGACTTGGTACGTGGGCAAAGAACTTGGGCTAATGTTGAGCATATAGAAGGGACGGACCGACGTCAGCAGGGCCAATGACAAGCACGCACGGGCCCCTGCCCTCCACCAGCTTCAGATTCCTGCTTGCATAAAGCGGCCCGCTCAGCTACCACAACACCACACAAACCGCCCTCAGCTGCACAAAATTACACCATCATCTCTGCGCTCCGCCTCCCGAGGTTCATACTGACTCCTACTGCTCGCAGTACATCCCGCGCGAACACCCACCTGCAGACCACTCTACAAGGCGAAACAACGGCATTGCGACTCTCTCGAGGTTCAACCAGCTGCCTCGACACCGCACACGACTAGAACAACTCGACATTCGAGTCGCCATCAAACCAGAAGCACCCCGATCCCGCACTTGCCGAACCCCACTTTCTTCGGGAAACACCACATCGACTTCCACGTCCAAACCCCTCACTTTACATCTGCTTTGCTCTGCCCTACCGCAAGCATTGTGCACACACCAATTGCGTATCTATCCACACCACTAGACCTTGACGTCCCGACCAGCAACCCCACCTTCGGTGGACCCCACATACACAATGACTTCAGAAATCACCAACCAACTAGCAGCAACGCAGCTGAGGTGAGTCAATGCCCAAAGAAGCAAGACCCACGCGCTGACATGTTTCCTAGCGATGCTGCGCCGTCAGGAGAGGCAAGCTGGAAAGCCGGGCTGAATGCGCCAGCGAAGGATGCGCGACCCCAGACAGAGGTACGCTATGAGCCTGGGAGTTATCGTTTTGGGACGTGTGCTAACACTAGGTCAGGACGTTACAGCGACCAAAGGCCTCGAGTTTGAAGATTTCTTCATCAAGCGCGAGCTTATGATGGGCATCTTCGAAGCCGGATTCGAAAAGCCGTCACCTATCCAAGAAGAGACGATCCCAGTAGCCCTCACCGGTCGAGACATTCTTGCGCGAGCGAAGAACGGTACTGGAAAGACTGCCGCCTTTGTTATTCCTACCCTCGAGCGCATAAACCCGAAGAGCCCCAAGACGCAAGCTCTGATCCTTGTGCCCACCAGAGAACTCGCGCTACAAACATCCCAAGTGTGCAAACAATTGGGACAGCACCTCGGTATCAACGTCATGGTCTCGACTGGTGGTACAGGACTGAAGGACGACATTATACGTTTGAGCGACCCCGTTCACATCATTGTCGGAACACCGGGCAGAATCCTCGACTTGGCTGGAAAAGGCGTAGCGGATCTTTCCGCTTGCCAAACATTTGTCATGGACGAGGCTGACAAGCTCCTCTCACCTGAGTTTACCCCAGTTGTAGAGCAGCTTCTTGGCTTCCACCCCAAGGACAGACAAGTCATGCTTTTCTCTGCTACCTTCCCTATTGTAGTCAAGAGCTTCAAGGTATGTTTAGTGAGCCTTTGCAACATACAAGATTTGCTAAACCACTACAGGACAAGCACATGAACTCTCCGTACGAAATTAACCTCATGGATGAGCTGACGCTCCGTGGTATCACTCAATACTACGCTTTCGTTGAGGAGAAGCAGAAGGTCCACTGCTTGAACACCCTCTTCAACAAGCTCCAGATTAATCAGTCCATCATTTTCTGTAATTCGACGAACCGTGTCGAGCTTCTTGCTAAGAAGATCACTGAGCTTGGATATTCCTGCTTCTACTCGCATGCGCGTATGCTTCAGCACAACCGTAATCGTGTCTTCCACGACTTCCGCAATGGTGTATGCCGAAACCTCGTCTGTTCGGACTTGCTCACTCGTGGTATCGATATTCAAGCCGTCAACGTTGTAATCAACTTTGATTTCCCTAAGAACGCCGAGACATATCTGCATAGGATTGGTCGATCTGGTCGTTTTGGACATTTGGGTCTGGCTATCAATTTGATCAACTGGGAAGATCGCTTCAATCTTTACAGGATCGAACAAGAGCTTGGTACAGAGATCCAGCCCATTCCCCAGGTCATCGAAAAGAACCTATACGTTTACGAATCGCCCGAGTCCATCCCTCGCCCTATGTCCAACGCCCAGCGCACTCCGATCCAAGGTCAGCCACAAGAACAAGACGGTGCCGCACGCGGTAACGCCAACGCTCGAGGAGGTTTCCGTGGCGGACGTGGTGGCGGTGGTCAATTTCAAGGACAACGCCGAGGTCCTCCACAAAACCAACAGAATCGTCAACCAAACGGTCAGAATCCTCAGCGAAACCCTAGGCCACAACCCACTGGTCCGCCTCCGGCCTCGTAAAAGAGTCCGGTGGGTGTTGGTTTTCTGCGCATTGTGTTGACTTTGACATCTAACATACGTTACCATGTCACCCAACAACCCTCTGTTCAGAGCCTGCAGTGGCATTTGGCGCTTTGCCACCGAGTGCGTTATTGAATTTCTTCCTTTTTACGACTATGCGATCGGTTCCGACGACACGGTACGGAATACCTGAATTTCTACTTTCAGGTTTAACGAATCGAATCATCGGCGCAATACGGTTATAACGATCTGGACCTTTCTCCATGTACTATATACCAAGGTCTGTCAGAGTCGCGTCTAGTTTTTGCTTTGTGTCGGTCGGCTGGTTTCGCCGACTGCGTTCTTGGAGGCCTCTGCCTCTATAGTAGAGCGCATTCTACAGTTCCGTGCGCTTCTAGGTTTCTAGTTCTCACTTCCATTCTCTACTCAACAGCATTGGCGGTTGTGGTTAGTATAGTCTTTTCAAAAGCCCAGCATTCCTCATGTAGAGGTTCACGGCTGAGCACGATCTTCTTTGGTACGGCTACACCCTATTCACGACGCTGCTGGATATTCGTAGCTCTTTCAGGGCTATCCCACGTCTCCCTCGGCGACACTATGTCGCTCTCATTTCTGGCTTTTGACAACAATTATCGTCTTCAGCCTCACAACTACACTCCCTATTCGATACGTTGCTGCACCATGGCGCGTATTACTATACTATGGAATTTCAGCGGCCCTTCTATCTCCCCTAGGCTACCGCACTCACCTGGCGGTACAACGGAGCGCCTTTCAATACTAGTCATCTTCTGTTTTGCACTGCAAGCAAAAGACTAGACTAGGCTGGGTTTGTGCTTCCAATCAAGCTACATGCATGCCTTTCGGACAACACGGCGCACTATTCATACTTGCGACAGTCTGCCGTCGATCCTAGAGGTTTCGTGGATTGGAAGGACTTCCTGGTAAGAAGAAAACAACGAAACGAACCACGTTGTTATCACAAGAAAACAAGAAAAAAGCTTTGAGGGCACGGTTGGAGAAGTCGTGGATTATGATCATGGTCTGCTTTGAGTACAGAAGTTGTTGGCAAATCACTGCTGCGGCTACTACTCCTGATGAAGCGACCTTGTTTGGGCGTCGTGTTTGATCGACTTCAAGTTAGTCCCAGGTCTTAACAATGCAAACTTACTTCCCTCAAACACTGTTTTCTCAACGTCTTGCTACTCGCTTTCTTCCGACTACCAAGCTTGATTGGCATCAAATGCATTGAGAACCCGTGACATATCCTGCCTGCTATGTCAGTTGAAAGCAAGGTGTACCAACTCAAAGGCTAAGCTACGCGATTTGAATGAGATGATTTCGCCTCTCATCATCGACAAGTTGAAGAACCCTTCGTGGACCAACATCAAAAGAAACTCCTAGTCGTTTTCGTATTCAATCGCTATCAGGTACCCCGCCTCATTGCAGACTCCAAATGACGCATGAGCCTGTGTTGGGTCCTTTCTATCGTTCTTGTTTCTCAATAAAAGGAATTCATATCCTCCACTTCTGTTGATCTAATCACGATAGCTAGCCAAAACGACACTAAGAATGAAAGTCTTCCCTCTCTAGAAGCCCTACATGACACCGGGCTGACAGACAAGGAAACAAACCGCCACTGGGACTTGGGTCGTTCCCTTCAGTGTAACAGGAAGCAGTGATAAGTAGCTTTGGCCGTAAAGCGACTAGCGAGCTCAAGTTTCACTCCATCTTCTAAAAGCCTGCAGCAACGCCTGGCCTTTTCTTCTCGATCCCCAAAACCATGTCCACATACTTCTTGTTGAGGCCATCCTTCTTTCTCGCAGCGAGCAGTGATGCGCTCTTCAAAACGTTCTTGATTTGGCGTCCATTCAACTCCACGCTTGCCAAGTCTTCCAAGTCGTCATCTTTCCACTCGTGCAGGCCTCCCGAGCTCTTCAGGAAGTTCTGCCAGATGCTCTTCCGCGAGGCAGATGTAAGATTGGGGTATGCCAGACTGATGTGAATACGAGACTGGAAGGCAGCATCAATGTTGTCAACACGGTTGGTGGTTAAGAACAATAGGCCTTCGTAGTATTCTAGCACACGCAGGAAGATGGACACAAGTTTGTTTCGCTCCAAATCGTGCGTGCTGCGAGCTTCGAGAAATACATCGCACTCGTCGAGAAGAAGAACAGCGTTCCATTTGGATATCATCTCGAGGATGTTGGTGAGTTTGGTCTCGACTTGGTCGGGATCGATGCCCAGATCACCAGCCGACATCATGAACAGTGGAGCGCGCATGTGCTCGGCCACGGACTCAGCGGTAAGAGTCTAAAGATTGTTAATATACTGATTAGGTATACTTTAACAAGGAAACAGATATAACTTACCTTACCCACTCCGGGAGGACCGCTGAGGAGAGTGATATGTCCACGGCCTTTGCCACTGATAACATCATCGAAGCCTGTTTGGTTCATGGCCTGCGACTCTGCAAAAGCGAGAATGAGCTCTTTCTGATCTTTGGGAAGAACGAGTGAGGCAAAGGCATTCTCATTGAATTTGATGACTTGAATCAGTTCGACGTAGAAGAGCAACCATTTCTTCTTCTTGAGCGAGTAGCCCCTCACTCTAGGCAAGCAGAGGAGATGGTGATGTTCGGTGAGTCTTGGGCGTTCCTCTTTCTCCTGACTTCCAAAGACATACTTCATTTCAGTTGGGTCTTGGATTTCCAGCCTTTCAGGGGTACCTTCAGGTTCCTTTGCATATTCTTTCGCAGAAAGAGGCTCAATACGACCAACAGAACGAGAAGAGAAGCGCTGATAGCTGTCCGAGTCGACGATGATACGGCCAGTACACATGTAGGATGCCTCGTTACCATCCCTGTCCGATGTGACTGCGAAGCCCTCGTAGGCCATGTAGTGGCTGCCTGCAAGAGCTTCGAACTTCTTACCACGGCTGACCAGCGCTTCCTTGACTTTGGCTTCGTAGGGATGAAAGGACAAAGGGAAAGCTGAGAGTCCCAGAATACGGGCTGTGCCGTGGAACTCCCCAAGTCGTATAGTCTGGCTACTGCGACCAAACAAGGTGCCGTTCCAGTCGATGGCTTCAACGTTGAGCTGGTAAAACCTGCCACACGGGGTGTTACCGTAGGACCCAGATTTCAGCGTATAGACTCCATATGCTCCTTTGTGGGAGTTTGAGTAGATGAGAGCACCAGGTTGATACATAGTCCAGATGTGATCAAACGTTATGATACCATGGCTAACATAGTCTTCAAGTGTCTTGATGACATCCTTCAGCTCAGCGCAGAGTACTCCATACAATAGCTCGACATGTTTGGCAGTAGTGGCATCGAGATCTTTCCTGCTTCTGTACTCAAGTAGCTGAGACCATCGATGGACGAAAGGAGTAAATGGCGCTGCAAACTCCAGTCGCTTCAATCCACAATGTATACCAGGATAGTCCTTCAGGATTTCAGCGAGGGCATCCTTTAACCATGGTGACTGGATAATGATTGAGTGCATGTCGTACTTCTTGCGAGAGTCGGTCGCCTTCTGAAGCCGGGTGATAAGGGCATGCTGGGCAGTCTCCTCGTTCTCAGCAGGATCCGCAACGTCTTCTGGTTCTTTCTCGGTCCAGCTCCACTTCCTGTTCTTGTCTGGCGGGCCTTGGTAGAGGTTCTTGAAGGATGTGAGGGAGCCTTCTGGGGCAAATCCTGCAGTGCCATTTGTGTTCTCGACACCATTCGCGGTATTCTTGGTAGGCATAATGGTAGACGTTTCAATGCAGATAGGGTGAAGAAATGAGTGCAAGTGATGAGCAATAAGAGTTATGAGACGGTTAATTCGCCTTCTGTGCTCAGGTAGATATACTGAAAGACCATGCCACATGGACGTTCAGGCAACAGTTGTACCCCCATTAGCCCTTACACTCACCGGCCTCAGGCGTTCCGCTGCATGAGTCCAAGCAATTCACAAAAGCTCGATTGTGTATCATCATGGAGAATCGGCAGATGTGAGTAGCCATAACGGTTATAGTCGTGAGGGGCTGTGGTGCAAGGCGCAGAGGGGAGGCCTCAAGCAGCGGTGCCTAGATGTGGCGAGGCTGGTACTGGGTGACACAGTTGAGTCAGGCAATGGTACAGTCATGTAGCTCCCTTGAATGAGATGCATGGCGCGGAGAAGATGCGGAGGTCCAACAAGCGCTAAGCCGATGATCCCTGTCGCGACTTTAGAGGCAGCCACCCAAGCATTGCGCATCGTCATGGTTGGAACAAGCTCGCACCATGTCCAAAGACGATGAGCCTTCGTACATTGACTATGAAGCCTTTCTCGATCCAGACTTCTCAGCGACGTCATTCGCCAACACACTCGTCCTCTCGACCAACAACGCCTCGGACACGCCGCTAGATCTGTCCACACCACTGTCGCGCGTCCTCTTCGACGTTCAGGAAGTCGACACACACATCGACACGCTGACTACCAAATCGGCGCTGCCCCTACTAGAGCATACGCGAGAACATGCCGCGTCGAGCGGACACATCTTGCACGAGGTCGAAGGACAGGTTGCCAGTTTGACCGAGTCGTACAAAACGTTGGAGAAGGAGGTCATTGAGCGCTACGAGGTCGCTGAGCAGGTGCGACTAACAGCCGAAAGACTCTGCGAGACCGTAAAGTTGGGGAGAGCAGTCGCGCGATGTCTCATGCTAGGAAGGCAGCTCGAGGTGCGCATGTCAGAACTGGGCGGTGTTGGCAGCGCAAAGAGGGAGGACCATAGAGCCATGGTGCGCTCGGCAGACACGATACTATCGCTGCGCCAATTATTTGCCGCTTCAAAGCCAGGCGAAGAGGGAGAAGGTCTGGACAGGGTCAACGTGGTGAACACACTCAAGACCGAGCTCATCAACCCAGGCGAGCGCAGCATCTCGTCGCGGGCTCAGCAGGTAGTCAAGGAGTTTTCCATGTCCTCGCTACTATCTTCATCAGGCCAGACTCCGGCATCCACCTTTGCGCAAACTGAGGACACCAAGTCGAGAACGACGTCTGCACTGCTCACTCTCTACCTCCTGTCGCCGCTTCCCACCAAAACATCAACGACCGAGACGGCATTTGACCCGACACTCATGCTCAATCCGCTGCAAGAATATCTCCAGACGCAGCTGAAATCGTCCCTCGCATCACTTGCACGAGCCTTGGGCCAGCTTCCCACGTTGGACCGCACACTACTCGAGATATCTGCGCGGTGTCAGAACATCGTAGCGCTACAATCACTGCTCGAAAGCATCAAGCCGCCCGTGCATCCGCTACTCGACTCCTCGCATGTCCCAACCTTTACCAATTTTCTACAACCTCTTCTCCAAGCGCTCGATACATCCTCTCTACCCAGCTACTTTTGGAGAACCCTCGCTTCCAACATGTCACCAAAAGTTCAGGAGCTCATGAACAAGGGCGGTGTGTCCGCGAGGACGCTGAGGAGTAATAAAAATGCAGTTGGTGATTCAGTTCGGGAATGTGTGAGTCGCGGCAGTCAATTGGCTGGAGCGTTATCGAGTAAGGGTGTAGCTGTGACTTGGGAGAGAGAGGCTGCCGTCATGGTTAGGAGTATAACAGGACAGATTAAATGAGCAAATAATTGCCTTCAAAACAGGCTTGCATGATATAGCTGCTTTGCTAGCGACGGGTTCATCACTTCAACTCAGTTCTCGACTGATATGTTAACCTGTGACGACACTCTCAAAGCATGAACAAATTGTTGGCTACAGAGCAGAACTCTGTAAGATGCCAAATCCATTGCCATTCTTCACTATGCAAGATATCAAACCAGTACATGCATATCGACAAGGTCACACATATCAGCATCATCACAACATTCATGAGTCAGGAAATTTGAAAGTCATAATGAAGAATGAAACCGGAACTCCATTGGCTAATTGCTACCCAAGTCCCCCAAAGGAGAGAAAACGAAAACCGTGTCATTTGCCCCCATGTAATCATAACTATTTTGTACCCATATACCTCAGCATGTATGAAAAGCTATCAAATGCTGAAAGGGGTAATGGTACACACGAAAGCGTCAACACAAGCAAAGGAACGCAAGCATCGAGTCATTTACAACTCGTCCTTGACGCTTGAGGCCGAAGCTGAAGCCTCTGACGCAGCCGACGAGGCAGAGTTGGTAACCTCGGACGCGGCAGACTTGACAGACTTGGTAGCCTCGGAAGCGGCGGAAGAGGCTGAGTCGGAAGCGACAGACGCACCAGACTTGACCGTCTCGGTGCCTTCTGATACAGCTGAGGCAGCAGAGTCTGTGGCGGAAGAGGCACTGGCCTTGGCGGACTCGGTAGCATCTGCGGCGGACTTAGCAGCAACCTCGGAGGCGGCCTTGGCCTGTTCAGCGAGCTTTTCGGTCGTACCTTCAACAGCTTCGCCAACGCTGGCGCTAGCCTTGTGTGAGCCGTTCTCTTCGATGAACTGGACGAGATCCTCGACAGTGCGGGAACCAGAGTAGTCGACTGGGGCATCCTTCTTGCCAGCGGGGAAGAGCTTGATGGTAGGGAAACCTTGGATCTCATCGGGAACGTCGTTGAGAGTAGCGTCAACCTTGGCAATGGTCACCAACTTGGAGAGCTCGTCGGAAGCGTAGAGCTGACCGAGCTCCTCGTACTTGGGAGCAAGAGCCTTGCAGTGACCGCACCAGGGGGCGTAGAACTCAACGAGAACGTCCTTGTCGTTGTCAATGACGACATCCTTGTAGTTGTGGGCAACGACGACAGTTACGGGACCGTCATTGGATTCGGGAATGGGCTCAGACTTGATGCTAGGGTCAATCTTGCCAGCGAGGAAGTCGTCAACGAACTTGCCAATCTCCTTCTCGGTGATCTTGGCCTCCTGGTCGTAGGGGAACTTCTCGTTCTTCTCGGTGCGCTGGATAGCGAAAGCGGGCCAGGTGCCGACCTTGAGGTTAAGGTTGCCAGCGTGCTGGCCGAAGGACTTGGCGTCGATGGTAGCGAAGTTGATCTCGCCCTTGTGCTTGAGAGCGAGGGGCTTCAGCTCCTTGGCAAACTCCTCACGTTCCTCGGGAGTCTCGGCGAAGATGTATGCGAGGGGAATGCCAGCGGCCATGTATCCGGCGTAGGTCTCGGGGCCAACCTCACCAATGAGGGGTGTGGAGGCGACCTTGGCGAAGTCGCGGATAGCGTCCGCATCGAAGGTCTCGGTGAAGACGTCCTTGCCGTCGTCGAAGGACTTGTAGAGGACGAGACCGGGCTGCTTGACACCCTCAGCCTTGGCCAGAGCAGCGTCGTTGGTGGCACCGAAGAGGAAGTTGTCACGGAGACCGTTGGCGACCGAGGTAAAGGTCTCGTTGGAGGCCTTGTCGTCGGCGGCGAAGTAGGCGACGAGGACGACCTTGTCGGCGGTCTTGAACTCCTCGAGTGTGTCCTTGGTGACTTCGGAGACGGCGGGGAGAGCCTGCTTGGTCATGTAGGAGATCAAGCTGTCGGCCTTGCGCTGTCCACCGTAGGGCGAGACATTCTCGGGGCCACGGAAGACCTTGAGGGTGGGGTAGCCCTCAACGCCGTACTCCTGGCACAGATCTGCCTCCTCTGTGCAGTCGACCTTGACGAGGGCAATGTCCTTCTCCTTAAGTGTGGTAGCCGCCGTCTCGTACTCGGGAGCAAGCGCCTTGCAGTGGCCGCACCATGGCGCGAAGACTTGGTTACTTGTTAGTTTGGGGACTTGTTTGGGAATTTATTAATCGACTTGTTAATGCGGCGACTACTTACACTCTGCGAGGACGAGGTCGTTCTCCTCAATGAAGCTCTTGAAGTTGTCCGTCTTGAGTTGCTTGACGTCAGACGCAGCAGCAACGGCCGCAAAGAAAGCAGCGCAGACAGTAGTGTACTTCATTTTGCTGTGGTGGAATGTGGGTGGTAGAGGAAGAGTGAGTTGATGGTCCTCTGCACGGCGTATGGGGTAGAAGTAGAGGAGAGCGGTGAGGTGGGCTTTTATTCCAAGTGGAGGCCGTGGCGGCTTTGGAACTGGCAATGTGTTAACTTCACGTTCCACCCGTAGTAGGCGCACGGATGCTCCAGCCTAGCGCTAGCACGGTCCCTGCACCGACTTTCACCACATTGAGACCACGTTACTCTTACCCGCCGCATGGTATGTACCCACCTTTACTTAGCAATCCGCCGCACCGCCTCTCTATCTCGCTCAGCTTGCCCTGGCCGTTCCCTGTATCTCACCCGCTTCTAGTTAGCTGCGTGTTCCTGCCGATCTTCGATGCATATTATTAATCTATGGGCCTTCTTCACTTGCCATATCTGAATCAAGCCAATGTCAGCATCCAAGGACAGGTGTTCGTTCACTTGGGTGTGGCTCGTATATCTTTAATCGGGCCTCGACCAGAGCGCCAGCCATGGTACATGCCGAACGTCTGGCCTTCGATTCCTAACTTGGCAACAACTTTCAAATGCGTTTCTGGGGCACTCACGAATATCTACACCAAAACCCAAAAACTTGTCCAGAAGAAATGTGGTATCGCAACATCTACCTGCGGAACACTTCCGCCTCCGTATCCAAATCTCACATTGCGATTACTGAACGTGAGAACCATATTCACTATAAACCCAGCCAATCCATGTGCACTCAACACAAAGCATCTGATTTCAATCATGTCAGATTGACTCAACGAATACAAATTCACGCAGCAGTAGCAACCCTCTGACTCGCTTCGTCAATTCCCGCTCTTTCCTCCAGCTTACGCAACCGCTCTTCTTCCTTTCTCTTCATCTCTTCCTGGATCCTTACACGCTCAGGAATGACCTGTTGCCTCTTTCCAGTGATCTTGAAACCTTCAATTCTGTCCTTGCCTAGCGCCTTCAATGTCTTGCGCTCCACCGCGCTGTAATTTCCATCCGCACGGTCAAATACAAAGGGTTCTTTGACCGATACTGGCGGGTTGGTAATGACGCGGACCTTTCGAAGCTGGTTGTTGGAGGCGGAGTGCAGCATCAGCGGATGTAGAAGGTAGACGTCACCGACTACACCAGTAGCTTCGACGAAAGCTTCATCGGGCATACTAGCAGCAAGATCGTTGAACCACTTCAGCCCTTGTTCTTGCACAAACTCTGGATTCTGCGCTCGTGGCGTCATCCTTGGGCTGACTCCCTCAGGATTCTCGTACAGGTGCTTCGCCACCGTTGGAATGGCTCCTGGGCAGATATATGTTCCACCGCCGCCAGCGACAATATCTGTCCACAACGGAATGACCAACAGCGCTTGCTCAGGCGAATCGAGGTAATGCACAAAGAAGTCGCCGTCCACGTGCCAACCAGGAAGATCTTGCGGCCGAACAACCTTGTTATGACCCTCGTTTGTTCCAAGATTCACAATAAAACCGTCTTTCCACGTTGATGCATTGGAATCGACGCGATCGCTGCCGCCAACGAGATTGCAGATTCCTGCCCAGGCTTTCGGCGCGAACTCTTCTACGGAGAATTCATTAAAGAAAGGCATATTCGTTCGCTCAGTATGCCTATACTCTTCATGTTAGTGCTTTCGCCACAAGTGCGCCACATAAGGTAGGGTAAATGGCCGTACCATGTCGACATATCATTAGGATCCATTCCCAACCTGGTCCAGAGTGTTTCTTGTAGACCATCTGCTTGCTCTCTCGTGAAGCAGTTGCTCAACTTCAGCCACCCATTTTCTAGGAAGAAGTCGATTTGCTCCTGCGAGAGCTTGTACTGTTCCTCCGCGTTCGCCATAGTGTCGTATAGTATAAGATACAAGTTCCGCGTTCTTACAGCAGTTCAGAGCCCCTTATGCTTACAAGATGGATGTTAGAAATCTAAAATCAAAATAGGTGTCCGAGTCCGCCGTAAAAGTCAAGGTTATATGTAGTAAGTTGAAAGTAGGAGACCGGATTTAAATGCATGGCGACGAATATCCTATCGCCGCCTACATCCAATGTCTAACGCCACCGACGGTAGGCGCATTGCTGCTAACGGCATTATTGCGATTTTATCCGGTGGACGATTAGCCATGTGCCTGTTGGAGACGCTACACGTGCCGTCCACAAACATGGACGATGTGCGGGGTGAGCTGTTTGGGGAAGCCGGCGGGGCAAGCGATGCTAATGTTGTTCCGCGGACACGCTCAGCAAAAGTTATTGGCTACTGAGGTCGCAACGCGACCTCGATAATGGAATGCGGATTGCACTACGGCTGGACGGATATTTTCCTTCGATTTCAGATGACCAATACATGGAATTTGTGGATTCACAATGGTTGATTTGCACATTACGTTCTACATACGATGGTTACTTCTTCATTAGCAGCATCCTTCGTGCAATACAATGCCTTCATCATTCATCATTACCGCATTGCACTCATCTGAGACATTACTAATCTAGTTTCCAGGCCACCAAATATAGTTGTTCGTCTCCTCGGGTGTATCGAAGACAAGCTCACTGCTTGAGTTCACTGGCCTTTCAGGGAAGACGTTGGTCTCAATGTTCCAGAACTTCATGTCCGAAGCCTTGACAGTAGAGTTGGCACCAGTCCATATGCTGAAACCCGTGCTATCGGTACGAGACGGGTAGATGCGAGTGGTCAGCCAGAAGCGGTCGTTTACATGAACCTCCACGAGCGATCCATCAATGAAAATATCCATGTGCAGAGACTCGGTTGTACCGTTGGAGAACGTGTAAGGGTAGAAGTATCCGAGCATAGTGTAGTTGGCGAACTGCTCGATAGAGGACGATTGCGAGCGGTCAACGTTGATGGTATAGTTCTCAGGGCTGTACCAAACGATTGTCTGCTCCTCGTGTCCGGGCGATTGAGCAACCACAACACCAGCAGGTCCAGTGAAGTCAGATAGGGTAACTTGGAGATGCATATGGCTGGTACCATTGCCAGAAACGTCACCGGAAACGCAAGCGGTCTTCTCAGTCTGAATGGTTTGTGGCTCGGCTCCACCATGAAGCCCCTCGACAACATCAGGTAGAGCTCGAGCTCCCAGGGTGTATCCAGTGAAAGTACCGTCACTGTGTTCTACCACGCGAGTGTTTCCCTTGGTGGTCAGGCCGGCATCGGTGTTGACCAGATCCTTGGTCTTGATGACATACATCTCTCGTGGTATGGCCATGGCACCTTGGAAGCCTTGCTGGTTGATGGCGAAGTTGTTGTTCTCCTCGTTTGCCCAACCCCACTGGACGCGACGGTCGTTCTTTGAATCCCAGAAACTGGTTACTGCGTAAAGTAGGCCAGAATCGATGGCGCCACCGGACAGAGGGGTGAACTCGGCTGAGCCATTCTCCCTCCTAGTGACCTGGCCTTCGTTCCACAAACCCCACTGTGCACGGGGGTGCCAGGTAAGGTTACCTCCCTCTGTTCCCATAAGGACGTAGTAGTGAACGTCATCATCTTCATCCTTCAGAGAGAAGAAGTTTGATCTGCACAAGTCAGTACTTGGACCGTAAATGTAAGAGGCTTTACACTCACACTTCAAAGTTGAAGCCGTAGGTTCCAGTCTCGACCAGTGAACCAAGAGTCTCGTTCCTGTCGGGCTCCCACAAGGCACCAAGGAAGGTCCAGTCTGTCAAGTTGCTGGCAGGGGCACTGTAGAAAGGAATGCGACCACCTCCACCTTCGCCCTTGATACCGGAGCCGAGAACCATGTACCAGTGAGGCTCCTCTTGTCCCAAGAGAGCATCCATCTCCGGCCAAGGCTTGTGAAAGTTAGTGCTGAACTCGGAAAGAGTTTAAACAGATATCATACCTCGACAAATGGATCGCGCCATCCAGTAATGTTCCAACCCTCCGGCGGCTCAGTCATGATAGGGTTACCGGCAAACTGCTCCCACGTCTTACCACCGTCATTGGAAATGACAATGCTCTGGCTCTCAGTTCCTGGGATATATGGCAAAGCCCAGTTTGTGGGAAGGTGTTGAACTGAAGTGTAGAAGTTGATGAGAGTACCGTCTTGCTCGCCCTTCAGGTTGTAGGGTTGTCCTGAGCCAGAAAAGATACCAAGACCATAGTAACTGCTGTTGTCGGAGTCGGGGTAGGGTCCGGTACCGACAGACTGTGCCTTGTCGTCTTCCCAACCTCCGACGTCCGTCCAAGTGATCATATCTTTGGACGTCGCATGACCCCAAGAGATATTACCCCAGTTGACGTGGTTTGGATGCCACTGGTAATGAAGATGATAAGTCTCTGTAGTAGGATCGTACATCATACCTAAGGACCGGTGTACGAAGTCAGCATCTGTTTCACACGTGATTCGCACAGAGAGACGCACCACACGGATCATTCAGCCATCCTGCTGGTGCAGAGAAGTGGTAAGTCGGGCGCCATCTTGTGAAGAGGGAGTTGTTGCCCATGCTCTCAATGATATCGGCAGTCAGTACTGCGGGCAACTCCTGCGCACCAACAGTGGAGAGGCCTCCGAGCGCCACGCTCAGAAGAGGGAGAGATCGAAACATCTTGTTCGAAGATGGCTGTTGTCGGTGCTACAAATGGTCAGTTCAGTCACAAGTCGAGATAAAGATGTCTTCATAGTCCGAGGAGCCTCCAGTCTGAATCAAGATAGACAACATCGATACAAAGACAAAAAGTACTCCGAGCGTAGGAAAGGCTTACCTGAACAATGGGTTCGCTGATCGATACTCAAACTAAACAGCAGCTATGAGAGATTTATGTACTTTTCCGCAGTAAACAAGCAGGGTCCACCAAGATAGTCTGTGATCATGATATTCAAATCCAAGAGCTTGCGCCCCGGGCCTATGGTCTGGGCTGGCGCAATGCCGAAGCTGGTTTGCAGTAGCCTGTTGACGATCCCCGCAAATTCGGCACAAGCTCCCCATGGTTCCCCACAATCGGTAGGGGAAAGAAGAAAGTGTCGTTCTCGAACGTGCATAGAAGGGCTGGTATACGCCACCCAGTCATCTCCTGTACAGTTGCTAAACTGTTGTGGAAAGGCAGCGGACCTCGAAGTCCGGAAATTCCTCCGATCAGTCTCGTAATCGCTGCGCCTGGTCCAAGTTGAAGAAGACTTTTCTTGTGTACATGACATGGCTTGGCTGGCAATTACCGACAACGGTCCTTAGAGTAGTAGTGGGTTGTTGTGCTACCGAGTATCCTCCCGAGAACCAACCTTGGAAGTCTTGCTGCGGGGATGACCAAGAGCTCTGCTATGTAGAATCCGGATCGCTTCGGACTACTGGGGAGTAGCTCTCAGACGTGCAGCTCTTGCGCAGGAACGCTCGAGCAGCGCAGTGAACCATTCCATGGATGGTGTGCATGAGATGGAGTACCATAGACGCAGGACTGCCTATGCGCTATTGCGCGCCAGAATCTGGGGTGTTGATGCACACCGCAGCGTTCCAGAGCCCATGAATCCGGGAGCACGACATGGCTTCTCGTTTTCTGGGGAGAATGATGATGCTTGGAATATACTGAAGCACACAAGGCACACGTGCAAGCGATACGATGTGTTGCACTTCACTCGCTTGCACATGTGCCTCTGTGCTTGGCGGCGGGCGAACGTCATTGCCGTGGCGGGCCACGTTTCCTAAACCCCCCAACGCGAGCACCGCCGCAACGCGACTTACAGTCGTTGTTTACACTCTCAGATGGGGACACACAACCTTTTATAGGCGTCTTGCAGCTTCACCATAGCACCATGAGTCGACTCAAACTCTACGTTGCAGGTTCGGCCGTCGTGGCCAACCTCGTGCTGATGCGCGCATACTATGAGCGCCCAAACTTCTACTCGGCCGCCGTCTACATCTCCCAGAGCACCGGCTCGCTCATGTTCCTGGTCAATCTCGTGCTCATAGTCGCCGCGAGCTTTGGTTATGGACTCCAACGACTCTTCTATGGCCCTCTGCGCCCCATCGAGACGGAGCAGCTATACGACAAGGCTTGGTTTGCTGTGAGCGAGACATTACTAGCAATGACCATCTTCAGAGACGATCTTGGCATGTGGTTCTTCGCCATGTTCCTCTGCTTGCTCGCAGGCAAGGTCTGGCAGTGGATTGGGGAGGGAAGGGTCGAGTTTCTCGAGCAACAGCCGCCCGCGAATCCAAAGTTGTTCCACACCCGCCTGATGAGCTCCCTGCTACTTTCCGTTGGCTTCGATATATTCATGATGCAATACTGCATCGATTCCATTCTCTCAGAGGCGCGGCCTGGTGTCATGGTCATGTTTGGCTTCGAATACGTCCTCCTGGCGACCGCATCCATTTCGACTCTGCTACGATACACGCTCTCGCTCGTCGAACTATTCATTACACAGCGCCAAGAGAAGGCACGAGAGGAGGCTCGCAGAATTGCAAGAGAACAGACACGTCAACAGGCAGCAGCAGCTGGAGCTGAAGCGCCTGTCGAGATGGAGGAGGAGGAGGAGGATGATGATGATGAAGGTGACGTGCCCGGGTGGGAGGAAAAGGGCCGCTGGGTCTTTTACTTGGACCTCGCGACCGACTTCGTCAAGACGCTTGTCTATCTGGGCTTCTTCGTCATTCTTATGACATTCTACGGCATACCGATTCATATTATGCGAGACCTGTTCATGACGATACGATCCCTTCTCAAGCGAATCAACGACTTCATCCAGTACCGGAACGCGACCCGCGACATGAACACACGCTATCCAGACGCGACAGCAGAAGAACTGGATCGAGAGAATACATGCATCGTCTGTCGCGAGGAGATGCGGCCCTGGACACAGCCAGGTGCGGATGGTGCGCAGCCTGGCCGAAGGATGGATGAGCGACAACGGCCGAAGAAGCTCCCATGTGGGCACATCTTGCATTTCGGCTGTCTTCGTAGTTGGCTGGAGAGACAACAAGTGTGTCCCACGTGCCGAAGACCAGTACTCGCATCGGCGACGACACAGAACACACAGCGCAACAACCAGGCCAACCCCGGCGAGCAAAACCAGCAGAACCGAGAGGCGCTGCGAGCAATGTTTGGAGGAAATGCACAACAAGGTGCTGTTGGAGGGCAACAAGGCCAGGGCCAACAGGCAGCACCGCAAGGTGCACAGGCGAATCCCCCAGCCGGCAACATGCGCGTTTTCAACTTCGGACCCTTTAGAGTCGCTCTCGGGAATATTCGGGTACCACCCGGCCAACAGGATAACGTCGCTGTGCAGAATGCGATTCAGCAACTGCGTCAACAGGCCGCCGCGAACAACGTGGCGCAAAATCAAGACCAACAAAACCAAGCACAGGGCCACATAGCGGCCACACAAGGCGTTGCTCCCAGCTTTCCTACTGGACCCATGCCCGGAGCTGTCGCACTTCACCCGTCAGATATTCAGTCGGACATACTGCGTATACAACAGAACATCATTGAATCGATGCGAAGTTTGAACGTACAACATGAGCAACTCGAGGTTCTCCACAGACTTCTTGCTGAGCTCAACCGACTTCAACAGGCTTCTGGCGTAATAGCCGCAACAGGGCAAGAGCTACCACCTATTGCCTCGTTGAATGCATCCAGTACGAATTCGTTTACTCCACAAGCCTATTTCTCTAGAGGTTCCGTCTTGCGTCAGGGTGATCCTGGTGTACCCGAAGGGCTAACGCTACCGGAAGGGTGGACATTGAGGCCGATGGCACTAGCGCCACGGACTGGCCAAGAAACCGCGACACGTCCGTCCTCGCAACCTGGACATCTGGCGCAAGAAGGCAGCTCGGCGCAACCTCAATCGCAACCATCGCAGCCAGTAGTGGGATCTGAAGCAGGGCCTTCAACGTCTGCTACTGTGACTCCTCAAAGCCAGCCAACCCCATCAGCGCCGAACGCGACTGTTTCTGATCAGTCCTCGACTTCGTCCCCAAAGCCTGCCGATCCCAGTAGTCTTGAGAGTAGTCTTGAGTCTAGCTGGAGTTTTGGCAACGTAGGGGAAAGGACGGAGACTGAGGGTTCAAGCTCTGCGGTTGCTGACAATAATTCGGACAGTCAGGGTGCGACGAGGCGGACGGTCACCATGGAAGATGTTGAAGACAGTGAGCAGTAGATAGACGATGGATGATGGCACTGTTATGGTTCTGTATAGCATAGCGAGGCGTTTGGGTTTGTCTGATTATTCTTTGACCGACAGGGAGTCGCAGTTGTCCAATAAAGTACGACAGGCAATCCCTGCGAATGACACGCTCACCGGTCGGTGCTCCACTGCGAATCGCTACACATGTTTGATCATTTCGCCGTCAACAGCGAAACAATGAAGCATGCTTTCCTGTCCATTCATCTCGTATGCACCCCGCATGCATACTCCCTCCGAGTCGCAGTAATTCCAGCCCACGAGGCGATACTGGACGAATGTTTCATGCACATTTATATGCACATGTAAATGCACGCTCTCGAGTCCTCCACTCACCAGACCCACAAAGCTTATCGATGCCAGTCTAGCCTGCCTCATCCCGTCGTCGCTTGTCGCTAGCGTAAAACACGTGTCCAGTTAAACTTCAGCTGCCTCCCAAGACACCACATCGAGGCGGCTACGTGCAGGTCGTGAACAGCACAAGGTTGAAACGGTGGCCTAGGCGGTGCGAGGACGGTGGGTAGCACCCAGTAACGACTGCAGGAACGCAAGCCCTGCTACACACTTATGAGCAATCGAGGGCGTGCGGCGACATGGGTCAGGATGCCAGCGGGATAAGTGTCAGGGCCCCCGTCTTGGGCGAGCGTGTTAACGGCGACTTTGACTCGACTTAACACAACTGAGGTTAACGTTGTGATTTGGCTTTTTGGATGACTCTTCATTCACCCTCGCTAATGGATGCTTAGACCGCACTTTGTTTATTGCAATTTTGTATACCTATCGTCCTTTTCTCTTCCTTTCTCTTCAGTTCCATTCTGCATTGCACCTTTTCCTTGTTCGTTGTCTTGCGTTTTAGCGATGGCGGTCAAGTTGGACCATGCGCATGTTGCGCGTAAGGCTGAAGAAGCCGAGGTATCTACATGTGTCTCTGGCATTATAGAAGCCTTCACAAATGGATTGGACATCTTCAAAAAGTTGCGCGAGAGGAGAAGAAAGCGCAGATCAAAGAGAGATACCGAAGTACCTGATTCAACAAGTACTGCGGAGCACCAACTTTCAAAAAGCTTACGCAGAGGGCCGGAGGAGGTGGCCGGGAAGTATACTGAATGCTACTACAGCGGCATCGGGCCGCGGTTCGCAAAGGGCGACTGTAAGTAGAACGTCCACCTGATTTGTTATCCAATCTAACACAATACAGCTATTGCCCATGCATCCCTCGCAGAGATCTTGATCAAATTAAACACCGGTCTAGTTGCTATTATCGCAGCTTTTTTAAATCATGATGGACACAAAAGCGGAAAGGGCCACCTAGATCTAGACTACAAGTCATTGACCCACCTCTCCGATGCATCACGTCGCGAAGCACTACAAAGCCTTGCCCAATTGTATCAGCGACTAAGCCAATCTCAACTTCAGCTGCATAGCATTGGCGCTCCACCATGCCCGCGATGCGGCACAAGTAAACACCACGACTGTTCTTCTCGAAGCACCAGTCCTGAGAAGGAGAAGAGAAAGCACTCGAGCTCTTCTCGCCAACGCTCTTCAGGCCCAGTAGTAACACGCATGTCCATCAAAAGTCGGAGCTCGAATGAACCACGGCTCGTCGTTATGCGACCAAAGACCACCCGTAAAGACAGCTCATCGAGTAAGAAATCTAGCTCAGTGAAGTCGCCATCCAATTCATCACGCAGCTCTTCTCCATTGGCATCTCCCGAGCCAAAGAAGATTCAGATGGCACCACAACTACCCCTTTATGTACCTGTCGAGCCATTCGAGATTGAGACTTCTGGTGTTATCAGAGGTACACTAGGTTGCGGTCCAACAAAGACAAGTGGTGCTGTCAAGCAGCGCGTTGATTCCTTCGACGACCCGCGCGAACCATGGCCCCAAGAAGCTGCCTACACCACTAGCAAATCACCCTCCCCAAAGCACCTCAATGAGCCTACCCCCAAGCTCCCTACCTTTGCCCCTACATCCCGCCGCTCCTCGTCCCCTGCTCACTCCAAACCCTCAGTCTCTTCCAAGCCGCCAGTTCCAAACAAACCTTCCTACCTATCCCCTCCGCCATTACTCGATCAGGCCCCAGCGACCCTTCACTTCCGTCGTCGCTTGGACAAAGCCACACCATCTAGCTACACTTTTGCTTCCGACAGCACGAGATTGGGAGAGATACCACAGAGACAGTGGACCAAGCCATTTGATTACGAGGAAGCTGAACGACTCAACGCGGAGGCTGCCCTGACTGGCTACCCAAATGCACCGATGGCAGACTCCAAGGACGCCAAAAAGAAGAAGCGCTTTGGCTTCATGCGACGAGGTGATTAAAGGGGATTATCTCCTCAACACTCGTCTTTACGTTTGTACATTTGCTGTTCATCTCTTTTCATGTTGTATTTTGTACGGTTCTGTTACTTTTGATTTGCTCGCAGGCGTTGGTTCTGATGTTGGATCATTTCCCTCTCTGCTCTGTTCCATGTATGGCGTTGGCTTGTATTGCTTTTTTATCTCTCCACTCTTGGCATCTGGCCCCGGGCCCGGTAATGATGGTTACGTGTACGATTCTTCACGCTTTAACGACTATGACGAGGTTATACCCTTTTCCTTTTTTTGGTTGTTAACGGCGGCACTATATACCCATATCTTGTTTTTGTTAGCGATGTCCGCACATAGCGGATGCTTTTGGATTACTTGGTAGTATGATTAATTAGGATATGGTTTTCGGTTTTTACACTCAATGATTGTCTTTTATGGTAACTGTGATTGCACTAATCTTATTGTGGTTTCCGATTGGAGTTCAAATGTTCAAATTTCAAGTCTCAAATCCTGTCTCCGAAGATGGAGCTCGGCATAAGGAACGCTGGTTTAGGGGCCATGTATGAACAGCCCTACGCCCTCGACTCCACACATGAGCGCGAAACTTCGCTTTCTTCTGCACAAGGGCGCTCATTCGCTGAGTTAGTTGATGAAGCGTCTCCATGAAGTGTATCAAAGTACTCGTGATCTAGGATGTTGTGTTTTTTCGATCTGCTGCATCATGAACAAGACCTCAACGTATGTGTGATGGGCTGGCAGTCTTTGGTTCCAAGGCGAAGGTTCCGTCGTCATCTTGGGTACGTGCATTGTGGCTCAAGCTTCGCTTCTCACTCAGGCTGTCTCACAAATTCGCCACCAACAACCTCACTGCATCTCATCACTTTAGCCAACCGAGCAACCTGGTCACTGGTTTCGCAACGTATCGTCGACCTTCCGGTCTTCGTTACATGCAGCTCCTATAGCAGAAAGTGTCGATGTCAAAGCAAGCGACACCGACGCCCTGCCTCCAGTTCTAGCTGGTAAGCTTTCAGTGTGACCACGGACTCCAGTCATCAGGAAAGCGGCAAGACAATGATTATTCCGATTTAGGATGAATTGTTGCGTCTCAAAGTTCAGGCGAATTCTCTCGCTTACGATTACGATCCGACGGCATCCCAGGTACCCATCGATACTTGTTCATGCATTCAAGAAACCCGTAGGAAACTGCGTTTCAGAATTCTCAAGTACTCTCGGGGGTTTGTTAAGCAGACCCAATACGATCATGCCCAGCGGCTAACTTTGGGGGTCGGAGGAGTACAGTTCGCATACAGCTTGCATTCATGGCGAATGCGTGTTTCACTCATGGTACCTGCCAATGTATTTTCCGCTCACGGTCAGGCTCTGCATTATTCCCTTGATGCTTCAAGATCAGCCAGCTGCTGTGAAGCTTACGGCTCACTCGAATACTAAGACTAACATGATGTCCTTAGGAGTACTGACGATGAACCCCGAAGGGTTCTGCTTTGTACCAACTAACCAAACTAGCTTATGGTGTGTCAGCTCACGCGTTCGACCAGTGCCGTATCAGCATCAAATACTTGAGCTTACCTATATCCCAGAAGTTTGGTAAGACAGCCCATATCCCTACTTAAGAAAGCAAGTACCAATAGGTAACTTGTCACATGCATCAACATGTATGGTCCTCCCAGGTACATCTGACTCCTTGGTCGTACATTCTAGCGCGTTCCCCGGGGCTACTACAATGGTACAGATCTGCTCGACCAATGTATATGCGCCGAGGTTTGCACGGACACTCCGGGTACATCTGCATCTCTGATACATCGGCCAGCCACATCTTGCAGGCACATTTGTTCCCTTCCGTGCCGCAAAGATGAGCTGGGGCAGTAGTATTTGATAATGATTACACCCACAAAGCACGCGCTTGGTCGATTTGCAGTCTTTCGTTCTAGTTCCTACCCTCAAACTATCGATAATTTGACTCTGGCAGTCAGACACCGGTAGCTATCGTTTCTCTGGTTTTACTATGGATTTAGCACATCAACCCTCACCAACATTCCTGGCCGAAAATCGAGGTCCAACTATCCAAGCGACGGCCTGTCTATTGATCATCTTTTGCACTACGTTCGTTGCTTTGCGCTACTATTCTCGCCATCTCACAAGCACTGCTTTCAATATTGAAGATGTTCTCATACCCTTTGCCTGGTTGGCTGAGGTAGGTTTGTGCATCGTCGGTATTGGTAGGCAACCCCTCAAAGTCCCTATAGCACACATTGACACATGTCGCAGTGATGGTAGAGAAAGCCAGCACAGGTAAAGGTTCCAATATGTTGACTGTATACGAGGCATAAGCTGATTTTGTACATCGATATTTCAGGTCGGCACATAGCCTATATTCTTTCCACGGATCCGGCGAAGATACGTGAGCACTTCAAAGGTATTATGATACAAGAAGTCCTACATCCAGCAGCTGTTGCATTCCCGAAACTCGTAGTGGTACTGCTCTACTTACACATCCTCACCAACAAGTATGAGCGCATGGTAGCTAAGGCGCTGGTTTTTCTTGTCTTCGCCACTTGGATCTCTTTCACGGTAGCTGTTATGTTCCAATGCATGCCTTTCGCTTTCAACTGGGACAAAAGCGATCCGAATGGACGATGCTTCAACGTTCAGGTCTTCGCAAACAGCTCAAGCGTACCTAATATTGTTACTGACCTAGCTGTTCTCATACTGCCCCTGAGAACAGTGTGGTGTTTGAAGATCAGTATTGGGAGAAGAATTGGGTTATTACTCATATTTCTTACTGGTAGCGTGTAAGTAGTCTTGCCATTTGTCGCTTCGTATCTTCTAGGATCTACATAACTAACATTCGTGCAGCGGCATAATCGCCTCTATAGTCCGCACAGTGGTGTTCGCCCGAACCCTTGCAGAAGCTGGACCTCTTACAGATGTGACATGGAACCATGTCTCTCTCACGAACTGGACGATGATAGAACCTGGAATGTACCTTCTTAGCGCTTGTGCTCTCTCTTTCAAACCACTCCTCCGCTCGTTTGCCAAAGCCCTACACCTCCAAGGTTTCATTACGCACACAAAATCTACTGTTGGTGGAACAAAGAGTCATGTCAAGAAGACATTCACATCGACCCAGACGCAGTCCGAGGTTTTCGAACTGGGACACATGAGGAACGTTTCCGAGTTTGGCAAATTCCACCGATTAAGCGACGACATAAAGAGTACCAGTACTGAAGGGAATGCTGAAAGAAAGATTGAAGTGACTGTAACGAAAACCATTGAGCTGGAGTCGGAAAGGAGAGTCGACGATGAGCGTTGGAGTCACCATAGTTTTGCGAGCGACCAGTTTGGGAGGGCGGTGTGATTCATCAAACATGTACTGTTCGAATAACTAGTGCATCAATGAACACATGCACGCTTCTGTCTTCGATGTTAACTAAGAGGGAGGCACATGGCGTTGCATAGTTTCACGGTCGAGCTCTTCTTTCGCAAAGTGCAACGTCGTCGTTGTAGTGCGGAACAAGACCGCTATCGAGGCCCACCTCTCCATACCCGCCATGGTCAACAGGCCACCCTCAGACCATCGGTGAGACGGCCTTTTGCTATACGATATGCGATGTAAACTAAGCATCTGTTCGGACTCCGTGCATACCGGCCCCAAAAGACGGAATCTTGGAAGGATCGATCGCGCGCGTACTTAGCGTGATGCGCATCTGACGCGAATTAACAACGTCGTCATGCATTTGTCTAGATGCCTCCACCTCCACCCAAAGTGACACCAGCCAACTGAACGCGCTCCATCACGACGTCATGTTGCTTATGGGGCGTCTCTCAACGAGCCACATGTGCTCGCGTCGGCGTAGATTATCCGCTGTTACTTGACCTTCTGATCTCACTGTTACGTCTACGTACATACACGAGCAGGTTATACTAAAGATGTCTTCTGCTTCTCGACTACTTGTACGCTCTGCAAGAATTGTCCTGCCTAGAACCCAATTTACGACTCGCATTTCAACACCTGCCAAAATCACTACCCCTCGATATTTCTCGACAACACACATCTTCCAAATGCCGGACCAACTCAAGGCTAGCGAGGTCAACTCCAAGACCGATCCCTCGGTCGCGAAGCAGTATGACGACGAGACGCCCAAGGACCAGCAGATCAAACAATTCTTTGAAATGGTAGATGGCAAGAAGATTTGCATGCTCAACACATACCGCAATGGTGTCGGTACGTCGCTCTCGATCCGTTCACTCTAAAGCCACATTCTTCCTCAACTGTTCAATGTGAATAAGAACTAATCAGCGCTTCAAGGCCCTGTTGGTCGCTCCATGGCTCTCGCCCGCCGCGACGGTCCCGACTTCCTCTTCCTCTCCAACGCACACTCGCAAAAGTTCAACGACCTGGACCAAAATAAGGAGGTCCAGATCTCCTTCCAAGACCTTAAGACTCAGGAATGGGCTTCTATCACCGGCACTGCCACAACAACAGACAACAGTGATCCTCGCATCAAGGAGGTATGGAGCCGCGGAGCTGCCGCATGGTTTGGTGACCTCGGTGACGGAAAGCACACTGGCGGGCCTGAGGATCCTCGCATGACGTTGATTGAGATCAAGAGCAAGTACGTATCGTACTATGTGACGGAAGTCGGCCTTTTGGGTTATGCAAAGGAGATTATTGCTGCGAACGTTACAGGTGGAGTCGCAAATACAGGCAAGCTTAGGGAGCTCAAGGAGGCGGATTTGGAAAAGGCACGGTCCATGTAAGTGCATACAAGCACAATCAACGTGATGAGATTGTGTTGAGGTCGTAGTAGATCTCCATCGAAGCTGTAAAAGCTTGCAGATTTATATAAACAATGATTTACTTTCCGAAGCAAGTAACATGAGACGATGTGTCTCGGATATCTTCAAACATTAGTATTTTCGCCTGTTATTGGATTGTGCAGATTTTAAGTAATCTTTGGCACGTGGATAATGTAGATATATCTGGTATGATGTGTCGACCAGCTTCCAGGGCTGGATAGCTTTGATTGGATCATGCCCCGCTTTCGTCATGGCCACGACGTTTGTCAATGATGTGATGACAACCCATGTCTATGGCGTCGAAGGTCACGAATGTGGCGATCACAGCTATATAATCTTGGAGCAAGTCTAAGGTGCTTGGGAGTCTCAACTGCGCCGACGAATACTCTCAAGTTTAGAACAGTTCACAGACCAAATCAAGTCACTATCATGGGCAAGGATCATCCTGACGCAGACCTTCACCCCGAAGCAACGGGACTTGCATCAGCCACAGTCAAAGTAAGTCTACTCACACCTCCTGCATGTTGTCTGTTGCTGACTTGACAAGGCTCACGCTGCAGAATGTCCGTTGAAATTATATTCAGGGTGGTTTTGCCCTTTCGTGCAGCGCGTCTGGATTGCACTAGAGGAGAAGGGCATACAGTACCAGTACATTGAAGTCAATCCATACCATAAGCCAAAGTCGCTACTGGATCTCAACCCGCGCGGCTTAGTTCCCACGCTACAGTACCAAGACAAGCCACTCTATGAGAGTACGGTTTTGTGTGAATTCCTCGAGGAAGCTTACCCTCAACACACACCGCACCTCATGCCTACAGATGCGTATGAGAGGGCTAGAACGAGGATCTGGACGGACTATGTAGGTAGTCGCATCATACCTGCCTACCACCGCTTCCTACAACATCAAGGCGATGGCTTGGAAGAGAAGCAAAAGGATTTCCTTAATCACCTGAAGGAGTTCACGCGCGAGATGGATGCCGAGGGCCCATTCTTCTCGGGCAAGGACTTTCAGCTCATCGATATAGTCATTGCACCTTGGGCCAATCGACTATGGGTATTTGATCACTTCAAGGGTGGCTCAGGCATTCCCGATGAGGGCAAAGGTGGAGAGGACGAGGAGGTATGGAAGAGGTTCAGGAAGTGGCTGTCTGCTGTTGAGAACAGGAGGAGTGTCAAGGAGACGCTGAGCGAGAGGCAGCATTACTTGCCGATCTACCAGCGATATGCGGAGGACCGCGCACAGTCTGAGGCGGCAAAGGCTATCAGAGCTGGCCGGGGAATTCCGTAGGGCTCTGTATGCTATGGGACGTGTGTTATGCCGAGTGACGTCAAGTTTAGGAAAGTCGTTCGGCCGTTTCTTAGGTGTTGTTGCCCGGGTGATGGTGTTGGTAAACGGGGCCCACCCGTGCGCCACAATGGGCTAAGCGTTAGCCCACCCCATTGATCCTAAACTCCCTTGAACGAGGATCCCTCACAATCTATGCGCCGGCGCTCCCAATATTGCCAGCAATCTCGACCTCACCACCCGCCAACATGTACGGATACACGGCGGGCACACCCTGCCCGGCGCCCTATTCCTCCACCAGCAGCTACTACAGCGGCTATGGAAGCCACTACGCGCCCGCCTACTACGACGAGAACAACACGACGGCAAACCTCGAATACACGACGGAGCTGAAGCCCGCTCGCCACGCAAAGCCACGACGACCGATGCGCAACATGCACAAGCCCGCCTTCAACCCGTCACTTGACATCTTCGAGGATGTCGCTCAGGAGGAGGAACAGCAACAAGCAGAGTTTGGCGTCAAGAGGAGGAGCCGCGCAAGCGTTGTTCCCGCGGCTGCCAGGACCAAGAAGAGCACCATACTTGCGCACCCAGCACAGAGGATACCCAAGCCTGTCGCGCCTGTCCAGGAGCCACACCACGAGAAGCCGCACCGAAGACGCGTTTCGCAGGTGCCCACCGATAAACATGCCTCAGACACCAATGCGACGGTGCAGTTGCAGGAAGATGTCTTGGAGAGGAAAGAACTCAAGAAGCAGGCCCCTAAGAAGGACTTGCGACGGAGGACCATTTACATTCCGTCTGATGACACGTCAGTCTTCACCATCCACCCTGGACAGCCGACACATGCGCCGCGCAACGTTCGAGAGACTTCGCCAGACATCGGCCTAGATCTGGTCACATTATCCGAGGAAGAAGGAAACAATCTGATGCCAGCGTTGAAGAGGGACAAAAAGGCACCGCGCAAGTCTCTCGCTGCACCACCGAAGCGAGGTCCCTTGAGCACAACATCGCGATCATCGCAGAGCTCATCCTTTTCGAGCGACATAGTGGGCTCAGGGGGCGGGAAAGAGAACATGCCACCAGGAATCGAGGCTATCGAGAAGAAGAAGATCGGAACGCATATTGAGATAAACTTCACCAAGGCAGACGCGAAGAAACCTGTCGCCAAAGCCCCCAAGGTCCACTTCAGTGCTCCCAAAGAGCCCGAACGCATACTTCATACTAAGAAACGGCCAGAGGGCTCGCAGAAGCGACCACGATCACACGTGGCTCAAGACGACGTACCAGCAAAAGCGCTCAAGGCCAGAGCAGACGGCACTGCTTCCGCCGCAAGTAGCAGGGCATCTCTGAGGACGACCATCAAGACTGAACGAGCGAAACTGGCCAAGGCGAAGCGCGCGCCACTTTCCTCCTCGCCGTTCCACACCGACAAATCTCCACCTACAGCACTGCGCCGCCAGAAGACTGGGAGCGTAGCAAGCAGCATCACCATGCTACACGAAGTAGGCCAGCGACCACAATCACAAGAGAAGTATCCAGTACTACAGGAGGATCTGGCACAGCCGGAGTTGTACGAAGACAACTGGCTTACCTACCAGGAAGTCGCCATTACACAACTTCTGAACTCAGTATTTGATTCCGCGAGCAGAGACCCGACCGACGAACAGAGCCCTGAGGACATGCGCAAGAAGATGCTTGCCATATACCACGATCCCGCTATACCGTCGCTTCACAAGCGACTACAGGCCTCACTACAATTTGGTGCGCTGAGCATACCGAAGGATCTCCTGGCCCAGACGCTCAGGCTCAAGGACGATGTTGGCTTGCGCAAGAAGTTCCTCAGCCTATGGACCAAGTCATACGATCTGAATGCATTACGTGCTGCAGCTGAGACTATTGTCGGCCGCCAAATTACAACGCCCTGTCGACTATCCACAGGTTCAACGTGCTCAGATGATGGCTCCCGCCAGTATCGCGCAGAGCGCCGGGCTATCGAGAGCTTTCTGTCTGCATTCCTGATCAAAAATGAGGATGCTGTTCGCGTCAAATCCGGAGGTGGCAGCATTGCTAGCCTTACACGCGGCGATGATGACTTCGGTTCTCAAGGCTGGTCATGGCGCCGTACTGCTTTACGAAGTCTGATGCTGATTCTGATCCTCGACCAAGCCAAGACGACGGATGCTCTATCAGGCTGCCTGTTCCAGACGACGTCACCCTACAAAACATCTGTCGAGGTCCTACATCAGTTATCAAAGATGCTGCTCCCTTCACACGGCGACATCACTCGACCGCTAAACCACCTCAATTACAAGGTCGAACATGTCCAGTATCCACTACAAGAGTACACCTACCAAATCGACAATATCGCCATTGACCTCCGTGATGGAATCGTACTTGCTCGTCTTGTAGAGTTACTGCTTTACCCGTCAACCACCCACACAACGCATCAAGAGGATACCGTCACTCTCAGTCTACCCAGCGGTGAGCTTCTTAATAGCTCCCTCGATTCTTCGCAGAAAGGAATTTGGGTCCTCTCCCAGCACCTCAAGTACCCAGCCATTGGCCGTCCCCAGAAGGTCTACAATGTCCAGATTGCCCTAGCTGCATTGAGTCATGTCGCAGGCATGCCCAGCGCAGCAGTCAGTGGCATCAAAGCCGAAGATATTGTCGACGGACACCGCGAGAAGACACTCTCGCTTCTTTGGTCACTTGTCGGCAAGTGTGGTCTTGGAAGCCTTGTTGACTGGCCGCAACTTGTCAAAGAGACAGAGCGTTTCCGAAACCAGTGGTACAGGGCCCGGGATAGCTATGAGGGACGAGTCCTTGATTCCGACAATGAAGAAGACGGGGCCACTGAGCTGGATGGCATGGCATATCATAAGCGTCTCTTGCTTTCATGGTCACGCTCCGTTGCTCGGCTTCATGGCCTACGCGTTGCAAACCTGACCACAAGTTTTGCAGACCCAAAGGTTCTAGAAGCCATCGTTGATACCTACTTGCCGTCGAATCTGACCATCTCCACCGAAGGGAATGAGCGACTCGGATTAGCAACAAAACTCAAGGCTGTCGGCTGCTCAACTTCATTCATTGCGCTTTTCACGCCACAACACAGCACAGCTCGTTCAATCCCAAGCAGAGACTTTACCCTCCTTACTCTATCTTTCCTGGCAAGTCGACTGTTGCCGCTTGCACGCACACACCGCGCAGCTTCTACTATTCAATCCGCTTTCCGCCGTTTCCTAGTCCGCCGTCAGGTCAGCACTCGCATACAAGCAATGAAGATAGCGCACAACTGCGCAGTAGTGGCGCAAGCTCGACAGAAGATGGTCGATGCTGCCATTGTGATTCAGAGACGTTGGAAGGCGATCCAAGATGCCCGCAACAAGCAACTTGAAAGTGACGTTTTGGCTTTCCAGGCCTTGGCCAGGGGTTGGGCAATCAGGCGATGGGTCCGACGTATCACCGCTGGTCGAGTCGGTGGAAAGGAGAAAGTCAGGAGGGTCAGGGGTGGATGGTAGCCGACCAACACGACAGACGATTAGTAGAGGTTGTAAGCACCATATGCGAATGGTCTATGGACTCAACGGCATGCGGAGAGGAAGTCGGAAAGCTGGAAACGAATGCTTAACGAAGGAGTTGGTTACGTTGTTGTTTTATGCTGGGCGTTTCTGTTATACCTACCTACCTGCAGGCGTTACAGTATGCTTTCATCCTTCATCGCGATCGCTAGATACCACTTACTGATTCTCGTCTCGTTTGAATTCTTACACCTTTTTGGTTTATCACTCTACCTCTACCTTGCCTTACAAATGCCATGGCGATCAAGTGAATGCTGCCACTTTGACAGAGATGTAAGTTTCTCGAGAGGTAAGCAAAGACGGCAGATAAGAACACACATTCCTTGTGTTGACTCCGCCACATCACGGTGTTCAAATATATGGTATCATAGAGAGCAACTGTTGCTCATGCGTAACTGTTCGAGATTGTGGATACGAAATTGCCGTATAGTGAAGCTACACAAACACTCGTTTTCTCTTTTGCTCCTTCATGAAATCGTATCTTCATACCACGTACGCCTTCTCATGCATCTAGCTAATATTTCTTCACATTCGGAACTTAGACCTTGTTCTCGATGCTGCGCTCATCCCTCAACTTGACCAGCTTCTCTATCGCTTCATCAAGCGGCACAATAACACCACGCTGCTGTGTTTCCTGATCATCACGGTTCCTCCAGTTCACAGCTCGGGCTTCTTGTTCCTCAGCACCAACGACCATGATGAAGTTGTACAGAGCAAGTTGCGCTGTGCGGATCTTCTTTTGCATGGTGTTGCCGCTGATGTCGATATCGGCGTGGAGATGGCGTTTGCGGAGGGCAGCTTGGACTTCCTTGACATAATCGTTTGCACCCGGCATGACGGGAATGACCATGACTTGACGAGGAGAGAGCCAGAAAGGCCATCGACCGGCGAAGTGCTCTGTAAGGATACTACTTCTGTTAGCAAAGATACTTGGTTGTTACAAAGGAATAAAGCTTACGCGATGAATCGCTCGAAAGATCCATAGATAGCACGATGAATCATAACAGGACGGGCATAACCTGGTTGCGGTTCCTTGATCTTCTTGGGGATGGTAACATCGGCACCTTCCAGCTTCTCCTTCTTCTGCTCGATGTGTTCGCCTTCCTGTGGTTGGTCCTTGGATTTTGTAGGAATAACTTCAGATGTCATGTACTCAAGCTCGAACTGGTTTGGCAATTGGAAATCGAGTTGAATGGTGGCACACTGGAACTCTCGCTTCAAAGCGTCAGAGATGGTGATGTCGATCTTGGGTCCGTAGAAGGCACCGTCACCAGGGTTCAGCTCCCAAGCACCACCACCAGCAGCGGTAAAATCATTAAGAGCGTCAGTCAACTTAGCTTCTGCCTTGTTCCAGGTTTCAATATCACCAAGGAAACCCTCTGGACGTGTGCTCAACTTCAGCTTGAACGTGAAGCCGAACTTTCCATATACCGCCTTCAGAAAGTCGAAGAGTGCAAAGATCTCTTCTGTGATCTGATCTTGGGTACAGAATACGTGTGTGTCATCTTGCTGGAATCGGCGGACTCGTGTAAGACCAGTAAGCGCACCACTAGCCTCATTTCGATGTAGAATACCAAAGTCAGCCATACGGATGGGCAATTCCCTGTAGCTTCGCTCACGATGCTTGAAGATGAGACAGTGTCCAGGGCAGTTCATAGGCTTCAGCGCCCACTTCTCCTTCTCGACATCAAAGGTAAACATGTCTTCCGCATAGTGCTGCCAGTGACCAGAGATCTTCCAAAGCGCCGAGTTGTACATGTTCGGTGATGCCACCTCCTGGTACCCACGATTCCAGTACTCCTCGCGCAGGAATGCTTGCAGTGTGTTGTAGATGATTTGACCGTGTGGTAGGAAGAAGCAAGAACCGGGGCTGAACTCGTGGAAGAAGAACAGCTCTTGTTCTTTTCCAATCTTGCGGTGGTCTCGCTTGGCGGCCTCCTCGAGGAACTTGAGATGGGCCTGCATCGCGTCCTTGTCTGGGAACGAGACACCGTAGATACGCTGTAAGCTGTCGTTCTTGGCATCACCCAAGAAGTATGAAGCAGAGTTCTTCATGACCTTGAATTGCTTTATCCGTCCGGTGTGCGGTACGTGTGGTCCTCGGCAAAGATCGATCAACGGTCCATTGCGGTATACGGTGGTGAAGGTACCGTCTGCGATCTTGTCCTTGATGATGTGCTGCTTGTATTTGTTCGACTTGAACATTTCGAGCCTGGAAAGGTCAGAACAGATGCCTGCACATGAAACATGGAGCTTACAGGTCGTCTTTGGAGAGAGTCAAGCGCTGGAACGGCTGCTTCTCCTTGACAATGGAGTTGACAATGGTCTCAAGCGGCTTGTGGTCGGCAGGGTCAACTGCAGCGTTTTCTGGAAGAGCCATCTGTTATGCGATTAGTTGACATCATCTATCGATAGGAGCGAACTGACCTCGTAGTAGAAACCGTCCTCAATTGGAGGGCCAATGCAAAGGTCGCAACCGAACCTGCGTTCCGATGCTTCTCCCAAGATATGTGCGCTCGAGTGCCAGAAGACCTTCTTGCCTTCCGGGTCGTCAAAGGGTAGGAGCTCAAGCTTGCAGCTCTTCTCCAAAGGTCGCTCGAGATCCCACAGTGTCTCATCTGGTGTGCCCTTGTCCAGACGTGCAACGACGGTGCGCTCGAACAGACTCTTTGCAATGTTTCGCGCAATGTCGGCAGGGCTGGTGACCCATGACTCTCCTTCGATGTTCTTGCCGTCCTCGAGTGTAATGGTAATCTTCTCTGTAAGGCGCGATGTGTCAGTACGGTGGGTGAGAGGACTGTGGTCGTGAGGTGGTGAACATACCGCGGGGCTTCTGGGCGATCTCCTCGTCGTATTTCGCCTTGAGCTTCTCGAAGATTTGGATGCGGTGGTCGATAAAGGCTGGCGCAGGGTCGAGCATCAATGGACGACCATCACCACCATCTCCCTTAGCCTTCTTCTCCTTCTTGGGTTTAGGGGCCTTGTTCTCCTTTTGTGTGACTTTCTGCTCGGCAGCTACGGACAGGTTCTTGACACCCTCGACAGCCGAGTTGACTGCGTCTTTGACTGCGTCAGCCATGTCGATGTTGTGGTGGAGTGTGAGGCGCGTTCGGCGGGGTTGTATGAGTTGTGAGTCAGTCGTATGCGAGGTACAGTAACCCGGGAGCGTGGTAGAGGCCGGGTGACTCTATGGTGAAGATGGAGGCTGCACTGACTCTAACCCAGGGTGAAAAGCCACGTCTGGAAGCAAAGTAACGTCAGACTCGAAGCCAATGCCAAAAAGAAGAGCGCGCGCACGACAGCCCACTTAGCCTTTAGAGGCGCATTTGGTGGGGTTGCATGCGGCGGAAGGAGCCACCGGCGAAACGTGGCACCGATTGGTTGCGCTATCTGCAACTTCATTTTCAGTTCGAACTTTTCGCGAAGCTCTAGACCAAGCTCACCTTTCGCGCACCGATCCACTTTCACCACAACGAACAACATGGCATTTCGCGGTACTCCTCGTGGCGGACGTGGCGGCGGCTTCGGCGGACGTGGCGGATTTACTCCTCGTGGAGGTGTGTAGCACGCTCCAAGCTATCCTCGACTTTTCAGCTAATGCGCGACAGGACGCGGTGGCATGGGAGCCTCATTCGGACCCCCAGACACTGTCATCGGTACGTGTAGCGATCAAACTGCAAGCAATTCTGCTAATCCCCGTGCTAGAAATGGGCAAGTTCGTTCACGACTGCGAAAACGAGATGTTCTGCGAATCGATAAACACAAAGATCCCATACTTCAACGCGCCCATCTATCTCGAGAACAAGGTACACAGATTGCGACAAGAAACAATGAGGATAATGGGCTGACCCAGCTATAGACGCCCGTTGGCAAAGTCGACGAAATCCTCGGCCCTTTGAACCAGGTCTACTTCACCATCAAGCCCCAAGAGGGCATACAAGCCAAGTCCTTCAAGGCCGGCGACAAGTTCTACATTGGAGGCGACAAGCTGCTGCCTCTTGACAGGTAAGCCAGCTTACATGGCCTTTGGGAGTTTTGCGCTGATCAAATTAGGTTCCTTCCCAAGCCCAAGCCCGTTGGTGGTGTCACCAAGCCTAAGAGGCCTGCTGGCGCCGGTCGCGGAGCACCCCGTGGAGGCTCTCGCGGTTTTGGAGGTCGCGGCCGTGGAGCACCCCGAGGACGTGGTGGACCCCCTGGACGTGGAGGCAGCTTCGGTGGCCGTGGAGGAAGCGGATTTGGCGGCCGCGGTGGCGGTGGTGGTGGTTTCTCAAGAGGTGGACGCGGTGGTGGACGTGGACGAGGAGGATACTAAGTGCCTCGGACTGGGACGGCAACCACCTCTTTCGGAACACGCTGGCAATGCGCAACCGTTTGCGCTGCCGTTTCGGCTCGATCCTACGACTACCTACCGATACCATGATCATTTGAGGCGTTTTGGAGTTGATGGGATCACTGTATCATGTCTAGACATGGCGCCTTGCTATGGACACTCTGTGAAGGGTGCGCGAGTTATATTTTCTAGTCAAATTACTCTGAAGTTCAACTTGCCCGATGCATTTGGGCGAATGAATCCTTCTCCAGAGTAGAGTTCTGCAATAGCGCGCCCGTGCTGAACAAGCTCGGAAGGTGATGCAAGTCGAACTCGTCAAGTCAACTATGATGGTTGCGGAAAGCAGACCAATCTTGATAATCCGTCTTGGAGTACATCTCTCAAGTGGTAGCTTTATTTGATACTGCAACTACAGCAAAGAGTGCTGAATCTCTGTACACGCCTGCTGAATACTGATTTGCGTAGAGCAGCAGCGGGTCCGATGTCCAACCTCGGAAACATCAGCATCAACAACATGCACAGGCTGACTATTTGCAACGCATTAAAGATTACTCACAAACAATAATCCAGACGTCACAACTGTCAAATGCCCCAAGCATCCTAGATGGCCAACATTCCAAGTTTCCGGCAATGGCTGTTTTTGCCGCGCCCAATAGTCTCGTTCCCAGCCCCATCAAAGCTTGGGAGGCTGGCATGATGGTTCCTCGGACCACAACAACAGGGGCTTTCGCAATTTCAGCATCTTGTAATTGCGATTCCCATCATTCTGTTCTCCGCGTCTCTGCGAATATCGTTTCCGATTCTCCTACCCATAAACACAGCATTTTGAGGGAAATTGTTAACTGTTGAAGCACCTCCGAGACCTCCGCATCCGCCCCGCAACACACTCACACGTTGCTGAGGTTACTCGTAACGTCATTTATCATCCGACGCACCTTACGACCACCCGGGCAAGAAGTTAACGCGCCTTTGCGATAAAAGCAAGCGGGAACCGGGAGCGAAAAAGCATCAGCCTCTCGTGGTACAGGAGAAGGGAAACATTGCGACATTGCAGTAGCGCCAAGTCCCAAGCCCAATCTGCGGATAGGCGGCATCGCAAATCAAGGCCACAAGGCTCTGTACCTAGAAGCGCAAGCGATTTGGACCTGGAGAAGCTTCCCACCAGCCGACCATCACTGTCAACCACATTGCGCACAACCACAGCATCCTCCTAGTGCAAGCTCGACCACAATCGCATACTCCAGCCCCATCTCAACGTAGCCGCCGAGGCGCGAAAGACCAACGCAATGGCGCGCGCAGGACATTCAGGCACAGTTGTAGGCTCAGCGATAGTAGTACGGGAGAAGTACTACTGGCCCGACCTACAGCTGAACCTCTGGACAATTGTCATGCTGGCAACAGCTGGAACAATATTGGGAATCAATGCGCAGTTCATGGCAATACAAGATCGCATGGGATTAGGAACACCTTGGTACGCCCAATCCGCAACTTCAGATATAGTCAAGATGTCGAGAAGGGAAAACATGTGTAGTAGAACAATTGTACTAACAAGCTCCTTAGGATCATGCCCTACGGTGTCACAGTCGGCACACTGGCTATAATCTTCATCATCATAGAAATCGTCTTCATTGCGCAACGGAAACTACTCCCAGCCACCATGATGCTACTATCCTTTATCCTCCTCGTCCTCTTCATAGCCGGAATTATCGGAACCGCGATACAACTCTTCGCAGGACCAAATATCAACAACCAATGCAACACATACGTCTTTAACGACGACGCAAGTGGACCAAATGTGGATACATTGGCGTTCCTACAGCAGAGGAACATCTGTGAGTGTTCTCCCGAGCTTATAAGCAGCGTTATAGCTTGCAATTATGGAGTATCATGTGGCTAACAAAGGATAGGTCAATGTTGGCAAGCTGAATTCGCTTTTTGGATTATCGGCAGCATATTCCTCGTCTGGATGATGGTCATGGCCAGCCAGGTCAACTCGAACCAATATGCTCGATGATCTGGCGGCTCGGATCTGCCAATCTACTTCACTTCTCAGGACTCTGGTCCGTCTACTTTTTGTCTTTGATATTAGTTTCTTTACTGCCTAAATTGATGGGCCATGTGTATATGATGGAGCACCATTGCGGGTGTTCTAGTAGTAGCGGCGGCGTTATACCACTGTTTTTCTTTCTTTCTTCATTACGAGATACCGAAGGAATGCATGCAATGGATGGAAGGATGGAAGGAAGAAACGATATGTGATCGGAGCGACGGACTATTTAATCGTCGCAGCAGTATGATGTATAGAAGCAAAATAGCACCTTAAATAGTAACTACTCAAACTTGAAGACTTTGATCACATCTTCAACGTGCCAACATGCCATGAGACTACCTACCTAGGGACAAGGGTATGTATATATATCACTACTTAGCCGCTGGGCACGTAACCCTTCTTTCCCACAAGGATTGGAACCTTTCGGGCACCGGGAGCATCCAACATGGAAACTCTGCTATAACAGTGACCGGTACCGCAACTTCACCTGCATTTCATATTCCCTGCGTCGGATTCCCAGCTCCACCATTTCCTCTCCCTCCCCGCGGAATTCAAGAGTACGTACTGCTATAAGCACCAAGCCTAGTTTTCTTACAGCTAGGGCAAACACGAACACGAATATGTACCACCGAAAGCAGGTTTGATAGAACCCCATTCTCAATGATAGGATTCCCGGGGCTTATCCTACCCGGAGATGGAGCCGCGGGTCACGCTGGACATCAGGCTAACACTACGGGCAAAGAACAAAGAAGGAAATGGCCGGAAAAAGAAGACATGAGGATCTTCTGCCCTACAGCATTGTAAAACTTGCGAAAGCGGTACTGCGTCCTTTTCTTTTTGGCTTCAAATATTGTGTTGACAATGATGCTTCACCGCACCGTTCCGTCCCATCACCTAGCCGACGACGTCCAAACCAGAGCCCATGCCGTGATCCATGCACTAAACACCAGCCACCGCCTGACAACCACTAAATCGGCGATCATCTCGTCATTAATCCACACCAGCCATGCAGTTTCCAGCCTTTCTTACATCATCACGTTTCAATACCAGCTATACTTCCATATCAGGTCTTAATCGTTACCCTTGGCGACCAGGGGCGAGCCTTGCGTTTTCATCCCACTAGCCAATCACAGTATTTTAAAGGGGACACGAAGTTGGCACGAAACGCGTCGGCAACCCATAGAGCGCGTTGGTTTTGTCATCGCTCATTGGTTGAGAGGATATTCGGAGGTTAGGAGGAGGAGGGTTGTGGCTGGCTGCTCCTTGTAGAATGTTATGACTCTTATCTGGGCTTAAGTGGCTCGAGGGTGCTGGAATTGCTCTGTGTCATGTATGTAGGGCATATGCAGTTAATACCCTCATGGCGTGGTATCATGATGGCGTGGTGATCATGGTAACCTTGGTGGGCTAACGCTGATTAAGGTTGCCCAAGCGATGTCCAGTTTACGCCATCCTTCCACACCTCGTTGATCATGTTCGCATTTGTCGCGTATCGATAGGATGTATAGTATAGTGGCCGGAAACGTGGTGTGCATAAGGGTGTGGCATCGCGGTGGTTTGTTGCCGCGCACAGCGCAACGCATGCTAGACACATTAGCAGAACCGAAAAACAGGCGTATACGGCATTTATCATTTAGTACGTTTTATTATTCGCCTATATGACCGCACCCCGCAATACAGGTGCATAGTGTGTGCCTGGCTAGTCCTTCGGTCCCAATCTACCGAAATCGCATAATGTAATGCTGCTGCACTATGCTGTGATGTGCTGATAGCAAACAAATGAAACGGAAAATAGCTTAGAATACAGTTGCTAAAGAAGTGTGCAAACGGGATATATGTCAATAGGTGGTACAAAGCGCTTGCGTTGTAGCCAGCTCGATTTTATCGCCGGGGAATACTTGGCGGATGCATGCGAAAGATAACGTAGAAGACGTGTGCAGTGATGCATGGGTTGTGTCGATAATGCCTTCCATAATCCAGAAAGAGGCCAAGCCTCCGTGAACGCCATGCTTAAAAGAATCCAGATGAGAATAAGAGAAGCCGCTCAATAGCAGCAATGCATGGAATGGTAGTTGTGCGATGCACTGAACGTGCTCAATGTCGCCAGAGTGTCGTTGCGTCGTGCCCAAACGCTTGCTGGGTTGTTGTGTATGGTAGATGAGATGAACTTTACGAGATGAGTTCACCGCCGAGGTCCATGCCGAAGCTATCTACTTTTCCCATGTGGCCAGTCATGTGTGAAGCATCACCAGATGGAGCAATATTGTCGAAGTTGAGATGACGCCGTGCTTCGCGGACAGCAGCAGGTGTTCTGGTGGCGACAGGTGTGCGGTTCCACGACGATGCATTGACCTGCGCAGGGCTCGGGGACATGTTGAGGAACTCTGCAAAGTTGAGGTTCGTTGACGGTGTCGCAAGACCGAAGCCTGTATAATGAGAGCCACCACCACCAGGCGTGGACATCATCGACGAGGGAAGGGGTGTGGCTTTGGGCGGTGGAGTTGATGGGGCAAGCATTTGTGGCTTCTGGTGACCAGGTCGAACCGGTGTGGGTGATGTTGCGAGATACATCAAGAGGTTTGCGTCGTTGTCCCCATGTTTGCCTTCCCGAGCTGCGCCGGCAGCATTGAACCCCCGTTGTCGAAGACGTGCTGAACGTGCAACATCTGGGGGCGGTGTGCGTGGGGTTTTGGGCGGTGATGACTGGAAGGATGGTTGGAAATGCGATCTGTTCAGGGAGAAAGATGTAATGGGTAGGTCTTCGTCGTCGTCTTCGGACAGTAGGGGTGAATGCGGATCGGGAACGGTCGAGGTTTCAGAGACAAAGGACAGGCTCGGAACATGCTGACGGCCAAAACGGGCATGTCTGCGATGGCATACAGGCGAGGACTCGGGCAAGTGGAAGTTGTTCTTCCACGAGGTGGCAGCACTGGTGGCAGTCCTTACTTTGACACGGGCGTGGTTGCTCGATGCTGGGTACTTTGTTCGGTCGTGACGAGGTCGCTTGTTGTGGATGTAGCTGCCGGTGCTGACGGACCGACTGACTGAGCGGCGGACGTCGTCTGAGAATATGGGCGCTTGGAGGGGGGAGGAGTCGAGGATGCTGGGCTGGTAGAAGCGCTCGGAGACGCTGGATACGTCCGACATGGCTTCGTTGCTGGAGCCGGGGCGCTTGCGCTTGCGCTCGACACCGTCGAGGACAGGCTCAATGGCATCCAGGCTGAGACTCTCCCAGCCGTTCTTCATCTTGACGTTGGCCAGAGCGAGGCGGTTCTGCAGCGTCCGAGTCATCTGAAGAGCACAGTGTCAGCAAACAAGGGCGAGGGGTTGTACATAGGGAGATGGACCTTTGAGACCTGTGCCCTTCGCAGGACCTTGCTCGCAACTTCATCCTGTTCGGCCATGGTGTAGCAATTGCTGGAGGGGGCGTGTAGGGGGAGCCAGGCAGATGATATGGCCCTGTGGACGTCTCACTAGAGTTGCTACAGACGAAACAGCATGTGGGCGGAGCTGAGGTGACGGTCGGCAAGGAATGTGAGGAGCTGGCGATGCAAGGGGACTAGCTTCAAAGTCTGCGGCAGCACAGGCCCCGTGCTTGTCAGGGCGTTGTGGGAGTGATGATGAAGTCAAGATGCTAGGAGTCGCAAGCGGCACGAAAGCCCTAGTGACCCCATGGCGGGCTCCTATCCGGCGCTGGAGCCTTGTCCAAGTGCGCCTGCAACAAAGAAAACCTATGCTGCTGAGGGTTTGGCGAGCGGCAGGGGGGTGCGTCTGGTGGCTGCGGTAAAGTCGCTGACTAAGGCTCTTCGAGCGTAAGATATGGTATGCTATCGGTAACGTATCGACCTTTGGAATGTTTCAGGCCCGCCTTATCGCTGCAGGCCGTCGTCGGGGAACGGGCGCAAATCCGCGGATTCTGAAGCTACACCAGATGAATGCGCGCATGACGACGTGCAGAATCGGTAATGCCCTCGCAGCTCACGTGCATTACTCGTCTATGTCCATTGCGTACAGCTCGCCGTGTCCTGCCATGGATGTTTCACGCCCACGATACAACTGACAGTGCATGGCATGGCATGCCATCCCAAAGCGGCTAAAAGCTTTGGCAACGTCATTTGTTGAGTCGCGAACCTCCTCACCATGCGCTCGTCTCGGTGCAACCCACCATTCTGTCCATCTTCCGCAGTTGCGAGTAACCAACGCCCAATTCTTGCCAATTGACCCTTTTGGAAGCCTCTAGCGCGACCACCAGAGCTGCCTGTTCGGTCCTGCTAGCTTGCGTCGCCAGAGGTAGCTCTTCACGTCGGCGTCCTCTCCACGTAGACATTGCTGCCACTTTCTCAAACACAAACTTTCTTTGCTCTCTCCCGCCATACTGCATATTCTGCCTTCACTCGCTTCCCGCATGCATAGTAGCATAGCTATTGCCAGTAAAGCCTCCCGTTCGCTTGTTCCCACTCTACAGTGACTATCACGCCCGTATTACGCGTCCCCCCAGCTCCCCATAGCTCCCCCATCGCGCCCTCCGTATCGCTCGTTACCGTCGCTCATTACCTACGCCTATGATTCCTTAATTCGTCAAGCTTTTCAGACTAGCCCGAGGACCTCGAGACGCTACTTCTGGCCTACATCAGCGCTGTAGTTGTCACGATGCCGTCTTTCCTCAGAAACCTTGGTAGAAAGAGCAGCCGCATGTCCAAGAGCGGCGACCGGCCAACAACCAGTGCAGAGGGTCAGAATGCCAATGGTATAAACCGCCGTGTTTCCGCCTCTACTCTAGACTCGTCCCAAGTCGGCTCGTCGACGCCTTCTACCACCCCAGCCACCTCTACCACAGACGAAATCAACACCCAAACCAAAGACCTTACCAATGGCCCCACGCCTGCGCCTGCGCGACCTCAGCGACCGACTGTCGACCCCGTAAAACGCTACAGCATCAATGGCTTAGCATCGCCAACCTCGAACGGCTCCAACAGCTCGTTCAATAGATCTTCGCTACTCGCGCCGCGCGTCTTGTCTGTCTCGGATAACTCATGGGTACACCAACAGGTACTGCTGATATTTGGTCAGGTTGGGGAGACACAGAGCAAACCGTTGGACGGCACACTCACGGTTAATCACCATCAGGGCCGCTTCCCATCTACTTGCTGGCCAGTACACGATTCCCACTTCAAGGCCTTGGTGCATCTTGAGCCTGGCTGGAACAGGATCCGACTTGACTTTGCCTCGCCCAAGGTCTCTACGCCAAACACCTCCGTACCTGCTCATGCCTCCTTCATCAACATAAACTACCTCCCTTTGTCGCATTCGCCGCCCTTACAACTTGCAATCATATTGGGTCATGACTCCCCAGGTACATATGACGCCCCACCTGAGCGTATCCAGCGAGAGGGAAACAACCTTGACCTTGCGACCAAGAAATTCCGCATGGCTGCATACCTTTGGCAGGCCTTCACTGGCGAGCAGATGAAGCGTTATGGATTCGGTCGACGCTGTTTCCGTTTCGAAGACGCCTGGGAGCCTGGAACGCTAAGTTATCAAGATTGGGAACAGAATCAATACCGCACGCAGGCAAAGATTCACGTCATCCGCTCCAGAAAATCTGTCGCAGAGATACGCGATCTGCAACGCGCCCAGCAGTACGGTCCGGGGACGAAGAAAAATGAACTTTTCGACATTGCCATCGAGGCATGCAGAGATTACTTCCCCATGGTACCAGGCCAAAAGCATTACGTCTCCTGCCTGTTTCTTGACACGCATTGGGACACGCAAGAGAAGACAGTTCGAGGACATGCGGCTTTAGGTGGAGGAACTGGAGATCTACAACTGGCCATTTTCGGTTCCCACGCGCTTCACAGCTACCCATCGAGCATTGAAGAGGTTTTCCAGGCTTTCCAGGACTGCACCAAAACCGACACTGCATTCGTCGCGAATGACTGCAACGAATCTGGAAGCAACTGGGAAGCTGCTAACATAGGAATTGGTGCCCATCTCCACGAGACGGGGCATCTCTTCGGTTGTCCTCATCAGGAGTCGGGTGTCATGTTACGTGACTACGTTACGTTAAACCGCACCTTCACATGTCGAGAGCCCTACTCAACACGCACCAAGTCACCTGGTCAGCGGCTAGTCTTGCCAAACGATGAATGCAGATGGCACAAATTAGACGTACTACGTTTCCGATTCCATCCTTGCTTCCGCATACCTATCGACAACCCAAATATCAACGGAGATGGCAGTGTGCAAGTGTGGACGGTTGACGTTGGCCAAGGTGGCGTCATCGCGACCTCGAAATCGGGCATCGCTTGGGCTGAGCTGTACACAGAAGGAGACGATGTCTGTCATTACTGGAAAGAGTTTCCTGAACAAGACAACCAATACCCACGACAGGTTACACTGGAAGAAAGCACCCTGCGTGCCTTGCTACCGAAAGAAAAACAAAAGTCACGCCTCAAGCTCGAGGTGTACTCCGCTGGTGGAGGCAAGCACGTTGTTGAAGATTTCAGTCAGCTCTCAAACCAGAAGAATGCACGCATCAAGATACCGGACGGCCGATGGGGCTACCGTGGGGGAAAACTAGGTTACTCACAAATGGAGGGTTCACAGCCGCAGGAAGTGATTTTCGATTACGTCCACATTCAGACCAAGCTTTTACTTAGCATCAAAGTGTACCATGGTTCCGCCATGGATGGATTGGAGTTTGTGTACGAAGATACGGACACCCAACTCTTCGGCAAGCGAGGAGGCAGTATGTCTGAGTTTGCACTAGATACGCGAAAAGGAGAGCTGTTGCTGGGCTTTTCTCTGCGTGCCGGACTATGGATCGACGGTCTACAGATACTAACAAGCTTGGGACGGAAGAGCGAGTGGTATGGAAACCCGAATGGCGGCAGCGGGTACGTATGGATCATACTCATAACAATTGCCAGCTAACTATATGCAGGCATACGCTTATCCCTCCCCGTGGCTACACCATCGGTGGTCTATCCGGTTCTTGCGCACAATGGCTCGACGGGTTTTCGCTGATTATCACGCGGTGATTGCGCTAGTGTAACTTTTCATATCTTGCCTGGTTCTGTTTGCGGCCATTATGTTACCTACATCAGAACAGACAGTTCGGCCGTCGAGTAGCTACCACCAGACACTACATGCTGCGTCACTATTGTCCTGAATGAAGTTTCTGGACAAGCTGACTTGATTACTGGGAGCGGAGCATCCCCTTTGGCATGTTTGCACAGCTCTAGCTGCTTTGGGCGAACAAACTTGATTCGCAGATTTACAATCATGATACCACAGTCATTGAGCTTGACTTTCTTTGTAACAGTAGCAATTTCAATAGGGTTCTTGAAACAATGGGTTTGTCGTAATAGGATAATCATTCTGAAGGGCTTCACACGTATCTGTCTTCTGCGCTTTCTACCATTGTTTCATTGATAATAGGGTATCATCGTATTTTGTACGCCCGCTAATCGATCACAGCATCGTTATGCAACCTGATCTTTCCTCTCTCCCTCTCACCACGACCAAATTCGATTGCCCCCATTGTCCGAACGCGAAGACCCACGTACACAACACACTGGGTCGCGTTCCTCTTCAACGCTATGGTCTAGGGCTTGGGAATCTTGACACTCTTGCTGACCATCAAACATCCGTGAAGTATGAACATGGCTACAACAGGGTGGAACTCAAATGCCGTGCCCTCGAGCCAAAGGCCCATGGGAACCTGTTCCAACGTCCAGCCCTTGTACACCCAGTACGCCATGACTTGGACAATGCCCAGAGACATGGGGATGGGGGTGCCCTCAAAGTACTTGCTCTTGCCTGTCGCATCCTTTGGCACCATAGCAACCGTGACATTGAATCTCGCCAAACGTGTAAGACCGCAGAGCACGAAAAAGCTCAGGAGTAGATGGTCGACAGGTGTTCGCAGACCGAGACAGAAGGCAGCGGCGGCGGGGCTAACGCCAAATGAGACGAGGTCAGCCAAGGAATCAAGTTCCTGGCCCATGAGCGATGCCTTCTTGCGCCAGCGAGCGACTTTGCCGTCCATGAAGTCGAAGAAGAGTCCGAGGGGGATGAAGCCGAGGGCGAAGTACAAGTTGGTGTAGTTGAAGGGGTCCGACTGCGTGCAGTAGCGGAGAGAGGAAAAGATGGACATGACGCCGCAGAAGCCTGAAATTTATCGTCTCAGCGCATGCCTTGATTCTTCGGCTGAACAGCCGAGTGTTATGTTGGCCAGGAGAGGTCGGCGTCGGAAAACGTACCATTGAGCTCAGTAATGAAATCAGCCAGATGCAGGGCCCTCACGAGAGAGAAATGTCCAGCTTCCTGGGACAAGAGCCTCGCCTGTTTGTCCTGCGCTGTTGTTCCCGTTAGTCTTTCCTTGAACCCATGCGACGATGCTATTTTGCGTCAACATACCCTCACCCTTTGCTGGCGGCATCCCGTCCTTGGGCTGCGGCTCTCCGCCGTTCCGTCGTTGCGACATATTGTGTTTGTGTGGTGTAGTAGGCGCTTCTGCTCGCTCAAACGAGGTTTAATTGCGCGAGGTGGAATTTGGGAAAAGAGGGAAGTGCGGGAAAGTTAAGGGTCTAGGTAGGGTTGTTGCATGGAGAAAGCTTGTTGTTGGTGTGAGCAGGCGGGCAGTGACGTGCCCTGCGCCATTAGATCCAGGCTTGGGAGACCAACGTCATTTTCGTCCTACGCAAACTTCCGCGTTGCTCTGCACAGCCCGCCTCAGCCCCGTGATTTGCCATGGGCGACAATTTCAATGTTGGCTATTTGATATCGGCAGTCATGCCCGGCAATGTAGGCTTCGCTCGTCTATCAGGTTGAGCGAGTTGCGCGTCTAGTCGGACTTGTTCGTAGCCTCGAAAGAGTGTCGTGCTTGTCGGCAGCACACCGTGCAGTTGCTTTAGGATATATACCGATGGAGTTGCAGCAGTTCAGATATTATGCATTACGAGTATGTCTATATAGCAACAAAATTTTACAAGAAGTATATCATGCATCAACACTGGTCATCATGGAATGCTCGAAGTCTAATACACCGCCCTCGTCGTGATGATGGCCAATGGTTGAGACTCTACTTCCGCCTGCTCACCATCTTGGTGATGGCATGCCTTATGATGGTGCCAGCCTTCTCTGTCTCCTTCTTTGTCAGGCCGCTGGTCACACATACTTTGAGTGCAGGCGTAGGTTGCCAGCCTGCGTCTCGGGGGTTTAGTCCAAGACCAAGAGGGAAAGACTTGAGTCGTGTTATGAGAACGCCGTTCGCGAGACACTGTGACTGTCAGCACATTGTCCAAGATCAACCTTACATACACCATTAGGATACGTACCTCATCGACAACTTCCCTAAATATCTGATTTTGGTCTTCGATACTCAACTTCTTGTTGTCAATGACTTCGTCTTTCAGAACAAGTAGCATGATCGGGTTGTCACCCGAACTACTACATCGGACCCAGTCGCTCCTGGGGTCCAACTGCCCCCTCATGGCTTTCACATTCTCCCTGAGTCCTGCCAAAATATCCGGTTGTTGTTGCAATAAGCTGATAGTCTCACTGGCAGTTGTACTCAGCAAAGCAGGGAGGGCAGCCGAGTAGGTATAAGACGCCGAGGAAATACGCTGATGCTCAACGACTTCCTCATTGCCAGCGCAGAAACCTCCTGCCGCACAGAGAGGGCCGGATAGCGAACCGATAATCATATCTACTTCTGCAGCATCGACATTTTGCGCTTCGGTGACACCGCCGCCGGTGCGGCCGAGGACGCCGTAGGACCAGGTTTCGTCGAGGATCAGTCGGAATTTGTATTTGAGCTTGAGTTCGACCTTTTCAATATGTTAGCTAACCCATCCAGGTGCCTCTGAAGCATGAGTATGTGATGGACGTACAATCTTGGGCAGGTTCACCACATCCCCAATGTTCTCAAATAGGCCCTCAGTAATGATGAAGCGTCTGGTGAGCGGCTTCTTGGCCTGCTCTTTGACAACCTTCTTGAGTACGTTTTCCAGATCCTCCATGTCATTGTGTTCAAACCACCTGACGGTACTGCGGCTGATTTGAATGCCCTTCCTTGCAGCAAAGTTGAGCGCGCGGTCTGCCACGATGATGTCTCCTCTCTTGCTGAAACTGGGAATAACACTGCTTATAGTCGAGAAGGATTGTGCGTAAATGATGCAGGCAGGGACACCGAGATGTGCAGCGACATCGGCTTCGGTCTTCATGTGGACGTCCTGTGTACCATAGAAGCCGGGGGGGCCACAGGGGCCAACGCCGTAAGTCCGCAGGGTCTGAATGGCCTTGTCTTTTAGGACATCGTTGGAAAGGAAGTTGTAGAAGTTGTATGAGGCAAGATTCGTTACGGTTCGGCCGTTGGAGAGCTTCGACTTGGGACCGGTAGGGCTGCGCGGTACTTGGTTAGCATTGATTCGCGACCATAAGAGGCCATTGGGGCTGTAGGCTGTCATACCCAACAATGATGGGCCGCTTCTCGTTGTCCAACTCCTCGAGCGCAGTAGTCGGTGCAACAAGCGGTTCTGGGGTCCAGTCTTCGACCAGTTCATCAATCTCCTATTTGCTTGTCAGCCCGCCACATCCGCGCATCTGTATCCAAGGCGCGGAGCATACGGCATCGGTGAGCTGCACTTTCTTCTGGGTGCTGTATTTGGGTGCGAGCAAGTAGCGCACCGCAAAGAGGAACAAGAATAACTCTATTGCGCTGCGAACGGGGTCGTTCTGGTAACTCGACTTGATGTAGCGGACGGCGATAGCGGACCCTGGTATGCGATTGAATTGCGCATTGGCATCGGTGAAGAAGCGCGTAGTAACATTCTGTATTTCATTGAGATCCATGATGGCTATTTGTTGCGTGGTTGTTGGTGTAGGGGCTGCGGCGAAAGGGCGGAGGTGAACCCTGGGCAACTTCAACGCCTAATGGCTCATCTCGCAAGGACCTCCGTTTCGGGGTTTCACGAGTAGGTTTCTCAAAAGGGCAAGAATATCACTTCAGACCACACGTATCAAAGACAATATTAAAAGGCGCAGGAGAGACTTGAGTTTAAGACATCCATGTATTTATCTGCAATGCATTCACTTTCTAAGATATTCGCCTTCCCGTGATGAACCAAAACAACCCTTCGTAGTATATGTGCAGGCAAGTCCGCGCCTTAGGCGGACATCGGTGTTCAAAAAGAGAGAAAGCAGGTCGATAGCCTGCTGTGTAACGCCAGAAAACGAAGGAAATGCTGTAGTGGATATTACAATCATTATGGGACCAACCAAGTCGCCACGCTCATGATTCGCCAAGGTTGTACAATACAGGCTGCGAAAGCAGAACAAAACGATTCGCAACGTTTGCTTTTAGTATGCCATGTACCGGCGGAATCGACGAGCGGCATCGTCGGTCGAAGCGGCGGCACCACCACCTCCAGTTGCGTCCACAGCGGGGTTCCACACAGGGCAAGGACGTTCATCAACACACTTGCCAGTAGGAGTGTTGGTAGTGTCGTTGTTGCTGAAGCCTGTAGGCTGCAAGATCTCCATTGGCAATGTCACGGAGAGCTTGATGTACTTTCCGGCGACGATCGGACCCACGATTAAAGCCAGGAAGACGACGAGCAGGACAAAGTAGAGGATGGCGTAGCGCACGACACGACGCTTGCGAAGCTTGGTCTGCTTGAGCGAGTAGATGGGAGGACGGATCTGGCGACTGTTAAACGTTAGTAGTGGTTCATCAAACAGAGTGGGAGTGGAACATACCTGGGACGGAGCCAGAACAACATCATGGAGTGGCCCTTGTCGGCGTAGGGAATCAACAAGATCGGAAGCATGAAGAAAAGAAGGACGTGACCAAGGATAAAGTCTGCGGCGAAGAAGCCCAACTCGGTGATCTTGCAGAGGAACTCACGACCAGGTTGAGAGATCGTGTGCCATCCCATGGTGTACCACTTTCCTGTCCACCAGGCAATGTTGGCAGTGTCAGCCTTGAACTCACGAGTGAGAGCAAGAGTGATGATAAGCTTGAACACGAATCGCTGGATAGCGACAACAGCGATCATACCAGACAAAGCTCTGGGGAAGCTGAAGCCCTCGAGGAACATGAGCACAACGAAGAAGATAAGGAGGACAAGGACAGCGATAGCGTGAGCAATGGCAGCCAAGACAGCTCCGAACTTCTTGCAGCACATGCTGAGCAAGGGACCCGCACAACAAGCCAAAGCAAACATGCCTCCCAAGACACCTGCATTGATAGCGACAGGACCGAAGGCAATAATTGCGATACGGACGAGGGCACCGGACTTCTTGGGGTCACCAGTGGCGGTGTCGTCGTCTTTGTGACGGTTGTCGTTGACACCGGTCTGGGCGTTGATGAACAAGAAGGGGATGAGAGTGATTGCGACCAAAACGAGAGGTCCAAGGATCTCACTCATGAAGATGTTGGTGAAGTGAGCACGAGGGACATCGCCTGAGAGTTTAGCTGATGGGTCGCCGAGAATCTTGCGCTTGAAACCAGTGATACGTGTGCGAGAAAGACGGCAGTAACCAATCCAGGAGGCACTGTGGGACCTAGTGTTGCCACGAGACAACCAGCGAAGGTACTCCCTGTAGTCGATGAAGAAGTCGTCCCATGAGAACTGGTGGGGGTTGAAAAGGAACGGTGCCAGGCACAAGGACATCAGGGACGCCCAGAAGTAGATGAGCCATGGTCCCCAGACAGTAATGGTGGCGAACAGCAACATCATCAAGGAGCGGGCACCAATGTAGATCGAAGGACCAGCGAATCGCGAGAACAGGATACCGAAGGGAATGCGAGCAGTTGCGAAACCACGGCCGGTACCGATGTAACGAGCACCACCATATGACAAGTTGGTGTGGAGAGCGTTGGAGTAGATCTGGGTGACAAAAACTTCGAAGAAGGGCGATCCAGAGGAGAAGTGCTTGGCGAGACGAGTCGCGGCACGCCAAAATCCTCGCTCAGTCAACTCTTGAACCACGAGCGGCACGAAAGAGATGAAGAAGACGATGAAGATGGAGACGATACAACGCGAGACCCAGTCGAACACGGGAACCAAGTTGGCACAGCCGTTGGGCCATTGAGGATCGGTGATGGGGATATCCTTGTTGAACTGGCAGAGAATGGTCTCGTGGTTGAGCGCTCCGAGATTGAGGAGGACGAACATGAAGCACTGGACCGACAACATAATGAACATGTTGTTGATGTGGAAACCAGGATGGGCGTAGTAGAAGGACAGGAAGCGGTCGAGAGGAAGTTGAGTACCCATGTAGTAGTACTCGCGAGACAACATCTGCTCTCCCATACCAGTACCAATCTTGGTGGTGAAGTTGAGAACGGAACCGAAACCCAAATCACGACCCTTACCACACTGGTAGTATTCGCAATGCTTTATGCGACCACCACGAAGGAGAGCGTTCATACCAGCGTAAATATCCTCGTTGAGATGAAGACCCTTTTGAGCCTTGGACACTCCACCACGAGTAGTCATGAAGATACCGTTGAGGAAATCGGGATGACCGTAATGGAGCTTGCCACCAATCTGAGCCAATGTACGAGCGAACATAGTACCGAATGTCTGTTCCTTTCCGGCAGCGATGTCACCAAGGATACCAATGTTCTCGGAGAAAATGTATTCACGGGCTCCGAGAATGGCGACAGGGTTGAACTTGGTGCTAGGAAGGCCAGGGGTGTATGGGGAGACGTTATCAGTGGTCATCTCTTCGAACTCAGCGAGAACGCTGCGAATCTTGAGGCACTCCTCGAGGTAGTTGTCCTGGTTGGCGTCGATAAGCTGGATGTATTCTCCACGGTAGAAGATGATGGAGTGGTTCTGGTTGTCGGACTTTCCGTCACCAAGAATGGGGTTACCAGAGAGTTGAATGCGGAACTTGGGACGACGCATGCCGTTGTCCATGATCTCAGAGTGACCGTCGATAAGAGCAGAGTAGATGCGGGGCTCCTCGCCCTCGTTCTCCGGAGGCTCTTCGTCCAGGTAGGCAATTTGGAGGTCGGGGTACGCACGGAGAAGGAACTCAGTGTTCTCACGCTCCTCGGTGTTGAACTTGGCGTAACGCTGCATAGACACGCAGATCTTGTACTTGCGCCTAGCCATGCGCTCAAGTTCACGCTCGAGCTTGTCAGAGTTGCCACCGAACATCTGGACGACCTCAGGGTTCTCGACACGGTAGAGAAGCTTGATGGCACGACTGTAGTTCATGAAACCAGAGATGGTACGGTAAAGTGTTTGCGAGCGGAGGGAAGCCCAGATACGAGTGCGAAGGGTGTACTCAGGAGCGGCCGACTTGAAACCAATGCAGTAGAAAGGAAGATCGTCAATCTTGCTCTTAGCGGTATCCTTCTCGCCCTTCTCGTCGTCACCGTTGAATTGAGATGTCTCATCGGCGAGAATCTTGGTGTCCTTGACGAAGCAGTCCCACTCATGAGGATGCAGCTGTTTGAGGTACTCAAGGAGAGTGACACGGGAGTATGGCTCATCCTCGCGAATAATTTCACGGAGTGACAAAAGGATCTTTTCACCGTAGTGAGGAATCAAGACAGTGAATGTCGGCATGTTGTCCACGGGGAGAGGCTCAGGGATGGGAGTTGACAAGGACTGAGCGAAGAAAGAGATACGACGCTCGGCCTCGCTCTGAGCAGGGAAGAACTCGGTCTTGAAGGAGTGATCTTCCTGGGACACAAAGAAGGTAGGAGCGCGCAGGGTGCGCTTGCCCTCCTGCTCAGAGGGAACCTGGTGATAGAGGAGCTTCTGAACGTGGTCGATCGCAAGGAGATGCTCACGGTACATAGAGATGACCACGGCATTCCAGATTTGCGAGATGAGAACCTTGGGCTTGTACTTGATCTCCATATCGGTAGTGGCAAGAACCTTCGAGTAGATACGCTTGGGCAAACGGGAGAAGATGTTCCTCCATGGCGTCCAGATGGAAACACCGAGGTAGAACGATCGAGAGACCGAGAACAACATGTTTGCAATGATGTACCAGAGGTAGGAATCCAAGAAGAACAAGATCAAGTCCATGAAGTACATGAGACCGAGCAGGATTCTGGGCTGGTACTTGCAAAGAATGTTGCCGATGATAGCATCTCCCAGACAGTCAGGCTTCTTCATGTGAGAAAGAATACGAATTGGGTCCTTGATCGACAGAGTCAAGAAGAAGTAGGACTCAGCGAGCTTGGCAGCAAAGACCAAGACCCACAGGCCGTATGACATCCACTTGTCGTTTCCGTTGAGACGAGGGTAGCTGGCGGTGAACGTCTGACTGGCGACATACTTGCGAGAGTTGCGTGTCAAGTAGCTACCGAACAGGCCGCCGATGGGCATGAGGGAGAAGAAGATGAAGGTGACCAAGGCAATGGCGAACTGAACACCACCAAGTACGTTGGCGATGGTACCAGTGCGCTTGTCCAGACCAAAGATGTAGACACTTGGAGCAATGTTGACGACGAAAACCGCAATCAGGAACAAGAGGCGCTTGGTCAAGTGCTGAGCACCAGCCCATCGGCGAGGGACGTAGCACCATTCACAGATGGTGGCGAAGATCTGGATGAAGGCCGCGATGGTACCACCAAGAGCGACAGCAGAAAGAGTAGCAGCCTTTTCGGGCTTCTGGTCTAGCTGTTGCTGGTAATTCTTGGTGTAAAGAGGCTGCGAGTTGTATGCCGTGTAGAACCAGAAAGAAGTCAAGTGAATGACCCAAATACGGTTGAAGTTGATCACCATGTGGAACCATGAACGACGCTCGTAGTAAGTCTTGAAGAAAACCTTCTTCCACAAGACATCCTTCAGCTTGAGGTAACGCTCAGCGGGTGGGATGTCGACGAGGCGAGACTTGTCCTCGAAAACGATGCGTTCGAGACCCTCGGGGTACCAGAAAAGCTGGTTCATGTCGTCGTATCCGATAATGGCTGCGTGATCGCGTTCACGTCGAACGTACTTGCCATCTTGGATCTCGTAACCTTGGTCACGGCAGTACTGGTACAGCGGCGTGATGACTTGGTTGAGGTATGTGAATTCCTCGATTGGCTCGGTTTGGGCTTGTCCGGCAGGCGAGTTTAGCCAGTCGTCGGCACACTTGAAGATGAAGCACATAAGTTCAGGCATGAAACGGACCTGGTTGGCTTCTCCCCAGCAGAGCAGGTAGAGAGCAACCTGACGCACGCGATCATGTTGAGACATGCGGTTCATGCGCGTCTTCCAGCGGTATTCAGCTGCCTCCAGACTGTTGTCACCCTCGTAAGCGTCAAGAGTTTCCTGCTCGTTGCCTGGGTTCTCGCTGGCCTTCTTCTTAGCGGCCTTGCGGGCCTTGCGGGTCCTGCGGCTAGCTTTTCCAAGGTTCATGTTGGCAAAGCCAACAGCATCATCCAGGTCCAGATGGGCGGCAAAGTACCACCTGCGGTAGTTGGCATTTTCTCCACCGATGTAATCGGCATGGAGAGACAGAAGAGCCTGGTTTGGCGACATGCGGGAGGCACGCGAATCGAGCAGAGTCATGAAATGATCGTACATGTTGCGCATGCTGTCACGCTGGAAGCCGAACTTAGCGGTCAAGTCCAGGAAGATATCCTCGATCTCCTCCTTTGTGCAAGGAATCTGAGCCTCAGCAGTCCAAGCTGGGTACGGCTCGCGAGACCTTTGCCCAGCAGGAAGGGCGTTCGAGTAGTCCATGCCGTATATAGGAGTTGAAGCACCAGAAGAGCGGTTACCACCGTATGACACCTGAGACGAAGGAGGGCGGTAGCCGCGGTTGCCCTCGGCGTAGCTGTTATACCTCTCGTCGCCGCGACCGTAGTAGTCCATGTCCGTGGCGCGGGCCATGTCGGAACGCATGGTGAAGTCGCTGAAGGTCTCGGAGTCCTCCTCGGAGTCGTGTTGACGGCGGCGAGGCTGTTGGCCGTTGGCGGCATAGCCGTCTTGCGCACCACCCTGGTCGTAGTACTGGTCGTTGTAATACTCGTCCTGGTAACCTTGCTGGCCTCGGTCGTCATAGTAGCCGTTTTGTTGATAGTGGCCACCCTGTTGCTGGCCATCATAGTAACCTCTGCGCGTCTGTTAGCATGTGATGGTGCACTGGTCCGAAGGCAGAAATACGCACTGTTCGTCGTAGTAAGCATCACCATGTTGGCCCTGTTGCTGGTACTGGGCGCCGTGCGCATCGTCGTGGTACTGGCTGTACTGGTCGTCGTGGTAGTAGGCGTCCTGGCCCTGCTGGCCCTGGGCGTGCCCTTGAGTCTGGCCGTAGCCGTCGTCGTAGTGGCCTCCCTGCGGATGTCCGGACATCGTGGGAAGCTATTAGGGTTGGATGTAGAATCTGCAAGGCGAAGTGTCAATAAGTGTCGCACGGGGAGCCGCCAGTGGTGAAACGGCAGACGTCGGAAGAATGGCCGTACCTCAAACAATGGGCATTAGGAGCGGCAGAGTCAAATTGCTCGTAGATGGACTGCCGTGTAAGACAATTGATGCGAGGAGCACTGGGGTGCGGATTGTTGTTGTTGAACGAGTGTGTTGGGGTGACGATCTCTCAGTAGCACGGCGGATTGCTCGTGCCTGCTTGATGGCGAGAGTCGAATGTTGTGGTCGTAACGAGCGAGTGGAAAGCTGGTTATGCAGCCGTGTCGTGGTTGCCAGGAGAGACGCGCGGCGAATCGGCGCTTGTCAGTCGCTGGGGCAAAAGTTGGAATTAGGCTGGTAGAAGTGGCGGGTAGCGGCTCTCCTCTTTAAGCGTCGAGAGAGCTGTCGGCGAGTACACTACACAGCCTCAACGCAATGAAACGAGAGGCAATGTAGAAGAAAACGGACACGGGGGGAAGAAAGGGTGGGTGAGTGAGCGACAGTGTGGAATGCGGAAGGGCAGGCAAAGAGCTTTTTAGCAGCTTCCCCTGAAAATGAAAGGTACGACCGCCAAGCTAGCCTAACGCCGTCAGAGACGCTGCGCATGGGTCCCCTTCGCTAGCATTCACTTCCCGATATTGAGTCGCCCCTCTAAAAACGGCATCGGAGATCATGGACATATGCACACTACAAAGATGCACGATTGCGCTCACTCGAGCTACAGATGCTCTGATCTGCTGTTCCCACTGCTCCTCCCAGCCTCTCTGCTCTCGTCTCCCAGGGCGGTGGCGCGAGTTTTCTGGGAATGGAAACCAGACTACCATGGGATCTCCGATCTGGTTGCATATCGATAATACCTTTTCCCGAAGATACCAACAAAGACATTGCCCACTCTGCTTGCCGTCAACCGGTTCAGATGCACCATCGCTTTGGGTGAGTCGGCTGACAGCTGGATGCTACCACTCTCCCTTGCCTTCCTCCGCTTCTGCTTGCCTTTCACGCTCGTTGCATTCGTCATGGCCTTCACGTCACGACTGTTGCCCCCAGCCATAGACAGAGGCTGCACCGCACGGTGCCAGAGGCCCGCGCTGATCAGACAACGACTAGCGACCCGGCAGACCAAATCATTCCCGCCATCTTCGCCCGCTGCTCGACCGGCGCGATAGCGACGATAAGTTTCTTATCTGACATCCAATCGCGACGTGGCGCGCTTCCGCAACGCCCTAGCCCTAGCTCATCTTGAGGTCAACGGTGCTTGGTGTCGCAATGCATAGGGGGCTGACGGCCGCCAATCGCTCCTAGTGCTTCTGTTGAGTCTGCCACCACACCCGAGCACACCGGATGCTCAACGCCCCCCAATCCTTTTGCCCGCCGCGCTTGTATGTTTTGCTTCAGACGTCCCAAAGCCGCTGTCACTTTGCACAGATGTGATTCTCCTGAGTCGTGCATGAACCTGAACGACACCGCACTATGACGGAATCCCTCACCGCACGCAAATCAAATCGACATGGGCCCTAGCATAAGTGAGCTATATTAGGCTGCCCGGTTTCCAACGTCGACTGCATGGCAAGGCAAATGAGCCGGCTACGGCTCCAGAGCGAACAACTTGGAAGCTACCATAGTAAGGCTGGGCTGGCAGTTAAGCTCATGATTACGTCTGCATGCAAACTCTGTTCATGTTACCCTCGAGCTTACAACAGCCCTATCGATACATAAGTAATCGCGCACCATCCTTGACAGGCACCGCAAGCCATGAATGCAAGCATTACTCTCAAACGCTGTCGGGGGCGCCAGCTGCCGGCCCGAAGCATTGCCGCCATGCCATCGTGATGACCAATGGCCGCCTGGGCCCGCGTCGCAGACACCGAACACCAGCTCAGCTGCATCTGTTCGTGTGCGCATCATATTCCATTGGCCGCCTCACGGCTCGAGCGACTTTGCCACACCTACGCCTATGTTTCAGCTGCACAAACTGCGTGTCGTGTGCCTCCCGCGCGTCAAGTGCCGCTCTCGGTGAAACTCCACGAGGCTGTGCAACCAAGCATAGACGACCTTTGTCCATACTCACGAGATCCCCATCCCCAAGGTTATGATCCGCAGCCTCGACTTCCGCCGAACTTCTCGTATATTCTCATACGACGCACCGGGACCGTTCGGCACGCGTACCTTGACATCTGAAGAGATGCACTTCAATTTAGCAACATGATCCGCAGTGGGGCATCAGGCGGCTTCTTGGTGGGGTACACGAAATTGGGTGTACGTATGCGTCGAGACCGCGATTCTCGACTCCGAGCCGCGCTGACAATTCGCAACTGCTATGATGACTTTAAAAAGTGTTTTGAAAACAGGCCGACTTTCGCGTTAAACATATGGTCAGATGTCGATTATCAACATGACATCTTGACAGTTGCTGCTGGTGCAATAGAAGCATAGAAGGTCTCGAAGGCAGGCGCTTGGACCAGTAATTGCGAAACAAGCCTAGTATCAGGGGTACAGGTGAACCTCGCTGATCCCTCTTGGAATGCTTGGTTCACCATACATTTCTTCACTCATTGTGCCTCAGAGTCGTTTCTACACTCACTTTTCTGTTTTACCAGTCTGTCTTTACGTCCTTGAATAATTTGTTTTTCGCATACAGCCTCATTCGCTGTTGCGCCACACTCTTTGATCTCATTGCACCTGCTCAAACAACTTCTCTACACTCTCTTAAACGTGATTCTCGGCGAATCAACCCAAGCTCTCGCCAACACCACCACAGCTCTTGGAAGCAGTCTTATACTATTATTACCAATATGCGCGGAATTTTTGCTACAGCGGCCCTACTCGCAGGCGTCCAAGCCGCCGTTGACCCCATTGTCATCAAGGTATGATGTCGTGCGATAGGTGCGACTTCCATGTCTAACAATGCCTAGGGTCAGAAGTTTTTCCACAAGAACAGTGGTGAACAATTGTAAGAGACACCAAGACACCAAGATGAAGCCAAGCTAACAACCAGACAGTTTCATGAAGGGTGTTGCATACCAACGTACGCGCCCAGTACTATCCTAATTGCATAGCACACTACTTACACAACGCAGAGGAAGTCAACTCCAACTCCACAGCCGCCTCAACCGACGAGATTGACATCACCGATCCCCTTGCCGACTCTTCAGCATGCAAGCGCGACATTGCGCAGCTCAAGAAGCTCCAGACCAACACCATCCGTGTCTACGCCATTGACCCTAAGAAGGACCATGAGGACTGTATGACACAGCTTGCAGACGCCGGCATCTATGTCGTAGCCGATCTGTCTGAGCCAGGAATGTCGATTAACCGTGACGACCCCGGTTGGACTGTCGAACTGTACGCCCGTTACACCAGCGTCGTTGACGAGATGATGAAGTACGACAACACCCTCGGTTTCTTTGCTGGAAACGAGGTCAGCAACCAGCCCAACAACACCGTTGCCAGCGCTTTCGTCAAGGCTGCCGTCCGGGACACCAAGGCCTACATCAAGAGCAAGAACTACCGCGAGATTGGTGTCGGATATGCTACCAACGACGATGCTGATATTCGTGAGAACATGGCCAACTACTTCGACTGCGGCGACTCTGACAGTGCCATCGATTTCTGGGGTTACAACATCTACTCGTGGTGCGGTGACTCCTCATTCACCGAGTCCGGTTTCGATGTCCAGACCAAGAACTTCGAGAAGTACAATGTCCCAGTCTTCTTCGCTGAATACGGCTGCAACACTCCTCGCCCTCGTAAGTTCACTGAAGTCAAGGCTCTTTACGGCAAGGACATGACCGGTGTCTGGTCCGGCGGTATTGTCTACATGTACTTCGAGGAGGAGAACGAATTCGGTAAGTTCACTGTTTTTCCGACGTATGATGCTTCTAACAACTGTCAGGTCTTGCTTCCATCAAGAACGGCAAGGTTGAGACCAACGAGGACTTTGACAACTTGTCCAAGCAAATCGCCAAGGCCACTCCCGTCGGCGTCAAGATGTCTGAGTACAACCCTAGCAACACTGCTGCCGCCTCGTGCCCCAAGGTTACATCTGGCAAGTGGGAAGCCGAGTCTGACCCCCTCCCTCCTGTCGCCAACGCCAATCTTTGCTCGTGCATGATGGAGACTCTTAGCTGCCAAGTCGCCGACGACACCGAGGAGAAGGATTTCGGCGACATGTTCGGCTTCCTCTGCGGTGAGAAGGATGGCGAGTACTGCCAGGGTATCAACAAGAACGCCACTGCCGGTCCCTATGGTGTCTACGGCATGTGCTCCAGCCGCGAGCAGCTCTCTTTTGCTCTCAACGCCTACGCTAAGAAGGTCAGCGGCGGCTGCGACTTCAAGGGCCAGGCTACCACCAAGAAGGCCGTTGCTAAGCCCACTGCTTCCGGCTGCTCTGGCCTTCTCAAGGACGCTGGTGTTGACGGCACCGGTTCCGTCTCTGGCGCTGCTGCCAAGGCTACTGGTGGTGCTTCTGACTCCAGCTCTGCATCTGGCTCCGCTGGTGCCGCGTCTGGTCTCTCTGCTCCTCACTTCACCAATGGCGCTTTCGGCATGGGTCTGTACGTTGTTGCCGCTGTCGCCTCCGGAATGGCCATGATCTTGTTGTAAGATCTAGGATTGAGTAGTAGACGTGGTAGAGATGGCTCGACTTGACATTTATCTTGCATAGTTTGCGTTGGGTTGCGCTTATTCCCCTTGGGTTTGCTGGCATCATCTTGAATGTATGTCCCAGAAGAGTACTGTGGTTTTCTTTGGCTTAGGTGAAATTATAATAGTTGTACTATACTTTCTGTATGGTACACATTGAAATGAGACCTTAACCTGTCCGAAACATGATACTGGATCGTTTGAAAATCTGGCTTAATAACATGTTGTGAAATTGTGTCCCCGTACAACCTCAAGGAAATAGCTGATTTTGCAATTATCTGCAATGCGTTTTGGTCTGGTAGTTCGCTCACGACACAAGTACGTTGATGTACAGAATCATACTTGATCAGACTCTTGAAAACCAGACCATTCGCACATCACGCTGTCACATTAGATATCAGATTAAAGAAACATTTACACTTTGATATTAACTGCTACCACACCGTTTGGTTGCTGACACGCGTATGTGTTTGATGCGAGAAGCCATCAATACCTTTCCACCAGAAACACTCTCCGCTCGCCATCGCCCATATCCCCCAACATCTTTGCTTCCTCGCCCTTCATATATAGATATGCCTTCAAAAATGCGGGATCCAAAGCCTCGTTAAGTGGCATATCCGCTCTCAGCGATGTGACAGCTTCTTGCATGCTTCTCGGCAACCTTCTCATTACACCAAACTCAGCCCGCATCTGCTCGTCCATGGTCGAAGGGTTAACTTGGATGTCTTGTTCCGGGAAAGAAGGTTCGTTCGCAGCGAGACCGAGTAGACCAGCGGCGAGAACAGCAGAAAGAGCAAAGTACATGTTTGCAAATCCGTCAAGACAGCGAAGCTCCCAATGACCTGGAGATATGCGTCGGAGTGGCGTTTCACGGTTTTGGGTCCCCCATGCTACCTTTTTCCAAGTGTCAGTTTATTTATACATCTAGACAATATGGTGAAGGGGCAATAGGTATCATCAAAGCACAAAACAGAGAACGTACCCATGTTCCGCCTGTCCAAGAGTTTTCCGTTACGCGTTCGTAACTGATTTCCTCGGGCATGCTAAACGCACAGATGGCAGGCAAGTGCTTCAAGACACCTCCAACGAAAAACTGCATATCACGCTCTGGTGGGTGCAAGCTGATGTGCGCATGAGCCGCCGTACCAATGCCTTCAAAGGGCTTGGGATGAAGCGTCGCACGTAGCCCATGCAGACTAGCTATCTGAGCGATGACCTGTCTGGCCTGGAGAAGCGTGTCAATTGCAAGGAGAGGAGGATGGGGCGGAAGTACGAATTCATACTGTCCCGGTCCTGATTCGGCATGGAATTGCTGGACCTCAATACCCATGTCCTCAAGTGCCAGAACGATTTCGCTAAGGAAGGGAAGCTGAAGCCACTGTTCTGGTGTTAGTGTGCCCCATGCGTGGGTTTTTGTCAGGGGTGCTAAATCCGGGCGTATAAAGTCAGTATATGTCGCATATGCAGTTTGTATGGGTATACTGACAGTAGGGCTCAGCTTCGAAAGGGTTGGTTGATGCCGAAGGGGGGTTTCGGGAAAGAAACGTGACTTCAATTTCAAACCCGATAAGAAGTGTTGTGGCGTAGTTGTATTGGAGGTCATTGATAAGCGTCTCAAGGTTGTTCCGCGGGTCTTCTGGAAGCGCAGAACCATTTTCCGTGCGCCAGTAACTGAGTACTGTTGCAGCGGGTAGCGGATCTTTGTTGTGCGTTCTGCGGAGAGAACGTAAGTCCGGCTCGACGTATATCTGGCCCGTCGTATTTGTGACGGGCGTTATGTGGTCATTTTGAAGGGTGCCCATGTTTCCCTGGGATATACCGATACGTTCCCCTTCGGTTATCATGCGAGTAAACTCCTTGATGGGAACTATGCGGCTACGGATTGTGGCCATGTAATCAAGCCATTGTACGTAAATGAACTTCACTGTGGGATTCTTCTCCTTGAAATCGTCAAACAGCTGAATATCGTAGACTTGCCTGAAGATCGGTGTACGAGGTCAGTATTTGTCTCACATATAGTTCGTACAGACATTACTTACGGTGCCTTTGGCGGTGGAGGGAAAGCTGGCTGTGTGTACGGAGAGACTGATCGAGTAGCTTGCGCATTGGAAGCTGAGGACCGGTTGGGAAAGCCCATGGTGGGTATTGGTGTTACTGCTGGAGACTGATAAGGCGAAGCTTCGACTGGCTTCGGGTTGTATGTGAGCTGCTTTGGATCTGCTTGTACTGTTTCATCGAAGAAAGCCTCATAGCGTAAGTCGTATAGCACATTGGAATTGTTGAACATGATGTCTTTCGTCATGCCAATCGCTTGATGCGGTGTTAGGTCGCCTTTCTGGATGTACTCTACGAGTAGCTGTATCAATTAGCATGGGCAAGCAGGCGATCCGGTACATCAACAAACTCACATCGAGCCAGACTTCGCGGAACTGTTTATTGGCAAGCCAATAGGTCTCTGGAAACCAGTGCCCATCCGAGGAATACAAGAGTTTACTGGCCGGGACAAGTTCCATGGATTGTCGTAGAATCGCTTTCTGGCCATCCCTACTGACCATTGGGAAGACTTCGCCAATATCAAGGTACACGTGTCGATATACAGTTGCGAGGTAGCCGGCTTCGCGCGTATACGGATAGGCAGAATGAAGAAGTACAAATGGTACCTGTGGGTAGTTTTCAATCAATGGCTGGAGGAAAGCAGGGTTGGACTCAAGAAGGCTAATGTCATTATCTCCAAGACCAGTATGTAGCTGAAATGGCTTCGCAAGGGAATCAGAATGAGGTAGTCGCTCCGACAATATCTCCAGGGTACGCAAAACGAGATAGTCATTCAGGTGCTTCTTCTCAATACGGTAATTGCGTTTGCGAATGCAGCTCTTAACGTAGCGTTCGAAAGGGTGCCCAACAGTTTTTGCAGCTTCCTCATATTCTGGCTCAATGTCGAGCCCTGTTCGGTAACAAATGACAGATTTGAACCCAGCGACGTTGTCGTCCTCAACGGCCTCTTGAATCTCGCGCTCGAAGTCCTCAGTGAAGTTTGTCCAGGTCTGTGGTAGGAACTTGGTCTTCCCCAGGTCGTCTTCTGATGCGTCCTGAACAAGGTTCTCCATCAAGCGCTCAGCGACTGTCTCAATACGTACAATGCGCTTACTGGGTGCCTTGGTATAACGATCATGATAATTGTAGGGAAAGACCTTTTCTGGTCCGGCAAGTCCGTCATCGATGAGTAACGCGTGTACGTTCTCGAAGCATCGCTGATGTAGACGCTCGGAATTGCTTCGAACCCATTCAACCCTCTGTTCCAGAATGTCCTCCCAATCTGCGTCTTGGCCGCATTCGTAAAGTTGGCCTAGCTGTCTAGCTGCTCGCAAATGAGGAAGGGATTTGAACGTGTCTCTTAGAGCTCTTCCTTGGGCTTCCGTAGTTATGGTCTCGAAAGGTATCGTATCTGCTTGGTGAGGCAGGATGAGATTGTGTGCGTGGTTATCGATGAGGGGATAGTTGTTGACAACATGTCGTAATTGTTCGATAGTAGGCCTAGCAGGGGAGCTAGGCTGATCCATTGTGAGCTCCTGGGACTAGGTGCTAGCTGATCTTCTAGAATGGAACCACTCCTTCTGATGTTAGCCTTTATCGCAATTTGTGCCGCGCTTGTGTGAGGAAAAGGACTGCGATATTTCGCGTGGTGGTAGTTTTCCGGTCGCGTTCTTGTCTCAGAACCAAAAAGATGATGTAGTTATTCGCACTCTTGCACTTTCGTGCGTTACAGGCATAATCCAAGTCGAACGAATGCGTTGTTCGTGAGGTATGTTCCAAGGTCAGTCCGATGACGTCGGTAAAGCGGGAGTGTTAGCGCAACCTTCAGAATCAATCTCCAGTCAGTCGCATCGATTCTGTCCAGTGACTTGGTGTTTCTTTTGATGCCAAACACACGATGATGTAGGATCCGGGAGTGGGGAGAGCGGTGGTCCGAAGTGGGGTATATTTCCAAGGTTTGATCTTGTGAGCGTCAGCAGCCCACCTGTTACGTCCTTAGCTGCACTAGCCAGAGTATTCGACTCTTCTCCAGAGATGGACATACGATGCAACCTAAATATCATAGAAATGGAAAATAGGTTCGCAGATTGGTCTACGCAATTCTAACACAGTATGTACGGACTATGAAGTATGCTTGTAAGAGTATGAGCGTCAGGTCAATTGCAACATGTATTTTATAATGTGTTATCTATCGGGTATACGTGTTCTCGCGTCTTGCTGAGTATGCAACATCGTCTAACTTCCCCCTGGCCCCAGCATGTTCAGCTGTTTCAACACGCTCACCATGGCCTTCGCCTTACGATCACCACGAGCGGCCACATGCACTTGCTTGGCATGCGCGATCACGTCACCTCTCCAGCGCCAAAAAAGATTCTCAATCCGCTTTGCTACACTCACGCCTTCGACCCTAGCAACCAACTGACATACCCAGATCAATCTCCTCGCGCTAATGAATCTATGCTCCATCATAGGTCGAATGATGGCGGCTCGGACTACGGCTTTGGTAAACAGAGGACCGATTGGCAAAGAGTACGACTTGAGGTAGTTGTAAAGAGTGTAGATGGAACGCCAAGTCGCCCGCTGCGATCGAGTGGCATCGATGGAGTAGTGGTGAGCTAATTGATGTATAAGGACTGTACGTTGAGAGGGTGGGATGTTGTTGGTAAGGTTCGCATAAATTTGTGGCAGAGCGTGATCGTTCGAAGCGGAGTCAAGGATTGCAGTAAAATCCCTACTGGCTTTCAGAGTTTTGATCTCCTTCTTGATATCCTCTTTTGTCTGTTTTTCGATGTTGACGCCTTTAATCGAGACGCTTGGTTTAGCGATCCTTCTTAGAGAATTGAGTATATCCTGACATATTTGTAACGCGAAGGCATGGTGTCCACTTCGGTCGAGCGTCTGAGCGTTTATGTGTTGTCGAAGCAAAGACAGTTCTGCAGTAATGCGAGTTTTCATGCTCGATACTCTGTCCAGTAGAAATTCATGCTTCTCCAGGGCAATGAGGAATCTGTGCATGGAGTATAGATTGGCATGCGATGCGAAAAGATTAGCAGCAATGCGCAATATTGGCTCATATGGCAGAGAGACTCTACGCATGTGCGAGAAGATCATCACTACATCCTCCTCGATTTGTACCGTGCCTTGTTGTTCTAGCGCAGAGACAGCAGAGGCACTGACAACCCGCCACAAGCTTTCCTTGTGTTTGGCAAACTCGGGTTGCCGTTGTGCCATTCGAAATACGAGAGCATAGAGCACTGTGTGCAGTCGCACTACGCTCGAATTATTGCTCTTGAATGCATGCTCAACCACTTCCACAAAGGCGGCGTTTGTATAACCGGTATCAGTGTAGCGAACATTGAATCTGTTATCGAGGTTTTCGAGGACAGCCAGCCACACATTAAGACGGTACCAACATGTCTCAACTGGCAGCCGGCTTTTCCGCTCAACGGCTTCGACGAGAGACCGCGTGATTGATGGGAGTTGTAGTCGAAGCTCCTCTTTAGGCAAGAAAAGGAGCATCTCCTCAACAAACGCACAAGGAGAATGGCCTTGAGCAGCGCTTGCGACTAAAACCTTGATACTTTGGGCTGCGTTATTGCTGCCAGCCAGTTCAGAAAGCAGCGATTTCTTAATGGCAGGTGCCTCAATCTTGTTTGCAAGTATACGCAAGTCGTCTACAACGCCTTGTATGGCTTTTGTGCTGCGTAAACAGCTCTGATAGGTTAATCGAACTAACGTGAGTAGCTCGGTATCCTGTGATAAACTTGTTGAAGCTGCAGCAGATGTGGCTGCTCTAACCATCTTGACATATAGGCGGTGATAGACCCGAGGAGCATGATGTGCACCAGAAGCCTCGAGGCACCTTAGGAAGTCAAGACTTTCAGGCGTATAGGTGGGAGGGACATCGAAGAACTTGAGGTTGGAAAGGATGCGCGTAGGATCCCAACGAATGCTTGTCAGATGCTTGACCACCATAACGTTGTAGGCCCAAGCGTTACTGTCAGCTGATCGACATGATATCCAGGCCTGATGTGAGGATCGACAGCGTTCGGCCGTGGACAGAGCTTCTGCGTTTGAAATCTGTGTCGCGAAATTGTTGAAATGCGTCTCCGCGGTCACAGCATCTGTGCTGATTCCTCCTAGCCGGCCTACTCTGCCCTGCAGTTTGGTCTGCGTATTGTTCTGCGAGAAGGGATACGGTGCGCCGAATGGGAATGCGCTAGTTGTAGACGGTGCATGTTCAGTAGATATTTCGTCGGATTGTGCTATTGGCAAGCTTGGAACATGAGGAGCTACTGCCAGTGTTAGCTGAGGTGATGTGGTGAGGCGGACTGCATATACGTACATGTGTCCAATGGCTCTACGTAGTGTTGTAGAGACGGCGCTTCATATCTCCAAGTGGGTTGAGTGTCTTTGCGGAAGCCGAAGAGCGCACCGAGACTGAACAGCGGCGAAAAGTTTTCCTGGGGATAGAAGTTGGCTGAGACGGTCATCCGGCGTTTTGCTGCCCTCCTCCTGGCCTCCAATGGTCCCGGAACATGGCTGCCATGGCGCTTCTGTTGCGGGCACGAACTGGGGAAAAATCGACCAATGGCATCAGTGAGGAGGTTGTCGGAGATCCATATGTGCTGAGGAGAGGGAGATTGGAGCGATTGCACTGCTCGGCGGCAGGCAATGGGCGGACGGCGCATCAAGCGTGGCTGGTCATCGGAGGGCCTGGTGAAGCTTGGTTCGACAGTGAAGTCGCGTCCCAATCGGGAAGTGGGAGATGCACGTGATCATGATGACTAAGACAAGTACAGCTGGGCAGAAGCAGGCCACTCAGCCCTGGAGCAAGCTTGGGATTCGGTACCAGTACAGGCCGGCGACTTGGCATTACCTGCAACAAACCTGGGGAATCTTGACACGAGCATGAATCTTGGGGCAGAGTTCACACGACACGGTTGCGTCCGCTCATGTCTCAGGTTACCCAAGCATTCTTGACGTCTGTCTAATTCAGCCGTTGAGCGCAGAGGCGTTGCGCAACGGTTGATGTTGAATTGCAGAGCCACTTAATCACAGAGGAATTGTCGTGCATGTTTTATTTTTTCTCGGAGCAGAGTCCTTGCTTCCTTTCCTGGTGCGCTATGCTCATGCTGTATTTTTAAACTTTGAGCACGATAAGGCCGGGCCGCGCATGTCTGGACTGAGGTGTTTGCATGTCGGATAGAGCGGACGACGGCTTGCATGCTCCAGAAGTGAGTTAAATGAGATTCCACATCGAGGACACGCGATTCGACCCTCTGCCGCGTCCCCACTCCCGCCTTGGACAGACAAAGGCATTCCCAACAGCGAGGAGTGGAGCGCAAGAACGTTCTCGACCTGCAGTCCATGGCCAAAAAGCATCGTGCGCGTCCTGGATATCGCAACGTCAGCGATGCCCAGGTGGCCGAGGGCTTTAGACGCTTTCGTGCCTGACCGCGCGGTCCTGGGTTAGTCCTCATCCACCCCCTGCCGTCCCCCGGCAAGCATGTGGCCTTTGGTGAAACACCGACGAGCCAATCACGGCGCCGTTCCTGGCACTAGTGGGCCGGCGCTATGCCCAGGGCGGTCGGCATCGTGGCCGGCTGTCGCGCACACGAGAGGCCCTGGACGTGTACCGTGAAGCTGCGCGTGAATACCGCGAGGATAAACTTTGGCACAGGAGATGCGAGGGGTGCCTCAGAGGCAGCATGCAATCTGGATGTGTGTCGAGTGTGCTCTAGGCGGCGTGGGAATTAAATGCACTGTTGGCGGCAGTCAGACGCAGGCTAATTGCCAAGGCTGGCTCCTGCTCCCTGTTACATGCCTGCCTGTCCCAACTGGGGCGCACTCTCCTTTGCTCTTCACTTGCGATCCACTCTCAGGGCCCGAGCCTCCTCTCGTTTGTCTGCTTCACGTCTGTCAATCGTCGACACCCACAATCGTTTTATCGCTACACTACACTCTTTATCCTGAACCCATCTCCCGTCGATTCATTCCTTTTGCGTCACTTTACGGGGGTACTTTCCAAGGGGCAGCCGACAAGTTTCATCGCCTCGACTTCTGTCACGACGCCCCCCGTTTCAACACCACCAGACGGCCCTGGGCATCGTTGACCGAGCCTCCAGTTCAGCTCCATCGCGCCTGTTGACTGTTGAACGACGACTCCATCTCCGCCTTGAACGCCATACTCATCCAGCCCGACACCCACGGCCAACTGCTCACAGTCACTCACCTCGACCACTACGCACCCGCACCGCCGGACCAACCCACGCCCGCAAGGCCTTGCATGTGTCCACGCCTCGGTGTATAGGACTCCAGTGCGACACACACAAATCGGGAACATCGACCCACGCGCACTACTAACCAAACCAGCACATCACCACCATGGTCTACATCAGATTCGCCTCCGTCTTTGCGGCGGCCTCGATGGTCATGATGGCCGCCGCTGCGGACGAACAGCCGACAGCAACCAAGATCAAGAACCCCATCACCACACCAACAGTCACCCTGCCAGCAAGTGCCATGACCAGCATCGGTTGCTTTGAGACCTCAACCCCACTCGAGAACCACGGTCCATACGGTTTCCAGTCGCCTGGTAACTGCCAACTCGTTTGCCTGGAGCAAAACAAGGACGTCATGGGCCTGTCCAACGGCAAGGAATGTTGGTGTGGTGACGAGATACCCGCCAAAGATTGGCAGACTAAGAACGAGACATGCGGTACCCCCTGTGCCGGCGACGATACGTCGCTATGTAAGCTGATCGTCTCTTCTCATGCCGCTCGGTACTGACAGTGCATAGGTGGTGGAAAGAACGTCTTGTGGGTCGTTCTCACAGGAAACACTCTGAACCCGGTCGACTATTACGAGCCCGACGTGTCCAGCAGCAGCTCAGCAGCACCAAAGCTGTCGTCTGCTGCGCCAACGTCCACCGCTGCCGCCCAAGCGTCGGCCACTCCATCCGAGGCGCCCAAGGAAGACGAAGACAGCAAACCAAACACAGTCGCCATCGCAGTGGGTGTAGTCGTCGGCATACTAGCCCTTGCCTCCATCATGTTTGGTGTATGGTTCCTACTGCGCCGGAGACGTCAGCACCAAGCAGAAGAAGACTATCGTCGCAACGCCGCCAACGTGAATGCTTTCGTCAACGGTGGCAAGCTACACACCAGCAACTCGTCCATGAACGACTCTCGTCTGGACCCAAGTTTCGTTGACCGGAGGCAGAGCAACGGCAGTATTGCAGACAACGAGGACTACTCGAGGCGGATATTGAAGGTATGCGATCCATGATGCTGCGTGGCGGAATGTAGCCGACTAATCCTCTGTCAGGTTACCAACGTATAAGTGCCTTAGCCAAGGCAATTAGCGCAACACGTGCGCTCTTCACGTCGACCCTTTTACACGACTGGCGTCGCTGACGAACACCTCAATACCCCGACCACGCATACACCTAATCTCCTTCATACATGTCTCGCACCACGATGCGCGCGATCACGCTTTGACGACGAGAGTAAGAAACATCTTGCGATTTAGCCCGTTACTATTCAGTACACGACGGAACCACCATACCGTTGTTGAGACCAGCATTTGACGAGGATAAAGAAAGATTTGTGGCGGCTGCAGCGAAGAATCTTTTCCCCCTCTCTTGTGTTATATCCAAACTTTTCTTTTTTCCTCATCTAGGCGTTTATGGGGTGTTAGATACCGGGCAATTGAATGGGTCACTTATAAACTCCATCCGGCGCACAAGAGCACCACGGTCGCTCCCTTGTCTTTGTTCTTTGTTATATGGACGGTAATTTCGTCCACGCCATTCCTTTACCCTGAGGGCATTAGTTTCTGTCCTGCCGCTCTCTACCCACATGTGTGCTCCTCTTGTCTGTCGCCATGTAGCCACCACCATCAACAAGCACCCCCCGTTTTCTAGCTACTCTATCTACCACCTCCGCCAATCAAAATTACCATAAATCAGTCTCCTTGTCTGTCCTCATGCTGTAACTTTTGCAATCAAGTCTCGCTGGCTTCTAACAATCTCTTCATCACAACACATGACAAGTATCTTAGGCACAGCCACACAGACAACGTCATGAATACAGTATGATATCCAGGCCCTGTGCGCCAATATCGCACATGGTTGTGTGTCACACGAGCATTCACTGTGCACCAGCCACCCCTAGCTACTAGCCCCAACATCTTCAGCCTCAGCCTTGCGCATCACCATTAAAACGTTGCTCAGATACCACCAATAATACGTCGTTTCCTTGCCCACCCCATACTGTTCGCGTCGATCGTCTGGATAATCTTCACCCTTTTCGATGAGGGACCAAGGTCACGCGAATTAGGATTGAAACGCTCCTACAACACAGTAGGAAACACTAGGTTAAGAGCCAGTTGATCAAGGAAACTGAGCAAGTGAGAGGCTGACCGCCTTTTCCCCGCATTCTTCTCGGTAAATGTCGCAAAGAAATGACATGCACGCAAAGAGCCCTCGTTGCCGGAGGTCCGTTGTTTGTGGCTGGGTAAGGTGGAGCAGTTCGGTGGATTTCGGCTTTGCTCTTGTTTCACGACCCTCATCCTCCTCGTTTCTCGCTCTCGCCGTGAGGCTGAGGAGGGTACAATGATCTCCCCGAGGTAGTGTACAAATTTCCCGACCTGAGAGAGTCAGCTTGCTTCTGTTTTTGTAATCTCTGCTTTTTTCGGCCTTGTGCTGGCTACCTGCGTCGGTGCGTGCAGGCTAGGAAATGAAGGAATTCTGCATTGGAGGGTGGGGAAAGGTCTTGGAACCTAAGCATCTAGACAGACATTGATGGTTTTTTCATGCGGTGCGGATGATACTGACTCTCTGGTACTCGGTACATTAAAGTACAGCCGAGGTGAGGGCTTCTTTTTTTCTTTTTCCTGATGCTTTGAAGTCCTAGGGTTTGAAACTGGACTGAAGCTGATGTCAACGAGTTGGCACGGTGGTAGGCGTCTTCAGCCTGGAAACGCGAATGCGAGTATGCTGAACCATTCGGTATTGGTGCCACGAAGTAGCTTGGTGTTTCTGGGTTGAGGCCGAAGATGTAACCGAAATGTGTCCACCATGTTTTACATCAACGTGGAGATCAGCAGTAGGCCGTCTTCAATGCTACCAAAGGGCTTCACCAGGCTAGCTGCGTCCATGTTGAGTTCATCTGGTAGGCATATCGGACGTATGTATGAGATGCAGGGAGCAAGGCATGAAACATATTCATGGTGAATATATCGCTTACATGCAGTCTTTGAGTGAATGGTCTTCGATCGTTGAGACCTTTCCAGTGAGATTCAAGACAAAATGACGTTCAGGAATGGATTGTAACAAAATATTAACACAAATTGCCATCTCTATGTACTAGTGACGTGTATCACGCTGGGTATCAAGGGGTATGGAAGACGCATGAGCACGTGTGCTCACACGCTCTAACGAGAGAAAGAATCGCGGAGAAAGGTGTTGCAACATCCATCGCAAAGGTCATCACAAAAAGGCAACCCAGATGTATACCTGCTCTTTACCAAACCCATAGCCTGCCCTTGACCGGCCATTGTTCGTAAGCCCTTATCCTAGTCGTCCGATTCGTATTACTGCATAATCCATGACCCAATTTCGTTCAGTCGTTGCCATTACTTGATCAATTGTACTTCAGAAAAGTTGTGGGCTGCTGCGACGTTGTGGTTCCGGTGGGCATCCTAGCAGCACTCGTGGCATCACCGACAGTCGTCTTGGGATACTCACCCGGAACATGCAGATCACTAACGCTGATGTCGGTGTTTATCCGCTTACCCATTCCAGGGTGAACCATCTCGTCTGCAGCATCCACAAGGTCGACTGGAACGGGTCCCCCATTGACAGTCTTGCCAAAGGCAGGGGCGGCGCCGACCTCAGACTCGCCTAAAAAAGACGACGTGGTTGCTAGTGTGTCTGGACTGCTGGTATGATGAGGCTGAGTCTGGCCACTGGAGATGGGTGCGACGATCGGGGCAGATGTTGGCTGCACAGCAGGTGCTGCAGACGGAGCTACGTAGCCAGTATCATCGATCTGGTCGGGGAGGATATGATCCGGATGCCGTTCTGGAACTTGCGTAGGAGTAGCGTCTGGAAAGCCCGCTGCTCGAGACTGGTCAAACGGGTATTGTTGTGTTTGGTCCTGCTGATGTTGGGCATCGAGATGTTGCTGAGCCAACTGCTTCTTCCTGTATGCTTCGTTTGCAAGAACTCCAGTTGCTGCTCCTCCAACAGCAGGTGCCATCCAGTTACCGTAGTTGTTACTATCATGGCGTTGGATAGGTTGAGCATGCTCCAAGGATGGCTGGTTGACTGAGGCTGGTTGGACAGGGTAAGTCTGGGGAATGGGCGCGTACGAAGAAGTGTCAGTAGTCAGCGGATCATATGGCTGGTGAGTGGGTGGGTATGAATTTGCGAAGTTGGTTTGGGGTTGATGCTGAATGGGCTGGGTATACTGGACTGGCTGGACCGGTTCGGGCTGGTAGGGTGCGGTTTGGGCAAGATACATCGGGTGAACCTCCTGTGGGGGACCTCCGGACATGGTTGTTAGATCATTGCCGACCTCTGAACTTCCACTAGATGGCGAGAGAGGCGCTTGTAAGTTACGGTTGACCATCAAATCAGACGGGAATCGCCCACCTGGAGAAGGCCGTGAAGGTCGCGGAGACTGGTCCCGAATGGCCTGTTCCTTCATCGACTGGTTGGCTGAGAACGGGACTGCATCTGCCTCGTCTTCTTCTAGACCGCCATCAGAGCTCGCTGAACGGGCGCTGCCAGCACTGGTGCTCCTGACGCTTGCATGGCGACGAACAAAGGCATTGCGCTCCTCCCCACTCTTCTCGGTCAAGGCCTTGATATCTTCAAACCACGCCACCATAGTTTCGTAAGTCTCTGCCCGGAATACCCAGGTGTGGCCACGGTGCATGGATCCAGCCTGTCGGCCTTTGATAACAAACTTGTGGGAGGAACTTCCGGGCTGGGAACGAGAACCAAGCTTCTGGTCTGGCAGATACAAGGACATGACCGGAGGCTGAGTGTAGATGCGATCGGCCGATTTGAACTCGTGGATGTGCGTAGGAGATAGAACATACCTGCAAACGGTTAGATGAAGTGGTTTCACAGGAATAGGTTGCTTACCAGCCTGGCGTATAGGACTTGAGATACTTGCTCTTCCGCTCAAGCATGCCTGCCCTGACTTCGGTGGTAGCTGGGTGGTATTTTCCGGGGTACTGTATGTCTTCCAGTCTGCGCAGCGGCATGTCTGGGTTGACGAAGTGAGGGTCGCTCCTCACAAACCTGCTCCACTCGAGATCGCGCGGCATCGCAATCGGACCATTGCGCAACTTCTCTACCGTGTTGTACTGCTCATCGGCATCGCGCTTCAAGATACTAGCAAGAGCATTGTAGGCCTTCTGTACTTCACCAACAACGATGGATTCGAGTTCGCGGCCAGAGTTCTCAAGGTTGAGGTACGCCTGTTTACGTTAGTTATGAGTAGCCTATATGGGCCTGATGACTTACTCTGTGAAGATAATTCTCCTCGTCAATCTGTCTCTCGACTTGGCGCTCGACGCCCAGACGAACGACATAGGGATCTCCCTTGCCCGCGACAGCAGTGGGGTCAGAATCGACCAGGGCCAATGCCTCCTCAAGTGCTGTCACGCACTTCCTCGTAGTCTCCTTTTCCTTCTCGACGTTGTTCTTGAAGTCGCCTGAAAGCGATTTGATCTCCTTGATCTTTTGTGCAAGATCGGCTCTGAGGCCGCTGAGCTGATTGATAACGTCTGCCTCGACGTCTCGCGCCTTGTTGGCCTCAAGAATGGCCTGCTTGTGGAAGTCGCGGAGAATACGGTTGGCGTCATTGAGGCCTCCTTCTACGAGAAGAGCCGCGGGCGCATTGGTGTTGTTGATCACGTTGGACACTTTGAGCAGCGACTTGGCGCGGTGTTCGTAGGAGGCTGCCACCTCGCGGAAGTAGGTGATGAGGTCTTTGAGGAACTTGCGCCAGGCTATCGGATGTCAGTGAGTTAGACAGGACAGTCACATGCGCCAACCTACTCTGAAATCGGTCTGCCAGTATCTCGGTGGGGGTGCCTTTGGTAGGCACGGGTGTGTAGAAGACACTGTCCTCGCGGTCGTAGCCACGCTCTTGGTCGTCGATGGTCACGCCCCTAATGGATCCGGCATGCATGGATTTCCTGCTCCCGCTGCGCTTCATGCTTCCCGTCCTCTTGACTGAGCTTTTCTTCTTGAGGGTGCCACTGCGCGAAGGCGTTGCGCCCTGGTTCAGGGTGGAGGAGCGCGAGGAGGAGCGCTGGTGCAT